GTAAATGTCAAGGACGCCTTTGCTGTCGTTGACTATGTTCTTTCTCATATTATGCAGCAGCATGCCTCTGGGATCCCGGTATCAGATGAGGCCCTGGGCACTGAAGCTATCAACTCATATCAAGTAGGTTTCGTTTCTCAAACTTTATTAGATTCTCAGTTGCACCTCGTATCTGACCCGATACCAGGCGTGGATGAATGTACGGAGCGCAATCCAATTGCGTGATTCGTTGTCTGTCTTGGACCTAGCCTCTACGACGGCTTACATCATTCAGAGCATGAAAGTACCTGGACTTGCAAAATCTGCAACACAGGTTGTGGTCGAGCTGATAGACTGGCGTGACAGTATCTTTACCCAGGATCATCTCATTGCTATTATGGAGTATGTTGTCAGTGATTTTGGGGCTGCGCACGTCGCGTCACTTATTGAGGCGGATTTTGAGGACGAGAACATGACGTTCTTGGATCTCCTATTGGCTTATGCAACGTTGAAGCAGAGAGACCTCATGACCAAACAATTAGACCCACAGCATGCGAAAATGCTCACTCTTCTACACACGCTGTTCAAAGCTCCTGGCTATGCAGCGGTGGATGACCCGGCCTCGCCGCTTGTTCTTGAGTGGTGGACAGAAGTCGCCGACGACCTCCAGGATATATATTCGGACTCGGAAGATCAAACGAGTCTTGAACCGGCTAAAAGGAATTTGGCCGAAGCGGCTTTGGACTGCTTTGAAAAACTAAAATTCCCTAGCCCAGAAGAGCTGCAAGGTTGGGGTGATGATGACCGTAGCGAGTTCGGTTCGTTTCGGCGTGATGTGTGTGACTTCCTCCTAGCCATCTACCCAATGTTGGGGGTGGAGCTTGTCCGGGTCTTCCAAGAACGAGCAAGAATATCACTGGTACAGCAGGAATGGCGCACGTTTGAGGCTGCGATTTTCTGCATTGCTCAGCTGTCGGAGGCTGTCGATGAGAACCAACACGCTGACGAGTGTCTCAATTCGATCTTCTTCTGTGACGAATTCGCTCGCCTGTGCGAAGGGAATGGAGTGCTAATCCCAGACAAACCACGTCAAACCTTGGTGGACATGCTGGGAAAGTATCAGTCGTACTTTGAACGCACACATGCCTTGCTACCTCGCGTCCTTACCTTTCTGTTCGCGTCTCTCGATGTTAGCTCGTGTGCGCCAACAGCATCCAAGTCGATTGCATATCTTTGTAAATCATGCCGCAACGCGCTAACCTCAGAACTGCCAGCCTTCATTGACCAATTCGAACATTTCCGCTTCAAGCCCACGGCCACTACTCATACCATGGAAAAGGTGCTAGAAGGTATCGCCGCCATCATCCAGACTTTGCCTACGGACGAAGCAAAGTCACAAGTCATTGAACGAATTCTCCGGTTTTTCCACGGGCAGGCAGAGGCGGCCCGTGATGAGGCGGTTGGTGGCTTAGTGGAGCAGGCTCAGACCCGTGGCCAGTTTGTGCTGCGCTGCGTCGCCAGTATTGGTAAGGGTTTGAGAACCGATGGTGAGGTGAATTTGGAGTCGAACGACCATGGGGATGGTGACCCCTACCCTCCGACATTCTGGAATACGGGCAGTGGCGCCGTGTCTCAGAACCTGATCATGCAATGCATGCAGCTGCTCATCACCGATTTCCCTGTCGATGTGACCATAATTGAAGCCGCATGCGACATCTTGAAGGCTGGTTATATCGAAAGTACGGGACCATATGTTTTCCCACCAATGGTGACTGTCAACTTTGTCAAGAGCATACCTCTAGGCAGTGTTGGTACCGACATAGTGATGGGTACGGCTTCATCTTTCCTTGCATCTCATAGCTCACACTGTCAGCGAATCCGTGACGAAACGGTTGCGCTGATCGTGCACGTGTATGACACTTTCTGTTGGATGCATGAGAAACCTGAGTACTATGACCCCGAAGTCGCCAACAGTGGGATCGACTTCCTCACACGCTTACTCCCCAAATATCACCCTTTCCTATTTGCACTCACGACGCCGCCCCAAGAAGCCAGCCAAATCCCTTCTTCCAATGGGGGTGAGCTTCAACGGCCGTCAGTCCTTGAAGCTGTCTTGAATTTCACTCTCCTCTCATTGCGAGGGCCTGAACCACTTCCGCTCCGCTCTGCGTCGCAGTTCTGGGTGAATGTGCTAACGCTTCCAAATGACGGTGGGTCTATTCAAACTGCCATCATGCAGTGTCTTCCAGCCCTTTGTCGTATCCTGATCAATCAGGTGGCCGGGCGATGCGCGCGGTCGGACCTCGAGCATCTCTGTGAGGTGCTCCGAAAGCTCATCTTCAAACAGCAAGGGGCTGCGCGCCCCCACCTCGCTGCAGCGCTGGCTGATCTAGGTAGCAATGACGCTTCCAATCAACAACAAGGCGCGTCTACGTCGCCCGAGGACAGGCAACGCTTCCTTGCGTCACTGCTAGCGGCAAGGGGTGCCAGAGCGCCGACTAGTCAGTTGATACGCACGTTCTGGGTCAAATGTCGGGGAGTGAGTTTCGACTACGTTGGGTAGATATTAACGTTATCTGGCTCCGGTTTGGAACAGTATGTGGACAGGCAGGGGAGGAATACAGTCAAGTCGCTAGCATTGGATCAACCCGAGTAAACCAGACCAAAAAGAAGAAAAATGATGATTATTCTATAAGTCCAAAGTGAGGCAGGCTGTAATGGGAATGATGCAGTGAATCGCCACCCGAAACGACAACAAGCACTGCTCATGTGTATGTGTGAAAATCCCATAGGACCATGGCCGTGGAACTGATGCAAGTTGCGCAGACACGATGACCTGGCAGTCAGCCTCTTTTCCTCAGCCACAGAGGCGGTGCATTCTTGGCCCTACAAAGTAAGGGGCAGCACGACACTTTACTCCGTATGGGGCATCGGTTTCAGGTGTCGCCTCGATTTTTCGCCAGATGCTACTAATTTAGCTTGATCGGCTATGAATATAACGCGATGTGGGTCTCTGCCCCCTAGCCCATGGGCAAATAAAGCCCTTCAACCTCGGAATTCTGCCGCTGGTTTGCTTTTAAACATGCCTGGTGATATTGCCGCGCTCTTTCTTGCCTGTTCTTTTCCACGCTTACTCCATTCTACCTACTTTTGTTGAAGAGCTCCATAATCGCGCCATGCCTATTATTGCAAATACTCCAGAAGCTGTATTGGGTCGCACGGACTCGCTTGATCCGGCCACAACTTGTCGCGGTGTCACCTCCAATGGGCGGCCATGTCGCCGGGCTCTGGCGTCTCCATCGCCATCAGAGACACCGGCTTCAAAGTCACAACAGACCGACCTATCTGCGATGTACTGCTGGCAGCACAAAGATCAGGCAGCGTCGGTTCTGCAGACGAACAGCGGGGCCAACCCTTCGCGATTGAGGCCCCGTGGCAGTATCGACACTTTAATGGAGCGGTTAGGGTTGATGGATCTTAACGACGCAGGGACTTCAGACAAGCGGCGCAGGCAGCGGAAACCAACACCAAAGAAGCGGACCAGACGTACGATATGCTGCTGCTTCGAGGTCATCGAGGAGGAAGACATCCGGCCGTCGCGGCCGGTCAATGCTCCAACGGAGATGCAACAAGCCCCCGCTGGGAAGCTGTCAACACCAACCCCATCCCTGTCTCCTCACCAGGTCCCTGTTCGACCCAGCAAACCTGGCTCTTCCTCTTCAGGAACCGACGACGACATTCTCTCTTGGATTCCGTCTGGCCTTGCGCCGGAGACGACCTCCAACCTCACCGCAGAACTGTCCAAGCCTATCTCGGAAGCCGACGAGCCAGGCTATATCTACATGTTCTGGATGACACCGTCGACATCTGAATCCAAAGAGCTGCCTTCTTCAGAGGTAGCCTCGAACCTCATGCCGCCAACATCCTCCCCAGGACGTGACCGCCGCGTAAGCGATGCAATTCGGACCGCCCGCGATCTCAATGCCTTGGCATCTGCACCATCTCATGACAGCCCCGGCACGCTCCGTTTAAAGATCGGGCGTGCTAACAATGTGCAGCGACGACTCAATGAGTGGAGCCGACAATGTGGCCACCATCTCACGTTGATCCGATACTACCCTTACACGCCCTCCACCCCGCAACCATCGCCATCTCGACACGGCCGCAGCAATGATGACAGTACTGCAACTCTTGTTCCGGGACGCAAAGTGCCCCATGTCCACCGTGTGGAACGGCTCATTCATCTGGAGCTAGGGGACGTGCGGATCCGCGACCTAGGGAAATGTCCGGACTGCGGACGGGAGCACCGTGAGTGGTTTGAGATCACGGCAGAGAAGGCGTCTCTGAAACGGGTAGACGATTGTATTCGCCGATGGGTGAAATGGGCAGAAACGCATTAGCTATTTACGTAATACTAACACCACTATTGTTCGTTAGAAACAATCTGCGAACGTCTCTATTACTGTTTCAGTCAAGTACCTGTTGTATGGCATGATAACGATAAGAACAGCAACACAGACAACAACAACAGCCTTCTCCTCAATCATTTATAATCCGAACTGATTCAACCACCTTCAATCAGTCCCAAATTACTACCAAATACTCTAGTGGGCAGTCACCGAATATGATCAGCGTAATGATCGAGAACCAGAACCCACCAACAGCAATTATGATCATAGCTTGTGCTAAGAAAACGGCTAGTGCTTAAGCAACAATTGATATACCTCCAAGGACGAGGATTTATATTAGCATATCTGCTAATTCCCCATAGCTGAGTTCGGATTGTGAGAGACATATATTATCGCTGTCTTTGGTGTGGACAATCTACTCTTATTAAAAAGACAAAGACCCGGAAACCATAACCAACTCCATCGCTAGTAACAACTATGATATAAACCCATCATGTCCATAATCCATTGCTTAAACCCAGTCCTTCCCATTCTATGAACCCTCTCCCATCCCATCCCCAAATCTCCAACTCCAACAACAAATCCCTCTCAACCAAAACTGCCCAAACCAAATCAGTTAGCCCACCCATTCGGCAAAGGACCAGGAGGCCACAACCTATTAACCAGAAGACCAAAGAGAACCGTGAAGGCAAATCTGCACGCTCGATAGGTGAGGACGAAGAACCACGTTATAGCCGCCACCACGAGGATCACTGGACTGATGAAGAACATCGAGAACAGGCCGAACACGACAACCGCGATTACACCGCATACGGCCACACAGAAGAGGAAGATCCCCGTGGGGATGGCAGCTAGTATGAGGATAGGGATAAGGAAGATTCCGATGATGATGGTGAGGAGAATGGGGATAGCGGGGATCACGGCGAGGTTGTTCATTATTGCTGTGTGGTATGATGCACTAGTAGTAGTGGTGGAAGACACGGTTGCAAGGGTTTTAAGGTTTGTGTTGGGTTTGAGTGTCAATGTATATAAGTAGTATGATTGAGTTGGGTAGTATGAACGAGTGTGTATGTGTGCGTGTGTGTGTAGTTATTGATGATTGTTTCTTAGAGAGTGTGTGTGGTGTAGATGTGGGAGGGAGGGTTATTGTAACTACTACTTCTATATTCTATGCCGCGGGCAGTAAGTAGTAGTTGTGCCTTCCATATTCAGTAATCAAGATGTAAGCAAGTGGCGGCCGGAAACTATAAGGATAGTATCTCATATGGAGTGCAGCTAAGCCATATTAGGTTTATCAACCAACCATAATACTCAATATAGGAAAAGTTTATATCTGTTGTACTTGCCTAGGTAGCACCCTCCTCCATAGTGCCTCTGGAGGTGTCCCTGGGAGTATTAGTCTTAGTAGTGGCCCTGGTAGTGGCTCTCGGAGACTCTTGAGGAGCTTCGGAGGGGGGAAGGGAGGAGGGGCCTTGGTGGTAGTCTAGTAGGGCTCTCCAGGATACTTTCTTCGAGGATTACAGATTTCAACTATAAATGCGGGCTAGCTGTAGTATTCTAGTACCTGACTTTAGGGCCTTACATCCCGTAGCGGCCTCCGTAGTGCCCTAGAAAGTAGTGGTGGTCTCGGGGTGGGGAGCTCTGAAGGGTCACTAACTAGTGGTAGCTGTCATCGACTGACTCCCCCGAGCTCTTATTCACATGGTCGCATCGCTAGGTTTGGAATAGCTTTCACGGCTAGAGTAGGAGGCCGTATGTTTAACTAGCGGTATGGTAAGAGCTGTCATTGCAGATTACCCGTCTGCAGGGTTGGTATGTCACGTAACGGTAATTGAAAGTAAACTTTCTTGGCGCCGTCTCGGTGGATGATTTGATTACTCAATGTCAAGAGAGGGCGCAATGGGGTTCCTGTATTCAACTCAATAATAGGATTTGATTACTAGTGGAATCTTCTTGGCGTGCTCTAGAGGTTCGAACACGAAGGTGAGTCAATTGTTCACCGGCGAGATGGGTCTTTTGCGCGAATTCATCGGCGGATCGGCAGCAAGCCGAGGGCGCCTTCCGGCCCGCCGCTAGCCTGGAAAACGGAGTTGAGCTGTTGCTCCGGTCCCTTCCATTGGTATAGGTATGATTTTTATACAATAGGGATGGGAGATCATTATATCAGAGGCGATATCTTTGGAAAGATGTGTGAGATTACTGGCTAGCTATAGCTAGGTCAGACGATCAAGCTACTATGGAACGTTGAAGTGTGCCAAGGAACCCGAGGTTAAAAAAGTCTAAATGGAAAAAAAAAAAAAAAAAAAGTCCGTCTAACCACCGCATTTCTATTACTCAAAGGATAGTAGATCATGTGCTCATGGCTCATATCAACAATGTACTAAGACAAATCGCCTTGACGGCAGCAAATGCAACACAAGTGTACAAAAACACAGTAGACCAGCTTTTCCAACGCCCGCGATGAAAATAAGTCTCTAGAATGCTTCTCGCTTACCATCCCCGCTTGGCCAGCTTGTCGGCCTCGGACATCTGCGCCACGTTGATGCCCACCATGGCCTCACCCAGACCCTCGCTCACCTCGGCGAGAACCTTAGGGTCGCGGAAGTGAGTGACGGCCTGCACGATGGCCTTGGCGCGTGCCTTCGCATCGCCGGACTTGAAGATACCGGAACCAACAAACACACCATCGCAGCCCAGCTGCATCATGAGCGCCGCATCGGCAGGGGTAGCAACGCCACCGGCAGCGAAGTTCACCACGGGCAGACGGCCCTTCTCGGCCGTCTCACGAAGCAACTCGTAGGGAACCTCCAGCTGGCGGGCAAACTGGCGCAGCTCGGGCTCGTAGTCGGCAGAGGACTGGTAGATAGCACGGGCACGGGCGATGTCCGAGCTGACCTGGCGCATGTGCTTGACAGCTTCCACGACGTCTCCGGTACCGGCCTCACCCTTGGTGCGGATCATGGCAGCACCCTCCGAGATACGGCGAAGGGCCTCACCCAAGTTACGGCAGCCACAGACGAAGGGAACCTTGAAGTTGTGCTTGGTGACGTGGTAGACGTCGTCGGCGGGGGTCAGGACTTCCGACTCGTCAATGTAGTCGACGCCAATGGCTTCAAGGATCTAGTGAACGGTGTGTTAGTTTGTGGCGAAACGGACTGCCATGAAGTAATGTTGATTGTAGCCTACCTGGCACTCAACGAAGTGTCCAATACGAGCCTTGGCCATGACGGGGATGGTAACGGCCTTCTGGATCTCCTTGATCATGCCGGGATCGGACATGCGAGCCACGCCACCCGTAGCTCTGATGTCGGCGGGGACACGCTCGAGGGCCATGACAGCGGCGGCACCAGCCTCTTCAGCAATGCGAGCCTGTTGGTGAATCGAATGTTAGCAACGATTGACTCAGATTGAGCTTTATGGATCCTATGTAAAGGCATACCTGTTCCGCGTTGACAACATCCATGATCACGCCACCCTTCAACATCTGAGCCAAACCGGCCTTCAGAGTGAAGGTGTTGGCAGTGCCGTTGGAATCGCCATTCTGCTGGGAAGCCATTGTGGAGGGGGGGAAGAAGGTTCAATGGGATGAAGAACAAGAGTATGTACGAGAAGAGAAGTCTAGAAGGAAGAAGGCACCCTAGGGAATGGAGAGGAAGTGAGTAGGAGGATGTCGAGAGAAAGAAAAGCAGGAGTGAGTCAACGGCCGACGAGGAACAACTACTAAGTACTCCGTACTGAACTATCAGTAACGCCGCCCGTTCGCCTCCGCGGAGACGGGGGGCAGCATCTGGACCAACCACTGCCGGTTCCTGCTTTCTACCCCTCGATTTTTTTCCCCGCGGCGGCCGACTTTTTCCTGCCGTCGTTCGCAGGGCGGCCGTGGCAGCCAATCACTGCCCGTCCGTCCCTCCTTTGCTGCCTATAGAGTTAGTCACGTGATACATAGTCTGGTGGATTTCCCGCGGTATTCCACCTTGGCGTATCGTAATGCTGGTCACGTCTGGTCATGCAGGTCGTGTGTATGGTCACACCCGTATTCCCCGTCAACTACTACTGGTATTATCCTTAATGCCTCAGGCATTAGAACTAACTGCGGTCCTCGTTCTCCAATCACCTTCCTATCCGAGACATGCTTGCTTGATTGCTTCATCTCCTCATTCTCATACTAGCACTGGTGCCCACCACAACACCTTCTCTCCGTCCATAGCCATTGACTGCAGCAGTCAAGCAATTTCTTCTTTCTATCTCAAGAGCATATCTTCCGCTCGTCTTCGTACAATACTCCCTCCCTTCACAAACATCTCCTACTACAAATTACCCAGAACAGGGTATCTACCTCTCAGAATAACCCCCGTGACGTCACCGTACGCATACCGAGGGCGCAACTCCAGAACAGCTGAGAACCATAACCATAATAACCACAACCTGCAGCGCCCTTCCAGGCCCCTCTCATTCCATCTCATCCCTATAATCCATTCCTCCAAACCCATCCCATTACCGACAACCAGAACGCCAATAACCACTCAATTGCCTCACCATCCCCCTCTCCCAAACAAGTCCCCCCTCCTATCCCTATCCATCGCAACCACAATCGTCGCAACCAAACAATGGCCTTCCTCCTCAGCCGCACAACAACCACTCTCCTAGGCACCGGTCTCGGTGTCGGCCTCTCCCTCTCCCTCCACCCACTTTCCCCCTTCCGCGCAGCCCCAATGCAATGCCAATACACCGCTCCCTACTACCGCCCCGAATCCCAAATCTCCCCGGACTCCGGCTGGGCCATGGACTCCCAGGACCCGTTGCTGCGCAAACAAGGCACCACCCGGAACTCGAGTCATACTGCAGGTGGCGGGATCCTGACGGCCTCGAACATGCGCCAGGTCAGTCTGGGCAGCGTGCTGGGGTTGGTTGTGGGTGTGGGGTTGAGGGCGTTTTCGAGAGTGTTAGTGGTGCTCTTGGGGATGGGGATTGTTGCTGTTGAGGTGGGTTGATTTGATCATTCCTTATCTCCCTTTGCTGTATTTGGTTTTGGGTTGGTAATGTGGGTACTGATATCAATGTAGTGGGCTGCGGCGAGAGGATATAATCTGCTTCCGGTCAACACGGTGCAGAAGTACTTCAAGCGGGTGGATCTGCAAAAGACGGTGTCGCACCATATTCCCTTCAAGGTTAGTTTCGGGGCTACGATGGGGTTGGCTGCGTTTGCGCAGTTCTAGGCAGACTATGTTGAGATATGCGGTATAAATGGGATATGGTAGTATCGCATGTCGAAGAATCTATGTATCTTGTCTAGCAAATGAAGTAACACCGGGCTTACTACACTCCAATTGCTGCAATAAGTCTTCTGTGTTATACAGGGTATCACGGATTTGTGCCATGCCGTGCAAGGCGCTATACTAGCCTATCTTATACTATACTATACTATACTATACTATCTATCAGTCTATCATTCTGTCTTTCAGCAATCAACTCAATACCAAATCTTCCAAAACCCCCTCCATCTCGTCACGCGCCAATGGGACTCCCAAGATCTCCATCCCACTCGTATCCATCCGCGAAGTAATCATCTGATGATCATGGAACTCCTTCAACAGCGTCCGGAACATCATCTCCGATGAGGCAATGAACTCTTCCGCTGCCTTTTGATACAGCATTCGAAACTCAATGCCCGTTTCCTCTCCTCGGCCGTTGCTACCATCCCCTCCTCCATTACCCCCACCATCCATGTCATCATCCGACATATGTCCCTCATCCGCCATGGATAGCAGCTCTGTGAGAAGTAACCGATACAGATTCCTCGCGTTCTCAGGCAGACTCTTCAATACGAACTCGACACCTTCCTTACCACCGACACGGCGGCCCTTTCTTCCCAGCAGAGTGCTGACCTCCTCAACAACATCAAACTCGGTATCAAACGGCGCGAAGGTTGTACAGTCGTGGAAGACGAAGTTGAACTGGTCACGCAGGCTGAGATCCCACATCAGCAACAGATTCGGGGTATCAGCCGTCGCGAGAAGATGGATTTTCGGCGTAGCTGCTAAACGGGCAAGGAGAGCTTGGTTCGCCGCTCTCCGGAGGGCAGGCGCATCAATAGAGTTGATGAGAACAGTGATTGGTTTCTGGGAGGATCGGGACTTGAGGACAGACTGAAGCAATTCTAGGACTTCTTGGGGCTGAGAGCCCATTTTGGAAGGAATATCGGCGCCCAGGACGGCGGTGACGATCGTGGCGAAGATGGAACGGATGGACATGTTTGGCGTGTGTCCATTGACGATGACTACGGAGCTTGAGGCGGAACTGCTGTGGTGACGGCGGTAGAGCCAGTCTGCGAATTCTTGGAGGAGGCGGCGCTTGGAGCCGTAGCCGTACAGGCAGATATTGAAGCCTTGGTCGAATTCGAAGTCCCACTGGGGAAAGGACCGGCAGTGGAGGTCGAGAAGGAAGGACTTTTCTTGTTTGTATGGGTCTGCGTATTGTGACATCCGTTCGAAGTACTCCTCGTGCGTTAAGAGGTTTACTTTGCCTAGATTGTTGTTCGAGGTACGGGGTGGTCCGGCGCGGTTTTGGAAAAAGTATCGCTCATGAGCTGGGAGTTCTCCTTCCGGGGTGGGAGAGCGCTTGTTCTTTGCCCCCTTTGGTCGACCTGCACGACGCTTGGGTGTTGGTGCTCCTTCTGTCGCACCATTTGTGGCGGGTTGACTAGACTCCTCCTCGATGGATTCTAATACACCTTGCCCTGTCGTCGATGCCTTGCTGGGGGCCTCGTTGGTATCATCTTGTAAAATCTCCTCCGCAAGACGGTCAGCGCCGTCCCAGATGTCTTCGTCATCCTGTTCGAGGAGAAGCCGGGCGCTCTTCTTCTTAGCGGACCGGTCGGCACGGGCTTTCGACGGAGTTGCAACAGTTGGCTTTTTCGTGGGCGTTGAGAATAAATTCTTCGCTTTGGCCTTCTGTGTTGGGGTCTTCAACCCCGAAGCTTTAAGAGCGGCTGGGGTGTTATCGGTCGTGGGTTTTTGAGGTGTTGATTTCACTCGTTTCGTAGGGGTGGTGGTAGCTTCAGGGGTTCGTTCACGTTCACCGTTGGTGTGCCCATTCACGGTGCCATTGGTGGCCGTAGTCCTCTGCCTCTTGGGTGTAGAGATCGGGAATTGGTCATCGGATTCTGGATGCTTGCGTTTCATTTTAGTCAATGGGTCCGGGGAGGTAATCGAAGCAGCTTCGGGGGAATGGCGGAGAGCAAATACCATTCGGGGCACAACAAAGCTCTTCTGGAGGTCCAGAAGGAACGACGAGCACAACAGAGGACGCGAGGGATGAGCGCGCTGGCTGGGAATGCTGATCGCTGATAGATCTGGTCGGCTTCCCTCGTGGCTACTTTTTTGCCCTGCGATGGGCGCGTCTGGAACGCGCAGCAAATCAATCAATCAATCAAAGGCAGGCCCGACAGTTTCTCCGATTCCGCGATATCGGAGCGGCATTTCATCGCCGCGAATCGCATCACTTCACCTTTCCTGTTTCCGGTGCTTTGCGCTTGTTCTTTTAATTATATCTTCCATTGAGACTGCTCACTTGGTTTGTCTGGCAGTGGTCTACACGTCCACTTTGCCTGATCGAATTAGTTGCGGTCGTTAGGCCCCTGACAAGTCGAGCGAGTCAATTCGGTGAGTCATTTATCTACTTCAACTTATCTCCGATCCTCTCTCCTGCAGGTATATATACCCAAGGACACTCTTGCAGCCCTGGAGAAGGCATCCACACCCATTGGATTTCTCCAATATAAATTCCCTCAATCGCAGGGAGCAGTTTTACTAACATCTGCTCATCTGCGCCAGGAAAAAGGAATCCCAATGGCTTTGCCTAGCAACTCGGCGGCCACTACCACCATGGCTACCTTCGCCCGCATGGTGAAGGGCCAGGTGCGTTACTACTCTGCGCCCTTGGATATGGCCATTCCCGCTTCCAAGCAGAAGTATATCCCTGCCTCCGGTACCTACCCTAAGGGCTTCTCCGTCTCCGGAACCCACGTCGGCGTGAAGGCATCCAACACCAGATTCCCGGACCTGGCCCTCATCTCCTCCGAGACGCCCTGCTCCGCCGCCGCCGTCTTCACCACCAACAAGTTCCAAGCCGCCCCGGTCCAAGCAAGCAAGAACACCCTGAAGACCACCCAAGGCGAAGGCATCCGGTCCGTGGTAATCAACTCAGGCTGCGCCAATGCCGTGACAGGTAAAGGCGGCCTGGAGGATGCCGTGAGCATGGGCAGCAAGGTAGACGAGTGCAATGGCCTCGCCCAGCCCAGCACTCTCGTCATGAGCACCGGTGTCATCGGTCAACGGTAATGACTCCTCCCAATTCTCCCATCATCAGCTCATCACTAACAACTATAACCCTCACAAACAGCCTCCCCATCTCCAAGATCCTCAACAAAATCCCCACTGCGCACTCGACCCTCTCCTCCACCCACGATGCCTGGCTCACAACCGCCCGCGCCATCTGCACAACAGACACCTTCCCCAAGCTCCTCTCCCAGACCTTCACTCTCCCCTCGTCCCCGGACCGCACGTACCGCCTCGCCGGAATGACCAAAGGTGCCGGCATGATCCACCCGAACATGGCCACGCTCCTGGGAGTCCTCTGCACCGACGCGCCCATTGCCCCCTCGGCCCTCCAGCCGCTCCTCAAGCACGCCGTATCCCGGTCCTTCAACTCCATCTCCGTCGACGGCGACACCAGCACCAACGACACTATCGCCATCCTGGCAAACGGCGCTGCCGGCGGCGCACCCATCACCTCGACCTCGTCCGCAGACTACACAGCCATGCAGAACGTCCTGACCTCCTTCGCGCAATCTCTCTCGCAGCTCGTCGTCCGGGACGGTGAAGGCGCCACCAAATTCGTCACGGTCCGTGTGCAGAATTCCCCCGACTACGAGTCCGCCCGATTGATCGCATCGACGATCGCGCGGTCCCCTCTCGTCAAGACTGCTTTGTATGGAAAGGACGCGAACTGGGGCCGGATCCTGTGCGCGATTGGCTACACGCAGGGCGTTGCGGAGGGTACGGTGGTGCCGGAACGGACTAGCGTTAGCTTCAAGCCTGTGGATGGCAGTGCGGAGCTGAAGTTGCTGGTGAACGGCGAGCCGGAGCAGGTGGATGAGGATCGCGCGTCGGTGATCCTGCAGGAGGAAGACTTGGAGATTGTGGTTGACCTTGGAGGTGGTGAGAAGGGCGAGAAGGGTCTTGGTGGAGAGGAGGCGGTTTATTGGTTCTGTGACTTCAGTCACGAGTATGTGACTATTAATGGTGATTATCGGACTTAGGTGAGTGGGAGTAAAAACGTGATTACCGATGTTGCAGTTGGAAGTGGTACTGCAGTTGATTGTGTATAAGTGTGGTATCGGTATATACCCGCAATTGTTACCTTAGTTATAGATCTGCATCAGACACCCCCTTGCAGTTGTACTAAAAAAGGCACCCGAGATGGTCAAGCCAATTAAGTTAATTTTAGATCTTTTGTCAATATGGTTACAAACCAGGTAGGTGCTATGTACAGCTGTGGCGTGGACGTATCTTCGTAGAGAAGATCTTCCCCTCCTGCAAATTGTTAAAAACTAGCCATACATCCATCAAGAACTAAATAATCCAGATCCCAGCCACAACAGCACTCTACCCGAGAAGAAACAGAAAGTTGCAAGAACAAACATAAGCCCTCAAACTTCTTCTCATGCTTTCATCAAAAAGGGGGCCTTATTTAGTTACCCGGAACAAGGCCCTTGAGGCCCGATCCAATGTCGCCCTCACGGGCGGCAATTTCGAAGTATCCGTATATAATTCTGAATAGAAATGTTAGTAGTTACTTCAGAAATCTCGAGACAAGAGTGAAGACTTACGTAACGGCAAGGAGGATACCAGTACCGCTGCCAAGAGCACCAAGGAGGTCAGAAGCGACGGACAGGGCACCAATGCAGGCACCACCGAAAGCAGCGGCAGTAGGGATGACACGCTTGAGCTCCTTGTACATGCTCTGCTCACGGTGACCAGCCATCACGAGACCCTGGTCCTTGAGCTGCTTAGCAACATCACGGGGAGCAGAGCCGGAAACCTCGATCCAGGTCTTGGAGAAGAGAGCGCAAGCGACCAGCATGAAGGTGATGTAAACGGCGGTGTGGATGGGGTCAAGAAGGGCCTCCTTGAAGTTCAGGGGAGGAGACATGTAGTAGGCAATGCCGGAAGCGGCGTGGAGCTGGGCAGAACCCTCGCGAGGCTCCCAAACACCGAGAAGCTTGACAAGGAGGTTGTCAGAGAAGCGAGAGTAGAGCATCTGACTGATGAGGAAGATGTTGGAGCACAGAGCAGACTGAAGCATGATGGGCATGTTGGAGGTGTAGAACAGGCGAACAGGGTAGGAACCACGCATGCCACGCTGGCGGGAGGACTTGACGGGGATCTCGACACGGAAGCCCTGGAGGTAGATCACAGCGGCGAAAACGAGGAGAGTGGCCAGCAGGTTCATGATGTTGGGGAGGTTCTGGCGGTAGAAAGCCTCACGAAGAGCGCGCTGCTTGTCGGACCAGGTCAACAGAAGGTGGAAGAGGGCAATGATGGCACCCTCGAACTCAGGACCACGGCCAGTGTTGATGGTCGTGGGGGAGAAAGCCTTCCAGACGATCGACTCGCAGATGTTGGTCGCGATGAACAGAGAGATACCGCTACCAAGACCATAGCCCTTCTGGAGGAGCTCATCCAGCAGAATGACAACCAAGCCAGCAACGACCAGCTGAACAATCAGGAGGACACAGATACCGGCACCAAGGTCACTGGGCTGGCCGTAAAGACCAGTGAGGACGTAGACACAGGCCTGACCAAAGGACAGGATGATAGCGAAGAGCTTCTGAGCAGTCTGATACAGTTCACGGTCGGTCTTGAGGTCCAGGTTGACATCGATGAGGTGGGTACCAGCGAGGAGCTATCAGAAAAGCCACATATTAGCTAATTCCCGATTTCCGGTTCAACTTGCAAAATTCCCATTACATACCTGGAAAACCATGCCGGAGGAGATGATGGGGGTGATACCCAATTCCATCAGGGTACCACGGTTACTGGCCAGCATCATACGGAGCCAGTACAGAGGGTCGGAGGTGTCAGAGGAGACAATTCCGTACAAGGGCATCTGACTCATGACCAGGAAGATCAGGAGAGTCAACTGCAGAAACAATACATTAGCTTAGAAGCTCTTGTCGAGCTGGACAAGTATCACGTACCCCCGTCCACATCAACTTCTGGTTGAAGGGAACCTTGGTTTCCGGGGCGGCCACCTCCGGGAGGAGGGGCGTGAAAGGCTTGATGAGATCGAGAAACCGGACTAGAATTGAGTATCAGCATTTGCTGACCCATTGAGGTAAAAGATAGAACGCTGTCGCGAAAAGGGCAGCGATCGCGTGCAAGACTCACGTCCGCTCATTGTGACTGTTGCACCTCCCAGAGCTGCAGGATTACTCGAATTAAAGGGGAGGGAAAGAAAGAAAGGAAAGCTGGAGGCGAGAACCAGCTGAAGGAATGGAGGGGAACTACAAAAGAAGAAGGAGAAGAAGTGAAGACGACGGGAAGAGAGAGAGGATGGAGGAGGAGAAAGGGAGGAAGCGATGAGGTCGACGGGGATTGCGGGTGCGATCCAGAGTCGCCTCGCTGGCCACTTTGCGCCCACCCAGCCACGCTAACCCGTTGAGGCCACTTGGTCGCTTTCCTCCGCCCCTACAAGAATTATAATGTCCACGATGCAGCACTATGAGCTGGAAAACGACCAATGATTTGTTTGTATGGTAGGGTATTCGACAATTCTAACAAAAATAGTAAAAAGTATCTCTCTCAAAAAGTACTCTATCTAGGTATCTCAAGGTATCACTGTATAACGGTCATAATCGCCGTTTCCTCCCAATCAAGGCCGTGGTGTTCTGGTATCCGTACGCTTCGGTCAACGTAGAGCAAGCATACCAAGCTGTCAGGGCCCAACAAGACACAGGCAATCATCAATCACGTTCTCCAACTCCCCGAGTCGCTCCTTCAGTCCTTTGTTCTCTTCCTTCAAGATCCCCATGACGCTCCAGGCTTCCGAGGAAGGAACCCCATGACAGATGTTACATTTGGAGCTGTTGGTCCACGAGCTGGCGATGCTCCTCGGTGTCAGCCCTTTTATAACCCGATCGTAAGTAGATGGACGCGCAGGTGTCGGTGCTGGTGCAGGAGTTGGCGCTGGTTTGAGCTCCTTCTGGCTCTGTTGTGCAGGAGCAGCTGTACTGGGTGTAGACAAGGCGATCTGCGAGATATTGGGAGATGGCGCGACCGTCGACGCTGGAGACTCGAGCACTTCGCGGCGGGAGAAGACACTCTCTGCAAGGCTCTCGTCTCCTGAATCGAAGCCGGAGTCGCTTGTAAATGTACCATTGCTGGCGCGTTTGAGGCTCCGCTTGGGGGTCTGAAGTTCAGCCCCCAGGTCAGAGGTACTCTCGTCGTCGCTGGACCGAACCAGCGTGATGCTGCGCAGGCGTGCCTCTTCCTCTCGGCGACGTAATTGCCGCTCATGCTCCAGCTCTTCTGCCATGGCCTTCATGGCTTTTTCTTGTTGGATGACTTTCTCGGCCATGCCATCTAACTGGATCTTGAGGTTCCCGATGCGTGTCCGAGTGACCTCCAGCTCCTCTTGCTTTTCATTCTTGTCGGCCAGAGCTTCATGCAAGGCGAATGTCCTCTGTTTGTATGCAGCCTGTAGCCGCCTAAGTACAGTATCTGCGTTTTGTCTCAGGGCGTCAAAGGCTTCCCGACCTTCTAGATTACTGAATCCAGTCGGGAATAAAGCGGCGTTGATATCGAGGTTCAAGAACTCGTCCTGGGCAGGTTCGGGCAGCTCCGGTCTGTTCTCCCCCTGTCTCTTTAACCCGAAGAACGAGAAGGGACTTGATGATGTAACCTGTTTCAGAGGCGACGGCGCAGTCATCCGCTTCTGAGTTCGGCTTGTCAGGCCCGTTGGGACATTGGGCGACCCGTAGAATTCGCGACTGGCGCGCTTCTCCATATCGTCTGTGGCGGCGGAGTCCTGCTCTTCTGACTGATACACTACTCCTAGGTTGACCGGTTCCGACTTTCCTTGAAACCAGCCCGACAAGCGCTTTGCGCCTTCTTCGAGTCTCTTTCTGGCAGTATTCTCAACTGGTGGGTTCGAGGGAGTAGTGCCGGAGTCCAAGTCTTCGTAGGTTTTGGGTTGATCGGAGAAGAGCTTCCTGGACGGCAGAGGGGCTTGCCGCGGGATAATCTCGGTGTTCGCCCGACGGTGAGAGGGGTGTGAAGGATATTGTTTCGGCGGTAGTGGGGATAACGCATCCGAGCTCGGTGCTAAAGAAGTTACAGGGGTATTCTGGTGGGCAGGTTGATTGTCGGCGTAAGGCTGACAAGTCTCTTCGATTTCGGTCGACGCGACCGCTGTCGAGGATACTTCCGCAGTATTGCTACTCGCAGGCGTGGCTGCAGTTGACGGGTGCTCGGGGTCGCGGAGCATTGTTGAGGTCGAAGGTGACTGGACGGTAGGTGGGAAGGGATGGGGCTTGGAATGACGAAGGGTCGCGGTCGGTCGCACCACTTGGACACGGACTGGAATGCCACGTCGATTTGTCGTCCAATCCAATGCACGGTCACGTATGCCGCGGTCGCTCGTCTGCGAGGAATCAAAAGGGGGGGAAGAGAGGGGAGGAGAAGGACGGAAATGAATAGCTCCCGAAGCTGTCCCTCTAGATCTTCTCGTCTTTGCTGGATTGCGGGGCGATAAACAAGGAATTGATAGAGAATCAAGCGTGAAAACGGTTTAGCAATGGGCCGAAAGTCGACGGTGTATACGTTATGGACAATAGCCTAAGTGGAAACAGGACGCGATTGTAACAGATGTTCTTCAGGTTGATGAACTCGACCGCCAAGCGATAAGTGATCAGACGGCGTACCCGCACGTGCCCCTGTCAGCGACGAGTGCTGAGGATCCTGCACGATCTATCTAGGAGTGGATGGAGCGATCTTGGAGAATTCAGAGCCAAACTGTCTTAGTTGGTGTTCAGAATGTTCGATATGTGGACAACAATCTGACGAGGAATCGCGATGGATCCTTTAGGTCAAGGAACCACGAAATATCGCGAGGTTGGGTATGTATTCTTAGAAGTCATGCTCCGCCAAACAGCAAAAAGCCGGTGGCTGAACAAACTTCTCTTTGCTCCACCACGAGGCCCTGCGCTAGATGAGTGGTGGATGAAGCGGGTGGTTACATGGCCTTTGAGTGATATTGTGCTGTCATGATCTTTTATTAGGCACAAATTCGCCCCATTCCCTCAGCTCCCCTGAACCGGGCAAGCAATGACTCCAGACGGCGCATGAATACCTTTCCATGACCCGACGACGTCATTTGTAGTATCGGCAGAGGCAATGGTCTCCTTGACGACTGGATAGTCGCATCTACCATTGACGCCACGTCCTACGCAGTGACCAAAACGGTGATGCCCCTTTTCCGCTGTCATTGCTAGACAGACCCTGGGGTGCTTAGAGTCTGGACTCTTGGGGTCCCGTTTCATGCGGTTTAGTTCGCAGACGATCCTCTCCTCCGTGAGATTAAGCAATCTCGGGGTTAAGCAATTATTTGCGGAGGATAAGGGGGACACAGCAATATCCACTGTGTTCAATCATTGTCAGTACTCCATCCTTCAACCCGACTGGATGGATGAGTCTGAACTTTGAAGAGCAGGCCTCAAGGACGTCTGGCATGTACGGCTCGGAAATATGTACGTAGTCGGCTTTATACCGTGGAACCTGCGAGGCATAGATAGATGTTAATGTGGGCTGCGTGCAATCGAGCTGCAGCGATGCATCGTTTCTGGTTTACGAGGCATGGTTGCCTAAGGCTTGTGGGGTCACATGCTCTAGTCTCTACCAACTGATTATTTCATTGTCTAGTATGCTGGTATGGAGGGTATGAAGTATACTATACGCATAGTACATCAGGGTTTACTTAGGTAGGATTAGAAATAACTGAAGCGTCTGCTCATCTGACACTTCTACTAGTAGTACTACCACTACCGTACTAACTTCCGGTATATATCTCCAAATAGTAGGGCGCTAGAGTACTAGTAGTATATAGTAGTATACATGCAACCCCCTGGTCTACACCTCCTGAATACTGGTCATCATCATGTATTGCTAAAACCTGATTACAATATACCACGATATTAAAGACAATTTACTTCGCAATGTCCATTGTGAATTAGTAAGGTTCTGGACCTGAGGATGCATGTCGATGTTGATCACTCCCACTTAACCGGGCGGTGAGCCTCAAATGGCCGCAGCTTTGCAGGAACAGCAATCACGATCAGGCTTATGGGTCGAAGCAACAAGATCCTCTTTGCAGACACTAGCCAACTGCACATCAAATATCCAAGGGCTTTCCTTTCATTGTACTCATCATAATTGTGATCTCCTTCCGCGCATATTCTTATACGATCTCCCCGGCATTCCCACACCAGCGACATGGCAAGCTCGGCCGCAAGCGGGTTGAAGTACCTTTCCAATGCGCTAGCAACACCAGAGCAGCTATCAAATTCATCATCATCTATCGACGGTGTGCCTGTTGATCTAGAAGCATCTGTCCGATTTGCGGGCGCGCAGCTCACACAAACAGCGGGAGTTCTGTTACGATTGTCGCAAGACATCATCGCGCAGGCTATTGTGACATTTACCCGGTTCTGGATAGGCTCGGAAGGTGGCAGTCTACGAATATACTCGGTGAAGGTATTCAGAGTCGCTATTTTCTCTTCGAACGAAGTAGCAAAGGTACTGACAGATCATTTTCAACTAGGATGTATCCGCCGCAGCACTGTACATGACTGCCAAGTTATCCTTCCAACCCACCTCTCCCCGCTCGGTGCTAAACGTCTACGCTTTTCTCCTGTCAAAAGATGCGTCGCCATTGTGGTTCATAAACCCCAAAGGGTCGCCAGACAAGGCAATGCCAGAAACCTATCACCTTACGGAAGGCGATTATCACGCACAGCGACTGGTTCTGCTGCGCATCGAGTCGATCATTCTGCGCACGTTGGGATTCAATACGCATGTGGCTCTCCCTCATACTATCGCCTTGACCTACCTCCAGACCCTTGGTGTTCCATCCTCCGCCGTTGCTCACAGAGTATTCGAGCATCTCAACTCAGCGTTGCTGTCGCCGCAGCTGTTATACGTCACGCACCAACCGAACGCCCTTGCCGTTGCTTCGATCTACCTCGCATCCCGGGAAGTGGGGGTCAAGCTCGTCGATGGCGACTGGTGGGAAGTATTCGACGTTGACCGGGAGGACCTCGGATTCTTGGTGGTGGGCATGAGAAGCATGGAGGGATTTGCGCGGGCGGAAATGGAAAAGTGGAAGGGGCGAGGAATACCCATGACGGTGGACGAGCTGGAGGGTGAGATAGAACATAGGAGAATGATGGAAGAGGGTGAGTGAGGACTACACAGCATGCAAGACAGTTCTATCATGCGGGCGCAGCTGGCTTGAGGAAGATCCCGGTTACAGGCTATGAATGTTCCAAAACAAAAGTATCTGGAACACAAAATGGGCCATGCTGGATCCGATATGATGGGATATCGGAGATAGCAACCAGCCTTCCCGAGGACCCGTGGGCGCAGAAAACCCGCCACTCGAGTGACAGGGCCTCTGTTCCTTCGGAGGATGCCATAGCCAGTTATACTTCCAGGTCTTTTAGATGGCACAAGAAGGGACGGACCTACGTAATGATTTGCGGGTAAAACCGAGCCCGGCCCCTCTGCAACTCCGCAATCACCTACCAGAACACTGAGTAGACCAGATGAATAAAGGAAAGTCCAGTGACTGGCAAGCCACATGGTTAGCGAAGTAGTATGATCTCCGGGAAGAAAGTGTCCCAGTCCAGTAAACCCATCTAAAAGTGTGTTGCTTTTGGTGGATGACGGAGCCTCAGCCACCTGATGTACCCCGCGTGCATCGTTCAGGGACTCCGATAAGTTCGTCACCGCCACAGCCAAATCTCATTCCCTCCATCCCCATCATTCCCTCTCTCCTCCTTAAATCTTCCGGTAGATAAGCTTCCTTCCCCTCCATTTCATTTACATATCATCTCCTGACTTCATCCTGACCCACTCTACCAACAGCCCTTCTAAATAACCCAAGAAAGAAACGAAACACCAACCAGACAGACAAGCAAGCAAGCAAACAACTAAAGCAATGAACATCCTCCACTCCACCCTCTCCACCTGGCGAGACCGTCTCGCCCCCGTCTCCCGCACCTCAACCTTCCGAACAACCGGCCAGATCACCCCCGAAGAGTTCGTCCTCGCAGGCGACTACCTAGTCTACAAGTTCCCCTCCTGGTCCTGGGCCGATGCCGCAACCCCCGCAAAGCGTGTCTCCTACCTTCCGCCCGGAAAGCAGTTCCTGGTAACCCGCGGCGTGCCATGTCACCGACGGCTAAACGACAACTTCGCCGGGGACGCAGGCCACGAAGACGAGATCGTCCGTGGCATGCTAGCGGGTGAGGGGGACAACGATGACGATGGTTGGTTGCGGACGGGAGGCGGCGATAACGCAGCATCGTCGTCATCATCAGCTCGGATCGGCGATGTACGGACGGTCGACGAGGCCGGGAATATGGGCGAGGTAGAGGAACCCGAGGAGGATGAGATTCCGGATATGGAAGATGAGGATGATGATGAAGAGGCGATTATTCGGGAACCGGTGACAGGGACGACGCAGTAAGTTGACCTCCCCTCCTCTATCTGCAACATCAAGGAATCCGCAGCATCAACGAAGCTAATAAATAAATAATCCCAAACAGACCAACCCGCACCTACAACCTCTACATAACCTACGCCAACTTCTACCGCACCCCGCGCCTCTACCTCTCCGGCTACCTCTCCGCATCTGAACCCCTCCCGCCCCAACTAATGATGGAAGACATAGTCGGCGACTACAAAGACAAAACCGTCACCCTCGAAGACTTCCCCTGGTTCGAAGGCAGCGTAAAGATGGCGACCGTGCATCCATGCCGGCACGCCTCCGTGATGAAAACCCTCCTGGATCGCGCCGACGCAGCGCTCAAGATCCGTCGCGATAAGCTCAAGGCCGCGGCCTCGGCGCACGCAGAGCCTGATGCGAAGGTCGCTGCTGGAGCGGGCGGGTTGGAAGGGTTAGTAGATGATGTTAAGGGATTGTCGGTGAGTGAGGGACATGGCGGCCAGGGGCAAGCAGGTGGTGATGAGTGGGAGATGCTGCAGCATGATGAGGAGGATCAGGTTGCCATTCGCGTGGATCAGTATCTGGTTGTGTTTTTGAAGTTTATTGCTAGTGTTACGCCGGGGATTGAGCATGATTTTACCATGGGGGTCTAGATAACTGACTGACTGACTGACTGACTTGAGAGGACCCGCCTCCCCCCTCTTTTCTTTCGTTATTGGGTTGCCTTTTCTGTTGTTTTGTTTTTTTTTCTGTTGTTGTTGGTTTCGGGGTTTTCTTAATACGGGATCATGAGCTTGATTTTATACTTGATCTTCATCCGCCTTTCTGATTCTGCTCTCGTTCTTGTCCCTTATTCTGCTTTGTTGGTGGCCATGCAATATCTCTCCACCCCCGAGGTCCCCATGCACTGGCGCGAGGAAACAAATTATTGATGTTTATTACGAGACATGAATATGATATCACGAGACATTAATGCAAGATACTCTTATTGTCTTTTCTATATATTCCTATTAGACTGAATATCAATGATATTGAAGAAAATCAACTGTAAATAATAGTAGTAGTAGTAAGTAGTAGTAGTAGTAGTAGTAGTAGTAGTAGTAGTAATACAACCCAAAGAACATTACAAGGTTCATATGCTAACCACCCAGTGATTCAGAAAAGAAAAGAAAAGTAAGAGAAAATGAAAGGGAATGAAATGGGACAAAAAAACCATCCAGACGAAATCAACAAGCAATAGACACAACACAGTGTTTCCAGTTAAACTAGAATCACTCTGGGGGAGAATTTGTATATCGAAGGGGGGAAAAATATGGGATTTGGGAGAAGAGGGGTAGGGAATGAATGATGGTGATTGACAAAAGGAAACTTTGTGGGGGATGATGGGGCAGGGGCAGGGGCAGGGGGAATTCATGAATGAGAGTTATGGATAGAGGCAAAGAAAGTGGAAGGGGTGATGGGAAACGTATGTCAAGCTCACGCAGGGCATTGACAGGTGTATGCAGGCAATGCTGGAGCAGCTGGGGAAGGAGTGGGTATGATCCTGGGCTCGGATGCAGGCTCGTGGTCAGGTTGGGGCTCTGGTTGAGGGCTTGGTGTAGGGTTGGGCTGAGGTGCAGGGGTAGGCTCGGGGGCAGGAGATGACTCCGGTTCAGGGGAAGGTCCATGTTCAGCTGGAGGCTCAGGAGACTGCTGCTCAGGCTCAGGCTGTGGCTCAGGCTCCGGTGCTGGGCATGCTTGCACTGGCTCCTCAGGTTCTTCGGTCTCAACAGGAGGAGCCGGCTCGGAGGGGGTAGACGGAGCTGGGGGTGCTGGAGGAGCAGTGGTAGGGGGAGCAGCTGGTGGAGTAATGGTTGGAGGAGCAGGAGGAGCAGTAGTTGTAGGAGGAGCCGGGGGAGCAGTGGTTGTAGGGGGAGGAGGAGGGGGTTGGGTAGTGGTGGTAGTTGTAGTAGGAGGGGCAGGAGGGGCAGGAACAGAAGTCTCAATAGGAGGGTTGACTGGTGGAGGTGGAGGGGCCGTTGTGGACTCTGGGATGGTGGTAGTGGAAGTAGTCGAGGGCTTTGGCCGTGGCTCTTCAGATTCTTCATAGTTGTTACTGAAGTAGTTGCCCAAGTTGACGCTGGGACCACCCGGGATGCCGATATTCATCGAGTTCCCTGCGTTGGTGTTGCTGGACTCACTTGAGCCCTCATTGTCATCCATGTCGCCCCCACGGTCTTCGCGATATGCGTTCGAAGCGTACTGGCCAGAGTTGTAGGATGGGCCATCAGGGATAGAGAAGCCCATGTTAGAACCGGACTGGGTGTTGGTATTGAAGTGGTGGCTCTGTCTTCGCACAACGGCTCCATCCTGCAGTATGTGTTAGCTTCGCTGATGTTTAAGCTTGAATGCAAGATTGAGGTCTAACATACTCCAGCAGCGACAGGTGCAGACAGGACGGGAGCGACAGCCAGCACGAGGCATAGCAGTGCCGGAAGGCTCTGGAAGTTGTACATTGTAGAAGGAAAAGAATGTGACGTAATTATCAAGAGAAGGAAACTATGGGAGTTGAAGGAGCGAATAACCAAGTTAGAGACAGACAGGACTGGAATGAGCTGTGAAAGAATGAATGCTGTGATCTGCAGCGGATGAATGCTCTGATGAAAAGAATGTCAGCATGAGATTTTGGCCTTCTTATACCAAAAGACAAGACACTCCGTCCATTGCGGTATACAAGGGTTCCAAGACCCTATCTAGGACATTATCCCTCAGCATAGGGCCAGCCGAAGGGCCATGCAAGGCCCACGAGACAATGGCGCCGATAGTCATGGTGACCTCATGGCGAGGAGGAGCTAGCCACTCTTCAGGAGATAGCCCCTCCGAAGGGTGACATCCCTGTAACAGTAATTGAAGCAGTGCCGAGGTTGAAAGGGAACTGGGATGATAAGATAGGGAGGGATGGGGGCTTGACCGGGTCGGGGGCGGACGCAAGGAGAGCAGAGCCTGTTCGACCAGATGTACACAATACTGCGAAGAACCAAAATCAAAGAAAACCCCTGTTCTCAGAAAGACTCCCCGTAGCTTTAATATTTACACATAAGTGTCCGATGCATATGCAAAGAGATAAGTTCCGTCATATTCGTCAGTCATGGTATCCGTCCAAAAAGATAATGGCCCATCCCGTAATCTGGGGTCCATCGTAACCATAGTCCAATCGTGGCTATAAGTTTATGAGGTTAACATCCACAACAAAATATCTGCGACCGCACGATAATCCTTCCTCTTCTACCCTACACCTTCCCACAGTCTGAATTTCCAAAAGCCGTACCAAAGTTCGTCGTATTCTTGAACCTTAATTCGGGCTCATCACCCTGACTGGGGGGCTCGACTTCAGCCTGTTTCTGATCAGTGCTTCGGGGATAGCCAAGGGCCTGCTTGACCTGGTCCAAAAGCTTCTGATCAAGCTCCTTCAGAAACTCACTATCATGCTCTTCCTCATTCAGCAAGGTAAGTGGCCCCTTCAGGGCAGGGTCATCCGCCAAATCCCCAAAGTACGAGTCGGAGTTTTCTGCAGGTTGCCGAGGCGCTTCCGAAGCGAGGGGTTCCTCCTCGTTCGCGGTCTCCTGGGGTGACGGCTGCTCCGTGTCGACGTCCCGATCGATCCTAGCCATGGGTGTGTGACCGGCGTTCCTGGTCAGGTTAAACTCTGGGGGGCCAAGTTCAGACAGTTTCAGTTTGAGGCTGTTGCGGTGCTCAGCAGAGGGTCTGGAAGAAAGTGATGGAGAGCCCTCAAGGGATGGTGGCGATGGTGGCGTAATTACTCGAGCGACAATTTCTGGCGGCAAAGCCGAGGACTTGAGCGTGATCCCGTCAAGTTCGCTATCAAGCCTCTCAATTGGGACAGGCACGCATGTGCTCGAGGTCAAGTCAGTCGCATGGGACTTGGGTGAAAGGGCAGCGTCCAAGGATGGCGCAGAGACAGATGGATTGCCTCCTTGCTCCGGAAATAGGAGGCCTGAGAAGTCTGTCTTCTCCGCGTTAGGGAATACCCTCGTGGGTTTGCTTCCAGGGCTAGAGCCTTCCCACACTTGGGTACTTGTCGGGTGAGAAGAATCAGTATGTTCTGCCGAAAGTGGGTGACTGAATTGGCTGTGAAATGCAGATGATGATGATGATACATAATGTTGAAAAGTGCCGGTCGGAAGCGCGGCTGTACTAGTAGCGGCGGTCCCTGTGGATCCCCTACCCTTGAGCAGCGACTCTAATTCAGAGATCCTCTGGTTTAGTAACGCACGCTCATTCTCCCATAGATGGCGTTCCTCGTTGAATAGCTTCCTCTCATGCTCGAAGTTTGCCCGCTGGCGATCGAGGAGCGACCGCACTTGTCTTAGGTATTCGGCGCTTACAACCGAATAACTGGCTGCTTCGATATCTGGGCCGCCAGTATAGTTTGGCCTCGAGTCGAGATGAGTGTCCGGTACTGACTGTGTTCGACGGACGGGAGTTGGTGTAGGCGAAAAGCGAACCTCCTTGTAGAGGCTCCCACGACCATTGGGGGACTTTGTAGCGGTTGCTGGCTTCATTTTGGAACTATTGGAGTTGCTGAGATACTCCCGGGGCAGTTTGGGTCGGGTGGATTCCCTTCATAAAGAGACGGGAAGATGAGAGAGAAAAAAAGAGGGAGAGAGAGGGGTAAGGGGAGGGCGAAAGGAGCGAACAATTGGCGAAACAGTCACAACGTGAATGAATTTAGTTCGGTACTAGCTAAAACATCAGCCGAGCTAGATACAGCAGCAAGCATCACAGTGATGATCGCGCGTGGAGCGACTGAATGTCATTTAAACAGCGGTAGGAGAGTAGAGGGACAGAGGGAGGGACAAGTAAGAACCGGGGAACCACACCGACCGGGTTAACCTACCAGTGGCAAATAAGATGGGGAACGGTGGGGGAGCTTAGTTACTACTACTTAGTTGTCCGGAGTGGGCAATCGAGCGTTGATAAGCCACCGGTGCCTGAAGCAGAGTTTCAATCCGCAGGGCGAGCAGCTTCGTGCGTCGTGGACCAAAGACGTTGTTGCTGGTAGCAGCCTGCGACCACAAGAGAATGGACAAGTGGACGATGCGCTTGAATTGCAGACTGCAGCGCGAAAAGGCACACAGCATTTATCAGGCGGCGGGAGAGCCTATGAGCAACAAGCCAGCCTGCAGGATGAAGAGATTAATTATTATGCCAATCTTTCTCTCAAACCCGACTGAGGTGAGAATTGATGACAGGATGGGAAGAAGATCCACCCAAATGCGGGGAGGAGCCAAAAGAAAAATGGAATCAATAGAAAGGATATTACTACTCACTACCAACACTTATTACTCGATATACCAGGAGATCAAAGTGCTCAGTGGTTCGATATCAGACGTGGGGGGTTTAATAGCAGGCTGATATCTTCCAAGACCAGACAGGGAAGCAAACCAGGATAGGGGAACAAAACAGGAAGGAACAGAAGAAAGGGAACGTCCAAAAGAGAAAACAAGAGGAAGAAGAATGGCAGTTAAGAAGAAGAAGAAGAAGAAGCGTGGGATTGAAATGTAATTTGGCTGCTTTCTTCAACCACCAAAAGGAACTTGAGGCCGACGATCACGAGGCAGACCATGACGTTATTGCTTGGATGCGCAACAGCAGCAAACAGTCACTCTTTCTTTCCCTGGGGTTTCATCTCCATATTCGGCTCATTTCTTCTTCATTCCCCCTAGCCTGCACACCAAGTAGTAATCAGGTCTTCTTCTTCCTCTTCTTTCTCGTCTTCCCCCTCCTTCTAGGCTATGATTTCATGGTCCAGGCGGGTCAATGAATCCCCATCATCTGGTACGTCCAGCAGACGGACCGATCTGAAGCTAACCCACTACACTAACCGTGCGGGCGGCAACGGTTGCTGCTGCCCGCTGCAAGTCCCCCATGCATCTACCAACTATGATCATGCTACTTTTCCTAGCTTGCAGGAAAAAAGGAAATGACCAGAAATGACGCTGATTCAAATAGCTCTATCCATAGTAGAAAACATGACGCTTGAAAAAAAAAAAAAAAAAAAAAAAAAAAAAAAAAAAAAAAAAAAAAAAAAAAAACAAAACAAAACAAAACGAAGAAGACCCTTCCAAGAATGCAAAAACCTATCGCTTCCCGCCCGTTTGCGACCAAAACACCCATTCTCCGTGCTCATGCCCATCCCCCCACCCCCAAACCTCCAACGTGACATTCCGAGATGATTGGCAATCAAAGAGTGGAGTACCTCAAGACTAAGACAGTCTACTGCGCAGTGTGTGCGCATATTAAACTCTCTTCGCACCGATCTCCCTAAACGTCATCCTGCAGATAATAGTCCCAGTGGGTATCTGATCGGAAGGAGGAGGAAACCGCCCCCCCAGTCGGAAAAAGTAAATGGCAGGACAAGTGAGACAAAGTATTACTAATGTAGACAAAGAGGAAAAAGAGGAGATGATCCTGACCAAAACAGATAATAACACCCGGTTCCTATGCGATAGAGAGCTTCATCTGTGACGCCCGCGTCTCAGCCTGTAGCGATTTCTTTGCATCGTCCATGACATGTCGATGCATCGACGGTAGTGGAAAGAAATGGAGATCCTTCTGCAAAGCTCCAAATATCGTCGCCAGATACCAGATACCCCGCGCGGACGACTCCAGATTCCCTACTGCAGCAGAAGGGAAGTAGAAGCGAGGATCTAAGTAAAACATGGTACTTGTCCAGTTCGGCAGCTTTTCCATCAACATGCGAGCAGCTGCTTTATACTCCTTCAAGGTCCGCTTCGGCACGCCTGTTTGCGAGTGGACAAAGAAGAAAATCTCAAACCCGACACTGCGAATGCGCTTGCGCGCCGTGGGACTGATAGTGTCAAGGAAGGTGCCCAAACGGTCAAGATTGAACGAGTTCAAGAAGAAGAGCGTATTCTGCGAATACACGAAATCCTCCACCTCATCGTGGATTTGTCGGTTCACGGAAAGTAGGCTGCGAACTCGACCGTTCTCACCCACCCAACTGGGACACATCGAGAGAGCTCGGTATCGGCCGCGGGCAGTGAAGACGTTCCCGCGGTCATTGATCACGATCATCGGACGATCCGTGAATTCGTTTGGAACGACCAGAGCATATTCGTAGATCATAAGACGAAGCTCCAGAGGCAATTTGAGAAATGGCGATGGTTTGGTTGAATTCGTCTGGGGAGCATCCACCCAATGCTCCTGTGGTCGTGGGATTCCCATTGTGAAGAGACAAGACAAGAAGTAGTATGTACTAGCTCACGCTAGCTAGTGGGTTCGTTCGGAGTCCGTCGATGAAGGAAGCCAAACAGAGATCCACTTCAGATCGAATCACTCATAGTACAATAGTACTAGCACATAGAATAGACCAGATGTGCAACTCCGTCTATGGTTCAGTAGTAGCGTATTTGCCAACACCGCAAGAGGAGTAAGTACTAGTATATAAACCCACTCCACAACGTCAGCTCCAACGCAAGGAGAGAAACCCCAGGCCGTAAGTAGTACTAGTACTAGTAGTAGACAAGATCCAACGTGTCACCAGTCCACCACAGAACCACTAGCCCATTCGTAGTATACTACCACCACAGGGCAAGCAAGTGACAACAACGACAACCGAACAACCGATGATCAGGCTATCACTGCCAAGGACGGTTATTGCTACAGATGTTGTCTCACCATACCATGAGGTGTTGGATATGTAGTAAGACCACAGCACAGCAAGTAGTAGTAGTAGTAGTAGTAGTAGTAGTAGTAGTAGTAGTAGTAGTAGTAGTAGTGATCTGACTTGCGGAATCCTTCCAAAGCAGCAGAAAGCCACTCAGCAAGCAAGCAAGCACGCCAATAAGTACCAGCTAATGAGGGCAGTATTCCTCCGAGAACCGGTAGAGCGTAACGGCTAAAAAGCCCAGTAGTGTTGGGGTCAATGAGCTAGTACCGTAGCTCGATCAACCTGCAGAATTGACCGGGCTATAGATAACCGAGGGTATATGTGAGTAGACGAGTCGAGTGACTTGAAACCACTGCAGCAGCGTAGAACTGGGGAGGGGGGCGTGTGATGAGAAGAAGAGGGATTGAGGGGAAGGCAAAAAAAATATCAGACCACCTCTGATCCCTTTATTTTTTTTTTTGTCTTTTTATTCCATTTATTTTCTTTAAATAAAAATATTCGCCTCATTTTGGTATGGATGCGAAAAAAAAGTTTTTTTTTTCTAATTGAATGAAACAAACCACGTTACTTCGGACCGAGAGCCAGCCAAGTCGGAATAGAAATTGACTTTTTTACCACCTTTTTCGTCTGTTTTCTTTTGAACTGACAAACTTTATCCTTTCCTCTTCGTTCAGGTTTTCCCTTTCTATGCTTTCGGGTAGGGCCGTTCGGGGTGGTTCCGTAGTAGTAGTACTAACTACTATACCGTTGCCCTGCCTCTTAACAAATAAGGGATTTTTATGTTCTATATGTCTACTAGGTGTGTTTACCGTTGTATGAATAGTCAGTAATGTCATAAGAGAGATACATAGTAGAAAGAATAAATTGAAAGGACATGTACTACTTACTGTATGTAGTACTGTAAACTGCTTTTCTGGCATGATTCAGGAAATTCTGTTGGTGATGCAATAACGGGATTGAGGAAGTGGTTTAGGCTTCTTCCGGGCCGGTTTTGGGATTCGCCACCGGGGCCTCGCATGACATACAACTGCACATATTAATTCAGGATTTGAGAGGGTGAGTTGTGTGAAAGTCTGGTAGTTTGTACTACTACTACTACTATTCAGTATGATTGAGGGTTTTTTTTTTTACTGGTATGTTTACTACTTACTAGTTGAGGTAGGACTTGCAGTTACTATTATTAATACTGAGTATAACAGCTTTGTGATCTGGAATATACTTTTGTTGGGATGTACGATGTAACTAGGAAGTAGTAATAGTAGTGACAGATCCTACTTCAACTCGAAATAGTAGATGATTGTATTATGTGACAATGATGATGATGATGATGATGATGCTGTTTGTTATCTGCTTCACTACTCTATTTGCTTCTCTTTGGTCTCCTGATAACAGAGCAGTATGTATATCTCAAGTACGCCGATAAACACCAAGTAACCATGCAGCTCGCAGGACAGCCAGTCCCCAAGCCATGCCGATGCTATCCCGGATTACATTCAACTTGCTGCCCTTGACCTCTCTCCATCCAACGGGCACCTCGGCCACGGGGATGTCGGCAAATTCGGCGAGCATAAGCATCTCCACGTCGAATATCCATCCCTCGGAGTGCATATAAGGAATAATGTACGGCAGCGACGCCCGGGAAAACAACTTGAATCCACATTGCGTATCCTTGATAGTGGCCGTCTTGGAGGGTGTCAACAGCCACAAGATCAGATGAAATGAATGCATGAGGAAGTTGCGCAGCTTGGAGCGCTGTATGGGAATCATCGGTTAGCTATCTCGGGTATAGAGAAAGGATACGGTAGAGCATACCTTGACTACAGCTTCACTTCCCACCATGTGCGCCCGAGATCCAACGGCCACTGCGCGTCCTTTCGCGTCCTCGGTTTCCTGGCAGGCCGCGACAAGCTTTCCTAGATCCTCGAATTTGCTCGCTCCGTCGGCATCTGCAAATACAACATACTGGCCACGGACATGTCGCATGCCGTGGGTGACGGCTCCACCCTTGCCCCTGTTCTCTGTCAGACACACCACCCGGATAGTGCCCGGGGGAATGCGGACACCCTCATGCGTCCCCGGAGTCCAAGGGCCAGCGTAGCCCTTGGGGTGCATTGAGAGTTGATGATCACGAGCGAATGTAAATGCTATCTCTTCTGTTTTGTCCTTGGAGCCATCAGAGACAATAATGATTTCCCACCCCTTGTTGTCATGTACCGGACGATGAGTCGCAGAGCCATTGGTGTGCCCATTGGCCTGTTTCCGTTGACGCACTGCCTTTTCCGCCGTAACGGTCTCAGCGCCATTGGCGGAGTTTGTTACCGTGCCATAGACCTTTTCCAGGTAATCCACTGCCTCTTCCAGCATGCCTGCCAGGCGGTCTTCCTCATTATATGCGGGTACTACCAATGACATGAACAAATCCGCTTCCTCCATCGAGGTGTGGTCGAGAACCCGACCGGGGCGTTTTTGAGCGTCTAGGGCATCTTGCCAGCAAGGTAAATCGAGGGGCTCCGTGATCGATCCATTCTTCAGGAGCGTACGATATTTCTTCTCTTCAGGGAACGGCTTCCGCGGGACCGGGGCGACGATGTAGAGAGTGATGTAGAACTAGACAGGATAAGGGCCGCTAGTTAGCGTAACTGTTCTAATTGCGTCGCCAACTAAGGGCATTCCCAGTTTACGGGGGAGCCATAGGCGCAACGGTAAACCCGAGGATCAATGCAATCTCAACATACCAGGACGGACAGACCAGCAAGAGTTGCGACCAGGGTAACGAAGAGGACCGAGAGCGGAACGTTCGCCAGGAGCTCGGCGCAATGACCGCAGGTACCGAGGAAGGTACCTTCAGCCATGATGTTGAGTCTTGAAAAGAGCAGGGGGTGGTAGAGACGTCGGGCGAAGGGACAGATGGCCTCGAGCGGATGAAGATAATCGCGGACAGGCAGCGGATGGAGAGGGGAAGTGAGCTTCAAGTGCTCAACGGGACAGAGACGATCCGATCTTGGCCAGCCATGCGACACGGAAGCTGTCTTGAAGGATTGATCACCTCACTAACATGGAGAGAAAGAGCAGCGATCCGGAACAGAATGACGGTGAACAACAATGGCCATCGTCCGGGACCGAGGGAAGGATGGCAAGGCAATAATAAGGTAGGAGGAGAAGGCGGAGGAGGAGCAGCTCCGAAGGGGAAACGTGGTGAGATAAAGATAGGTTAGTAGAGCGGGCTTTAGCCTTTAGCATCCAAGCATGAGACGCGTTGCAGACGCCAACTTGTCCTTTCAGTGGGTTTCATTCGTTCTGCAGGCTCCGCTCGGCTTCGGCTCCCCCACTCGGGGCTCGGTTCATCGCTCCGCTCTCTACGTAAGTATGTATTATGCTGGTTAGTCTACGCAATATGAAGATCTCTCGCATCATCTGTTCTGTTTGTTCTCTTGATAGCTTCTTCGTTAATTACATACATACCAGTGACTTCGTTTTCTATTTCATGCTCCCCCACCATGATGGGAGTAGTAGTAGATCTAAATGCTCTCACGCCCGTCTTCTCCTCTCCCTATACCAGTAGGGATGATCTTACACTATTAATAGATTTTGTCGGAGGCCCAAGACAGGCTTGAGTGAGTAGCTGCTGGATGAAACCTTGATCGGGTGGAGGCTGACACTATCCTCCTCGACAGTCCTTTTCATGTCGCATGGCAATCTCATCTGTGATCGACCTCCAAAGCGGATGCAGACAAAAGCTAGCTGCCAGTCTTGGGCCTCAACGGGACTCGCATCAATACTTATTTCACCACAATCATATGGCTCTCCTTTTTAGAGCGCCCAGATACCGGGCCTTTATGTTATTGCGGCGAGGACTTTTGGTGGTATTATAATAGATCGGGCCATCCAGATAGCGTCTCTCGCAATATTCGATACTTCACAAACGTCCAAATTGCATGGCTCACAAGTGGGCCAGCCAGGCCGTCCTCATGTTTCGCGCGCGTCGTTGCCTGCACTATCCTGACTGGCCTCACTCGGCGTGGAAAAGGGGTTGTGTTCTTCGGCAATAGTCTCAAGCTCCAGGGCGAATGGGGTAGCAGAGAACTTCCGCTCGTTGGGGTCATATGTGATCCAACGTCCAAACTGCTCGCTATTAGCATGACTCTTTTAACGCGATCATAGTATATTCCTATCCACAGGAAGCTTACCTTGGCAAGCCTGATTCCCAGCCATATGCACCTGTACATCCTGGTGATATCCCGTGACGGCGGCTCAATGTTCCTGCCCTCGCCGGCAGTAGGTGCGTTGTCGAAGAAAGATGCAGGATAGAGACGTTGGCTCCAGATCTGGCCACGGATAAGGAAGTCTTCCGCTACCCAGGTGGTCTCTTCCGAGACGGGAAAGTCTTCCCTCTCGGCGATCTCGGGCCTGATGTAGCTGCGAAACAGAGTATTGAGAAAGGACACAAGTTTTCTCCACGGTACTGCAACTTCCAGGCGGTTCATACCTCGCGGTGTAAGTGACAAGCACCAGAGGAATGCTAGAGAGACATGGCATGCTGCGTATATGTTCCTGTCAGGGACCTGATTGACTTGTTCGAGCATCACGGACAAAGTGTGGTAAGCGAGGTAGGACCCGTAAAAGAGCAGAGGCGATGGATTTGGGGAGTCCCGAGATGCTAAAAACTCTGCTTGCACGGCCTCGAGGTCATTGACAGGAATCCAGGCGTTGGCAGCAGAGTCGTAGACCTCTTCTAGTGACTCTACTTGCGACTGCTCCGCCTCCTGGAACTCGAGGCCCAGGTAAGCGTCGGGGCTGCCATATTCTAGCATGGCGGAAATATTACAAGCGCAAATGAAGAACCCTTGTAGCCTGAATGCAGCCCCCAATTGGCTTATAGTCTGGTTCAGAAGCGATGCAAATGTGTCGATCGACTTAATAAAGCGATCTCCGACGTCTCTAGTGTACAAGTAGCCATGTGCGGTCACAAAAGCGCTTACTAGTGGCAGACGACCAAGTGCTCGGGGACCTCTTAGGAATGGATTGAAGAGGAGAAAAATACTCTCCCGTGTGCCCGCGAACGGCTGAACACTGACCAGAGATCTCGTATAATAAAACAATTGCTGGATGATATCCGGTCGGGCCAAAACCGCCAGATGATGCTGGATTCTGCCCACACTCGGGTTCCGGTCTGCAGCCTGGTTGTACCAGTATCGTGCCACGCCCGCCCAGGATTCACGTTCGCGAAGGTCGGATTCCTCCACGGCCATCCGGTAGCGCGAGAGATCTCCCAGACACTCAATCCAGGTATCTTGAAAGGCGGGCACCGATTCGAGCATCAGTGTGAGCATGGAATAAGCGTAGTAGATGAAGGCTAGCATGTGCTCCAAGGATTCAGGAAGCCGATGGCGCAGCAATTCCAGCAACGAATGGATTCCGTGGCGCCATAGTCGTGCAGGCATGGCATATTTCTCCGCTAGGCGTTTGAGCACAGGGCTCGCGACAGGATGTTGGGAGCAAAGGAAGAAATCGTGATACTCTTGCAGTATAGTTCCGTGGGTTCCAACCAAGCTTTGATATTGAGCGTGCGTCATCGTGGGCCATTCTTGGGCCTGCTTGTGCAACACCTCGCATCTATTTTCCGCCATCATCAACCCGGCATAGATTCCTCGAACATCCTGAATCAGTCTTTCTTCTGTGCAATAATCAGTTTCTACTAGCTGAAGTATAAGCCCATTTGATGCTGATGTACCTCCGGATGTCCCCGTGACCGCGCCGGCGGGACTATGAGCATTGCTCAATTGTCTCGCGGACTCTTGGCCATAGCTCAGATCTTCCGCAGACTCCCGTGACACTTCGGAGAGGGAGGCCATCTCGTCTGGATTGGCGCTTGGGTTCATTGGCGGACGGCCGGCATTCATAATGGGACTGGAGCGAAATGCTTGCGAATGAAGCGGGGATGAGCCGCCATTACTTTCGCCTATGTCGTCCGCCGTGGGGGCGGCATCTCTAGGAAGGCGGGAATTACTGTCAGCCGGACTAGCCTGCCCCATTCGACTTTCAGCTACTGCGCGGCTTGATGAGCGGACTAACTCGGTGTCAGACCGCCTCCATTGCTCCTGCCATGCTTGACGACACCCGTTCGGCACGTTGGAGGAAGCAAGGTCGGCCGCTTGCTCACTCACGCCATCCGAGGCAAAATCATCCGGGATGGCGCCCCCTGAGTCGCCTCTCTTGTGCGAAAATGAGGCACTGGCAGAGTGAAACGCTCGATTGGTAGTAGAGGATCCGGCAGGGGAGCCAGCATCTGACACCAACGGTGGTAGTGGCTTCCTATATGGACTGTTAAAAACACCGCAGATGGTAGTTACCCGACGATAATTTGATAGACCAAAAAAGCAGAAGATACAATATCATAGCGCGATACATGGACAAGCATTCTGGAATTGGTTCAATAGCCCGGTGTGTTGGGGGAGGGGGATACTACTCACTTGGGGTGGGAGGAAGAATTCGGATAGGTGTCCGGGTTGACGGGCTCTAGTAGGGCTGTTGCAGAAGAAGCTCGATCATGATATGAAACCAGTAGGGAGTCCTGGCCAGCATTTCCGTCACTCATCGTATTGGCTACCGTAGGGTTATGTAACACGTCATCTGATCCGTATCAGCGAGCCGTCCAACACCAAGTATTGATAAGACGATCAGTCCGATGATGGTGGAGCTAATGCGACAGGTGAAGGATGGTGTGGTGGCGGTGGTAGTGGCGGTGATAATGGAACAGTAGTGGTCCTGGGGCAGAAGGGCTGCAGAGACGAGAAGGAAAGAGGAAGATTGAACCAAAGAGGAGCGGGTGAATGTGCGCAAGTAGGGAAAAAGACTAATATATAGTAATCGTGGCGCAAGTGAAGTGATGTTGGCGATGACGGAGGAAGCCGAAAGGAAAACAGAACGAGAGACGGGGGCAGTGGTTTGAGAGTAATAGATCGGATCAGATCTACAATGACATCAAGGCCTATGTGACAAGCAAAATTGGGAAACCTTGAACAGCACAGCGAATCACAGGGAGATAGTAGATCGAGAGAGCAAGCGAAGAGAAGGAGGAGGAATAATAGTAGAAGTAGTGATGGTGGTAGTGGTAGTGGTCGCAGTAGCAGAGGGCTTTTAAGTAGAATAATAGTAGACATGGGCAGGAGAAGGAGGTAAATAAACGACAGTCATAATAATATAGGGAACTGACGATAATAATCAAATAATAATGGTAATACTGACCTGGACACGTTGGAGGGACACGGCGGGATTATTTAAGAGGCAGATGACATTTAGGTTCTTTAGGCAACTAAAGTCATCTCTGCCTAGGAATTAGAGTGAGCAAACCGGTTAGTAAAATTGCGCACGAACACCGAAAGGAACGATTGATAGTCCAACCCACCTCGGCGTGATAGTAGGAAGGCTAATTTCCCCTTGAAGAATGGATAGATCGAGAAGGTCAAATCGCGGAGACAAAAAGCGACTAAGAAGAAGGCGGAGAAGAAGAAGAGCGAACAGCAGCAACCAACGCAGCCAGCCAGTTTCCAGCAAGCGGCGGCAGCAGGAGCAGCAGCAACAGCGGTAGCAGTACATTAGTTACTTACCGTAGGGGGAAAAGGGAAAAGGGAAAAGGAAAGGAAAAGTAGTTAGTTAGTCTTCTTCATCCTCTTCTCTTCCTTTCTTTTCTGTCAACCTTTCTGTGTTTTTTATTTATTTTTGCTCTTTATTTTTGAATTCTTTTTTTGGTTGTTCTACTAATGAAAACTAATTTTCACTTCCATTACTTACTTACTTATTACTACTGTACGACTGACTTAACTTTTTTTGACTCTTACCGGTGATACTTGGATGGATGGTATTGATACCAGGAAGAGAGGGGCTTGCTGGTCTTTGGCTGGCTGGAACTGGCTTGACTGGCCCTTTCATAATCACCATAAAACGGTTTCACCGCGGTAATTTTCCGGTATTGGGGTAAGGATGACTTGGCGGCTATGGCTGCCTGTAATTACCAGAATCACCACGAAAGTGACCAAACTCGGGTAAGGATACGGATGAGGATTGGTAAGCCGCAGTTTTCGGTAGCCTGACGATTTGCGGGCAGTTGCCTCGTCGACTTTGTCCCACTCGCTGTTCTCCCTCCAGTTTCTCTCAAGGGATCAACCTGGTAATGCTCTGGGATGATCATCTGGTGAACTTTGAAGATCGGTCCCGATCAGTCCTTTGCCTATATCATTTCCTTCTCACATTTCTCTTTTGCTGCCCCCTCTCTCTTTCCCCCCCCCAAACTCCGAATAGAACCGCATCGTGGCGAGGTTTTGTTTCTCGGTCCCCGGCCTTGTGTGGCGCCGCTTTGCTACCACTATACTACTAAGAAAAGACGGCTCCGTACTACTTACTAACTATTGCTCCTGCCTCAATTCTATCTGCCTGTGATCACGGCTTCCAAAGACACTTCGGCAAGCTCACTTTGGATGGTTCAAAAGTTAATGGTCTGTGTCTCGACGGTTTGCTAGCAATAGCCGATCGACTTCCCCTCCCCTCGAGCGCCACATCCTTCTAGGCAGGGTAAATTGGATATCATAGTATGCTACCGACTCGGTTACCACCAAAGCTGCCCACGCTCCGGATCTCCCTTCTTATGCCTTCTTTCCTTGTTCCTTCCCACTCTCTCTTTCTCTTTCCCACCCCCCCTGGTCCCCTAAATCTCCACGAGGGTCGCGGCATACTTATCTGTCACCCCCTGTTTCAATAGTCTCTAATTACCATCTATCTTTTGACGGTCCTCCCGCAAGAATTCGAGGAGTTGGCAGACAAACCAAAACAAACTTTAGCTGAATTGGCGATGTTGATGCTAGGACCCGATGATTTGGGGAGGACCACATTTACCGGAGCTCCTTGCATGCAGCAGCCTGTGGGCATACTTGACTCGACCCTCATCGCCACTAAAACCAACAAGCTTAATTCCAGGAATGAGGATGCTGTTGCCCTTGCTTTATAAGGTGTGTTCCCCTCCCTTGACGAATCCACAGTTTCTCGAATTCGCGCCCACGCGGTGCTATTCGATCTTCACCGAGACAACGGATGCTACTACTGCTGGTCGCCTGAGCGGCGTTTAACCTCCGACCTGTTTGATTTGCCGCACCAAGGCTGCGGTTGACAGCGTCGAACCACAACCCTGTTGGGAACCACTCTTAAGGGAGTCGCTGCCTGATCTGATCATGGGCGAAAATGTCCGTGTTTTGCCATAGCCACAAAACCCCCTCCCCGCCAACAATGGATTCTACAAGCCTTGGCCTATAGGGGTCAGAAAATGACAAACCGGCAAAGGCCGGTTTTCATTCCCGGTTGTTTCCCCTCTTCACCGGGTACGTACTGAGCAGACTAAATAATCGGGATTGCCCTTGCATGGACACCGCTACTCTGGTTCGGCTTCGAAACCTACATAGAGTTGGTGACACTTTGCAACAGTACAGCAACGCACTGTTTGCCTCTTGGACAGGAGCACATTTATGTAGGTCAGTTGTTATCAAGTAAGTGCACGAGCACGGCTACCGGCCGACTCCAAGTGCTGCCGAACCGCTTCATACCGACGGTAGCTAGTCAATAGTAGAAAAAACATGTCGCATGTGGGGACCGAATCGCGATCAGCGCGCCACGTTCAACGTCGGAAAGGCTTGAGCTTGAGAGATGGCCAGGTGTGATTCAGGGCTTGATCGACCTGCCGCCCCAGTGAGGCTGGTAGTTTATCAGCTAGTGGTGTGGATCAGTCGTATAAGAGTGGGACGGTCTGCCTTTAACCTCGAGGTGGTGTTGCTATACATATGGCCTCATATCTGTCAACACCCCAATCCTAACTAGAGCAATCGGCGTACGATTGAATATTTGTCAGTGCTGTCTCCCTTGGACAAAGCCCAAGATTGCATTGACAGGCACCTCTAGCTTGTCGTGATACATATGTCTGACATAAGACAGGCAGACAGACAGACAGACACACTTACTACTAAATGAGCCAGGTACTGCAGATACCAGTGCCTAAAAGTAAGGACATTATGACAGGCCCGTCTTTCGATCGTTTGGGCGCTGCCCGCCTGACCGATATTGGGCCCAAGGGGGCCGTGCAGACACAGCCAGTTCAGTCTGTACGGATTTCGCAGCGTTCCCACAAGCCTTCTGAGATCACACGCCTACCTATATCCGACGTTCCATGGTAGTACACCCCCTCTAACTTGCCACCCGGCGTGGAATGACCTGTCATTGCAAGACTATCGTTTAAGAATCACTGGTACCGCATGTCGACTGGCAGGTACTATTGGGGCGGATACTTTCTTCCAGGTTTCACGGCGTGGTGATGCTCCGAAAGTGTGAACCAATCTCTCTGCGCGCTGGATGGGTGGAGGAAGAGCCGGATAGCATCCCTTTTCGCAGGTATATATTTGGCTACTATGAGCCTACAACGGGCTGGAAATAAGCGATCTACCGTTCACGCATCGATACGAACCAGATCCGTACAATTGGTGACTACAATCGGTAATGACACAAGACGCCCTAGGAAAAACCAGCAGAATACAAAGGCGAAGATACTGCTAGTGCTGCTCAATGCTTACGAATACGGGCCTGTCAAGGCCAAGTTGACAAGCGAAAGGAGGACTCCGAAGCTAGTCATTGAACCACATAACATATCGTTTTCACTGCCTAGCCTTGCTAGGTTAGGCTATGATATATCCCATTGGAGACCAAAATTTGAGTCACCCAAGGCTATCGATTTCCATACTTTGGTAGACGATAAAGCTATTGACACCAATCCAGACACGTCTGACGTTACCATGATTTTAGGTAATGGAAAGGATAGCTTATATTTGCAGTGGTATAGATCTTCTTATGCACACCAACGCCTGGAATAGGTCGACCAGGTAACGGTCTACCTGTGGTGCTGACCTATTGGATTCCAATTACCAGGAAGGCGAAGTGGAAAATGTTTCACTTATCTACAGGACTAATGGAAAGCTATCATTGCAGATGCCCCCTTGGTCAAGAGCAGTAGTACAATGATGATATCAAATCACAGCCATGATAAACAGCTGGTAAATCATGTTTGAAACATAACACTCAGACCTCTGTATTGAAGCATCAGCATGTATACCTGCATTGGAACAGCAGCAGCTCACCATACCTGTTTGCTCATTCCCTACCAGCTACAGATGCATGATCTTCGACGAGCAATCGCCACCTATCATAACATGCAGGGATGTGTTGCAACTCTAAGACAAACAGTTCAACGAGAGACACAGCGACCAACGGTCAATGCGCATACATACTACATAGTACGCAGACCGGCACGAGCAGAGAGGCAAAGACCGGTTGATAGGCTCTGTATGGACTATCAAATAGTAGTGTATAAGAGGGAATAGCTAGACCCTGGCTGGCCTAAAGATAGTTTGTTTTCAAAGTGATGGCCAGTTAGCTACCTCGACTAGGGCCTCCTTTCTCCTACCGTGGCTTGCAGACTGGCAAGCTCACTGGCCAGATACTTCCCCAAGATCCAAACCATGAAAACAATGCCTCCCCGGTTCTTTGCTAGTGGTTGCCTTTTCCCATGCGGCCCATGCACGTTGCCGGGGGATGAAAACCCTGGCTTGGCGGTCCCATTCTGGGTCCTTGATCGGGCAATTGGTCCAGGGCTGGATGAAGGCCCTGCGATGCACCTCGCCGTGTTGGATCTCATCCCTCTGTCCTCTTGACCTTGAGGGGGGTTTCCCTTGACCCCTTTCCCTCCCACGTATTCAATTGCTTGCTATTCTTGTAACTCACATTGACTGAGCCAAGGTGAACTAACTATCCTTTTCAGTTTCTTTCTGACACTAGACCTTCTTTTGCCCGTGATCACAGGACCACATACCCCCCATCTATTCCATTTCTTCATCCAGAAAGCTTCCGCTTATTTATCCATACGCTATGCTTCCATACCAAACAATCCCACTCTCTCAACCCCTCCGGATAAGACTGAAAGAACAACCTTGACCCGCCGCTGAACTAATCTGTGGTGGTCCAGCTCACTGCCAAGTCAACTGCACAGTCTGCCAACTCCCGTCACGCCAAGCAGGTGCCCTCTCAAGCGCAGCAGTATCCCCGACGGGTCAATTAGCCACTCGTCAGCACCACTGCAAGTGATAGGGAATCCCACAGAAAGTTCATCTTAATGAGAGGACCGCAATTTTTCCTTGTTCGTTTTCCAAGAGTCCCAGCGCATCAAGCAGAGCCAGCGCATGCACGCCGGTTCAAACACTCGTGCAGCACACGCACTGGGAGGTTCTGCAGAGAAACTGCTCATCTCTGACATGGCCTAGTGAGGCTACTCGCAGCTTCAGATTTAAACCTTCTGGTAATGCATATGAGCCCGATATTCTGCGACGATGAATTGCGTATGTTTCGGAATTCCAAAAGAGCTGTGAGGTGGGAAACTATATCGGCTTCTGCGCCATTGTTGATGAAGAGTCAACTGTATCGCAATGTCAAATGAAACCTGTGCAGCTTGATTAATGCGATTGATTAATTGAAAGAGATGGTGAGTACTGTATCTTGCTTTGTCCACCATCAACTACTCTTTCTAGTCACAGAATTAATAACACTAACTACATCCGCATACTCTCTCTGCATATCCCCCAAACAACTCTCTGCATCAGATTACCCACCACGCGAACACAAGGAAAGCCTTTAGTAAACGGAACCAAACACCTCGGGGAAAAATAATGCCTATTAAAGCATCCATAACCACCCCACTAAGTATTTACTCAAGCCAGTGTGACACTGCCCCAGCAAGAACAAGGAATAACCTAGTTACAAAACAACCAATGAACAAACAACCCTCAACTGATGATACACTTCAATCCCCCGCAACACTGCCCCAAAACCGGAGAGATATCCCATCTCCCCGTCCTTCAACCCAGCAAATATCTCCCTAATCCTTAGTAAAGAAAAACACCCTACAAATAATGAAAGAAACAAAGGATAGGTAAGGTATACAAGCCCTCCTCCCAAACCAAGACCAAACCAAACCAAACCCAATGCCTGCCAATGAAACAAAACTACTAAAGTACCAATCCCCAAAAGAGGAAGGAAACACATAGAGTACCTAGTTCACCGTCCTTCCAACCACGGTAACAGCCGAAAACGCCACTCAAGAATTAATCAAAATCCACTTTCCATCCATCCATCCATCGATCTATCCATTCCCTAAGTACGTACGTAACTGTATAAAGTACTCCAACTAATAAAGAGAGATAATAATACTAAGTAGGTAGTATTAACTCGATCTCGATCAACCCGTTGGTCATGATTGGTCGATGTATCTTAACCACAAAACCACCATCGACGCCCTCGAGTTTCAATTATCCGGTTTTCCATGGAGGAGAATTTACATCTATTGTATGCCACATTCCTCAAGCCTCTTTTTTTTTAATTTCCCGACTTTGTGTTTTTCTTTCTGCAGGAAATTCGCCTGATCGAGGCGTGGATTACGAGGTTCGGTGCGGGTGTGCATGTAGGTACTTCTTTTATTTGAGAATCTAGATTGTGGCTCTTTATTGTAAGTCTTATCTGGGTAATACCAATGTAGTCGTGGTATAGCATAGATGACTCATACTGAGTATGGTGAATTTATCAACTCAATTTTCATTTCTAGATCTGGACATGAGCTATATTCTAATGCACTAAAGAAATCCCAATTTACTCCAAACCTGAAACTCCCGAGTATGCAAAGCCAGCCACATACTGTGTCTCTCAAGCGCACACACCAATAAAGCCAGGGCAGTAAGTAGCAACTAGTACCAACTAACCAGAGATGTGTATCGGTACATTGAAGGTGCCACAGCACTGCATGTGTCAAGAAAGGAAGATCCGCATCTGTGTCCCCAAGTCAGTGTGAGTAAAATCCAAATTCTCGGGGAGTTTTAGATATGGTCTTATACCTTTTGCCTCACAGGCGCTCGGCATATCACACACGGGGGCTGACCCCCAAGCACACCTCGTTCCAGGACGCTGCTTGGAATTTGGATCTCGGCACACCATCGACAGAGGACAGCATGGCCGCAAGGAAGCAGTACCGTATCAACGAGTTGGGTGAAGCAAACCTTGCATTCGAGTGATACTCGCATTTCGTGCGCCTCTTTTGGTTCGGGGCGGCCGTCTTTCGCATTGTCAAGACTTGCGGATGGCTTCGTGGGGTTGGTACCAAGCCCCTGGCGCTGACGGAGCAAGCGCTGGCGCTGCAGCTGCATATGAGCCTCCACGATGGCCTGCGCAGCCTGCTGGTTGTGTGGATGGGCGTGGAAATGTGCTCGCCGAGCAAGCTCTAGCCGCTGCGGAAGAGGGCGCCCATATCTGGGGGTGCCCGCATTCATCGAGCGTGAAGACGGCGTGCCAGTTGCTACAAAGTTGGCCAACGATGACTGGGCAGGCGTTGTAGCTAGTGAAGCACTATAGGCGCCATTGTCATGTTCCTCAAGATAGGGCGGCATATGAGAGAATGGACCAGATGCATGCGAATGTTGTTGAGCTTGCGACTGCTGATGATAACTTGACGACGTTGGCCCTGGAGAAGCAGCAGTATGGGCTGGGTGCTGTGTTCCTTGCTGGGTCCTCGCTGACGGGGGCACGTAACCTCGAGGTCGAAGTGTTGGCGGAACCACTGTAGTGGATGATGTCGAATCGGCGTTGTTCGGTGACGCGTCGTTCGGTGAGATGGCAGACACTGATTCCGGCGGTGTCATGGACATTGCTGGTCGGGTGTTGCTTGAACGCGGGTCTCGCTGGGGGTAGGCAGGAAGGCCGCTGTGTTGATTCTGTGGAAGTGAGAGAGTTCGTGTATGAGGGTACGCGAATGAGCGACCTCGATCTCCACCAGGAATATAATCCAGTTGATGACCGATGTTGCTCGGCTCCCCGTAGTACTGGTTCGGCGTGTAACGGGGCATTGTTATGACGCCATTGCTCAAGTATGAGAAGTAGGTTCTCGGGGGTGTTTGCTGTGGGGTGAAAGAATCTGTTTGGTTTGAGGCAGCATTGGCTGAGAAGGTGTTTGGAGCCCCAGACAGACTCGCGACCGTAGGGACTGGAAAGCATTCTGTTATTTCACTCGTAAACAACATCACTTGCATCGTTGTACTGACCTTCTTGATGATATGTCGGACGCGGCACGTCAGGAATGATGTCCATTACGTCTTGGGTGTTAGGCTGGGCCAAAGTGGCTGAAGTTGGGGTGTTTTGGAAGTTGGTATCGTTGGGAATCGCCGTGGGAAGCCCTTCAAATGCAGGCCGACTCGCAGAGTCCATGAGTAATGGTCACCCTGGCGCAGGCGTAGGAGTAGTGTTCCCTGGATGTGGTACGCTAATGGCGCATCAGCTAGTAGCTACACGCTTCTAGCTTTTATCAAGCGGGAGTTGTATTCTCACGAATAGGAGGCTCATGAACATGTACCGATGAAATCGCAATCGACAGCATACAGGGTTTAAAAGGCTGTGACAAACACAAGAAGCGTAAATGGAGAATAGTATACTAAGGTGGAGATGTGTAGAAGCGGTTCGCTTCACTAGAGCAGAGTAACTAGGAATAGTGAGTGGTCATCCCAGTGGGTTTCCTGCGGTGGACCACAACCCAGCAGTGAAAACAGGCAATCGGATAATGCCTCCTTCCGCTGCATCAGACGATATATCCAAAGCCCTATCACTTTCACAGTGACTGGGGGATTCTTGCAGCTTCCTGAAATAAGTATCGGTAACAGTCCACAACCATATAGACCATTGATAGGATATGTAGTCTCAATATGTCGAGATGGGCAGAGTGCTTGTCACTGCAGACTGAGAAGTGATGTCTGGATAAACATAACCCGCAACTAATAGCTTAATGCAGGCAGGGATAGGGAGTGAATGCATACATGCTGTATCGAAGTTTGCCTTCCTGTTGTCCTACTACCGCCGAATATCGGTCGGGCCGTTTGGCTGGTTATCGCGATTATATTATCTGCTGAAGGGAAACCCCATGAAAGCGGCACTTTCCAAAGTCGATAGAAGCACCAGCGTCTCCGCAACAATCCTGCCGACAAGAGGCTGTGTCCAGGCTGTTCAATGTTTCGTACTGGCCACCAAATTCAGATTGTGTTTGAGATCATGATCTGAATGAGCCAACGATGTAATGAAGACACCACGAAGCAAGCGAGCAGGTGTGAGACCGTAGTCGGGGAGAAGCAGGAATCCAAAACAGGAAACCCAAATGGCAGCTGAAGCTTAACGCCGATGGATTCCCGGTCTCTCCTTAGTCGGACCAACTCCCAGCCGAGCCTGAATTCTGGCTTCTTGGGTTCCCAGTGGAGTTGGACCAAAACCTCATCGAAACGCAAGAGGCTTGAGGGGAAGGAAGTCGAAACAAGAGAAGCTTGGAATCACTGGAAGACCAGGCGCATAGGCAATATGGAAGCTTTCTAGAACGACAGCAACAACGGATTACAAAGGGGTAGAATGAATTATGGAAGGAGTTGCAAACAGGCTGACAACGAGCAGCAGCACTTCGGGGACCAGATCACCGATCCAATCGGACTGGAAGGCTAGTTGCAGGGTAGATGGTAGTATGAGTAGGAAGAGAGGGAGAGAGACACGGAGAGAAGAGGCTGCAAGATGGAGGACAAGCTTCCGAGAGTCTCACAAGAATAGGGAGGGAAAAAAGGGAGGAGAGCAGAGGAAAGAAAGAGAAGAAGGAGGAGAGAGGGAGGTTGGATTGGGAGGGTGTCAGTGAGAGGTTGAAGAAGAGACAGTCAGTGTCACCGTCGGACCCCGCAAGACACGGCGATCCGTTGGATCCATTCCTGGAAAGCAATCGGGGACTGGTCAAGTGATATTTAGAGGAAGGACAAAAGTTAGTTGATGAATGGTACTTTGTACCTGGTCGAGACGATTGGCATTAAGGATACTAATTACTACTACAATGTCTTGGGTTGTTGATCCAATAGCCAGTCAAAGAAAGCTGTTCGGATTTGGGACTTGGACGAAACAAGAGGCTACTCCGGCGTTCAGTCCCCGACTTTTCCTTTGTTTGACCATCGATCATCGGAGGTATCCCTAACCGATCAAATCGATCAATCGAGTCCTCCGTCCATTCATCCATTCAATCCTTGTCTTGGGAGGATCGGAGGAGCCACCGCGTCTAGACTTTGGCCCGACGAGGGCAGTTCGGACACTGCGGAAACAAGCTGCGAAGCCGACGACGTCATGCCCTTCTCCGTCTCTCCCCTGAAAACTTTCCCCTCATGTTCCCTTCAATCCATCCCCGATAGCTCCAATAGCTTTAATAGCTCCCCCCGACCACTTAATACCACTGGAAGAAGACCCTTAAGATAAGGCTCATCTGTATATCGCCTGTCTTGACTACATGACTTCAACGCTCTCCGATTAACGTTAAGCCCCCGTCCCTCTTCCTCCGCCCGTTCCACACCTCGGCTCGGTTCATGACGCCCGCCCGGTGGCTACCGGCGTCTGTGCGACATACGCGACCAGCTCTCCCCCTTCGCTGCCTGCCTTTGACCCTCACAATGTCCTTCTCCACCTTTACCATTCCTCGCAATCTGGACCACAATGGCTCGGCCACGCTACCCGTCTCCTGTCCGGCAGACCTGTCTCCTGAAGATCTGCTGCGATTCCCAGCTTTCCGTATCTGGCTCACCACCTTGCAACACTCCTTGAGTCGCCAGCAACAACCCTCCCACGAGTTCTCAAAATACCCCTACGTCCTGCGGAAAATAGATATCCAGAGTGTGGACCGCTTCGGTGGTGGCCGTCTAGGCTTCTTGAAGTTCAAAGCGGAGGTGTCAAATGAGAATGGAGAGACCCTCCCGGGAAGCGTGTTTTTGCGCGGTGGCAGCGTAGGCATGCTGGTAAGCGGGCTACCCTCTCTCTATCGCCAACTGACAACGTTGAGATCTAATGCTAACGCTGTTTATCTCGCTCATAGCTCATACTTCAACCAGACGATGTGCCTGCATCGGCAGAAGACGAGAAGCGTGCCATCTTAACCATCCAACCTCGTATCCCCGCGGGTTCTCTTGCGTTTCCCGAAATCCCAGCCGGCATGCTTGATGACAGTGGATCGTTCGCTGGGGGTGCAGCAAAGGAGATTCAAGAGGAGACAGGCTTGACAATACCACAGGAGGAGCTAATTGACATGACATCGCTGGCTCTGCAGTCCGTGCCAGAAGAGGGCGAGACGTTGCAAAAGGCAGTGTACCCTTCGGCCGGTGGAAGCGACGAGTTTATTCCCTTGTTCTTGTGTCAGAAGCGCATGTCGCGCAAGGAAGTTGACAGCCTGCGAGGACGATTAACTGGGTTACGACAGCATGGTGAGAAGATCACGTTGAAGGTAGTACCGTTGCGCGATCTATGGAAAGAGGGTCTGCGGGATGGGAAGACCCTTGCCGCGTGGGCTCTATACAAAGGCCTCAAGGAGGAGGGGCTGCTGTAGGCGGGATTCCACACTCCGCAGCTGTTTGTGGGCTCTAATACTGGAAGCAGTAACACTCACACCAATGTAAATATATCGCATTCGACAGTATATCGACTCTAAGGGCAGTGTCGTCAGAATACCATAGGCTGGGCAAATCCATGGTACGGCACGAAGACGGAGCCAAAGCTGGAACATCTACATACAGCTCAAAGCTTGAATCTCTTCGCAAGTTCGATACCCTCAGCTATTGTGCCCACCCGAGCATCAATGGCATATCCCTCCCGCTCCAGCTTCTTCATGTCCTCAAATAACGAAGACAAAGGCACAGTGAAGCACTCAATGAATTCGTTATCTTCGAGCTGGGGCTTCGGGTTCTGGTTCTCCGGCAACGACATATCCACCCGGACATGCACCATATTGAGATTGGTATTGCAGAACCCAGGGTCTGTAGACACCGTCAGTCAATACCCCAGACTATCCAAATTGAACCCATGCTCAAGTGGTACTGTAGTCTAGTCTAATCCGAAGAGAGAAGAAAAGAATGTAAAACTCACCATTATACATAACACTACTAGTCTGCTCCGCCACACCAACGTAACCCGTCTCCTCCTTAAGCTCCCGCACAGCACACTCCTCCACCGTCTCATTAGGATCAATCAGTCCCGCAGGAACCTCAATGACCACCTTATCGATAGGTGGACGGTACTGCTTCTGCAGGAGCAGTTCTGGCCCGGTTTCCTTGTTGAGGATTGTCACGATTCCAACGCCGTCAATCTCGCAGTTTGCGGGGCGGGTCTTGGAAGCAATTAGCAAGCATACAAATAACTAGTATATGACTTCTCAATGCAGGGCTATCACTTCAACCCCCAAAAGAAAGAATGCTTCAATCGGGAGACCACCAGCAGAAACGCGCAACAAGAAGAAAGTTGCAGGGAGGAAAGTAATTTCGTACCTGACGCTCCGCAGACTCCCACGTCCTCTCAACACCATTAGGATCCGTATACGACGACATGACCAGTCGAGTCCATTTGGCGTCTTTGGGGTCCTATAAGAGAAGTATTTTCTATCAGTATATATAAATCCATTCTTCATATATCGATCCCCATAAAGAACACTATAAGTTATGTAAAAAAACACCATATATATTTATACATACCAACGGACCCCTCGACAGCAACTTCGACCCGGCGTATTTGGGATCGGACATGTTGGCACTTTTTACAAGCAAAGAGGGGGAAAAAAACAAATTGGTGGTTAAGATATGGGATGGAGCGGGTCTATGTCTATTGGGTTTATATGGAGAAGCTGTAAAAGATTTATGATTGTAGAGGTAGGTAGGTAGGTAGGGAGTAAACAACTGGTCTCGGGTGGACTGACGTAGCAGGAGGGGAAACTAAGCTGGTCACTGAGGGGGTCACCAACCGTATTGGGTTAGAGGGCTAGCCCTTATCTTATCGGGTTGGGGGAGTTGGATTTGGATTTGGATTGAGAGGTTGAGGTTGGGGTGTGTGTGTGGGGGGATTGTATTGGAGAGAGGTTGGTTGGGGTAGGAGGTCATTGGTTTATGTGAAAGTGTGTTTATAATGGCAGGTTTATGTGTGTGTGTTGTGGTTGTGTTTGGGTTGAGAAGCATCGATGCTGAATGTAGAGATAGTAGCCATCTGGTTGGACTACTTTATTGCAGGATGGCAACTTGAAGCTAATTTAGGAGCAGCGTTGGTCGATCATATAAACCGTTATACGTATAATAACATTAGTTCTTATAAAAGGAGCAATCATGTGTCTGGTCCAATACTATATTCTCATTAAACTAGCTACTCAGGGGAAAACTAACCAACTTCCAGCTTAAATTGGCCCATCCGTCACGCATCCATGACTCGCGTCGCTCACCAGCTTCGCATACTTGCTTAATGTCCCCTTCTTCGCCCGAGGCGCCGGTGCCCTCCAAGAAACTCTTCGCTTTTCCATCTCTTCCGGGGCAATCAGCAGATCAACCACTCTTTGCTCCGCATCAATCACGATCCGATCGCCGTCCTTCACCAGGGCGATGGGCCCGCCCTCCATAGCCTCAGGCACAACATGCCCGATCAAGAAGCCATGACTACCTCCAGAGAATCTCCCATCTGTGAGGAGCGCAACGTCCTGACCTAATCCGGCACCCATGATGGCTGAGCTGGGCTTGAGCATCTCAGGCATACCGGGACCACCCTTGGGTCCTTCGTATCGAATAATGACGACGGTTTTCTCGCCCTTCTTGATCTCACCTCGCTCAAGAGCCTCGATGAAAGCATCCTCATAGTCGTAGCATTTGGCGATACCTTCAAATCGGAGACCTTCTTTGCCGGTGATCTTGCCAACCGAGCCGCCAGGGGCCAATGACCCACGGAGGATCTGCAAGTGGCCGGTTGGCTTGATGGGATTACTTAGGGGGCGGATGATAGGCTGGTCAGGTGAGAACTCGGGCCATGAGGCTACATTCTCTTTCATGGTTTTGCCAGTGACAGTGATTCCGGTGCCGTCGATAAGGCCTTCCTTGAGCAGGAACTTGAGCAGTGCTGGTGTGCCCCCGACTTTGTACAGGTCATGCATGACATACTTGCCGGAAGGCTTCAGGTCGGCCAAGAAAGGTGTCTTGTCTGACACGGCCTGGAAGTCATCGATGGTCAACTTGATCCCGACGGAATCAGCGATGGCGATCAAGTGCAGTACCGCATTGGTGCTGCCTCCAAGAATATTTACGACAATCATGGCATTCTCAAATGCCTGCCGCGTCATGACGTCCTTGGGCCGAATATCCTCCTTCAGCAGATTCTTCACTGTCTGGCCAACATCCTCACACTCTGCCCGCTTACGTGGATCCTCTGCTGGCGTACTGCTACTTCCAGGGACAGTCATACCGAGAGTCTCGATCGCCGTGGCTAGAGTATTGGCAGTATACATACCCCCACAAGCACCAGCACCGGGGCAAGCGTGTCTGATGATATCGAATCGTTCCTTTTCGTCGATCTCACCAGTGAGATACTGACCATACGACTGAAAGGCGCTGACCAAGTCAAGTGGCTTACCCCCGGCACTGCAGCCGGGCTTGATACTACCACCATACACCATGATACTCGGGCGATTAACCCGGCCCATGGCCATCAACACACCTGGCATGTTCTTATCGCAGCCAGGCAGCGAGATGTTAGCATCGTACCACTGGGCGTTCATGACCGTTTCAATTCCATCGGCAATGATCTCTCGGCTTTGTAAACTGAAACGCATGCCAGATGTGCCCATACTAATGCCATCAGAGGCGCCAATGGAGTTGAAACGCATGGGGACCAGGCCAGCTTTGGCTACCGAGTCACGGACCAGCGACGACAAATCCATCAAGTGCATATTACAGGGGTTCCCTTCGAACCACACTGATGAGATTCCAACTTGTGCTTTGGACATATCTTTCTCCGTCAGACCGGTCGCGTAAAGCATCGCTTGAGATGCACCCTGGGACTTGGGCTGTGTGATCTTGGAGGAGACTTTGTTCAGTGTTTCGTCGGCATAACGGTGTGCGGTTGAGGAGAGAAGACGACTATATTGACATAACACGATTCACCGTTAGCATCATGGGTATTTGTACGAACTGTAGGGTATACGAACGAGGATGATTTTCTTTGTGATGGCATCCGTCGACCAAACGCCAGAGCTCTGGCAGCTCGGGACGGAGTGGTAGATGTGATCATTTTCTAGCCTGTATGTAAAACACACCAGAAAGAATCTATGACTTGCTGCTCTTTCAGGGAATAGAAGTGAGCCAGACGAAGCTGCAGGTCAGGTTATATACCATAGTCTCAGGGGCCTTCAAAAAGCCTGACCGAGAGTGGCCATAGTTCAAGTGAGTCATTATACCCCTGTAATATCTGAAATATCGGCCATTACTTGCTTAGCCCATGTAGCCAGGTAGCATAGAGCCATTACAAAGTAGAAACAGCGGACTTGCGAAGAATTATGGTCATTGGATGGAGAAGGACAGGAACCACCTTGTTCTACTCCGCAATGGTCGAAGGATCAAATGGTTGCATGGGCGCATCTCCAATCAAGACGCAGATAATGCAGCCGATTATCCGAATGCCAGACACTCATGTATGTCTGGCAAGAAATAAGCCGGGTAAGGGTCTGGGGATAAGCAATAAAGTGATGGTCGAGGTCGTCTATAGATCCTTTGGAGCGATCCAGGCCCACCCGGCCGGAGTCGAGTCGCAGCTCCCCGGGTGGATACTCATCCCTGCGATCACTCATAACAGTTCCGTAGGTTGCTACTATGCACTGTGTTTACGTTGGGGGGGTGCTTGAGTTTCTGATAATTTACTCTGGAATAGGACTTCTACTACTGTCGTTTTACTTGAAGGAACACAGTGATAGATAAGCTCTATATGATTGTGCAGGCAGCAGGCGCCCAGGGAAGTACCTTGTATCCATGAATACCTCTCTATTAAAGACATTGAGTAACGATGTAGATATCCCGGTCATGAAGCGACTTATGCAGATGATACAGATAAGCCGTATGGGTTATCAGACGACAACTCCCCAACAAGGTGAGTGATTGTTTTCTGCGCGATGGACTAAGGTAACTCGGTCGTGTAGAGGACCTGAGGCATAGACTAAGCGGCGTCTGAGACGTCACCATGTGAAATGAAGGAAGTGACCCAAAACCCCGGAACGGCCAGCGCGCTTGCTATCGTGACTTCATGCTCATAATCGTAACTGGCGTACAAAACGGCCCCATCTGCTAGAGATTCAGGACTCGATTTCGGAGAGACATTTCTGGAATTCGCTCCAATCCTTCATGATAACCTTGGCACCCAGCCCTTGCAAAAGTTGGGACATTTCCAACTGCTTAGCGTCACCGTGGTAGCTTCCGACATAACCAATGACTGGGATTCCAGCACGAATGGCACTGAGTGCACCAGACTTGCTGTCCTCGACAGCGACCACCTCTTCGGGCTTCTTCTTGCGCACTTCGAGGGCATGGATGTAGATAGCCGGATCCGGCTTCGAAGTTGGCTTGGGAAGAGAGGTGGCTGCGCTGAACACGGCATCTTTGTCGAAATACTTGTCCTGTCCGACCTTCGTGATCGAAGCACGGACACGGCGCAAAGCAGACGAAGAGACCACTGCTAGACCATACTTCTTGGACTCGAGAAGCTTGTCAAGTTCAGCGTTAACACCCACACATGGCTGAGCTTTTTCAGTCAGCTTGGCAATGACCTTGTCCTCCTCCTTCTTCACATATTCCTCGAGCTCCTCCTGTGACAACTCGAACTTGTACTTGGCCTGGAGGGAGACCATCATTCCTCGAAAGTTTTGACCCACAAAATCTTGGATAAGCTGCTCTCCTGTGTAGCGATCCGGGATATTCTGCTTTTCCAAGATTTCATTGGCGAGATCGGCACACGCCTCGAAGGCCAGCTCTTCCGAGAGGACGAGGGTGTTGTCGCAGTCGAAGAAGATCTCAGTAATCTACAGTCAAAGTTCGTAAGCACATTGTGTTCATGCCAACATCGCATGAAGAATTGATAGCTTACCTGCGGCATGATGTATGCAGGTCTAGTAGATCTTTTCTTAATTGAGATCAAGAATGTTGCACAGCAATGACAGTAGAGGAACGTTTATGAAACAAAGCGAGATAGAGGTCAAGGTGGGGACCGATGTAAGGTGGAAGAGGATATGACAGGAAAGGCGACTGTTGTCTTTTTCTAATTTGTAGAGGAAGGAAGGACACGAAAGGTCTGTGGGTGAATTATCTGAGAAAAGTGACAGAGGAAGAGGGGCAGGAACGAGGGTATTCACTTTGTTTAAGTAGTATTGGAAGGGACCAATACAAAGGAAGCCAGCGGGTGAAAGGGGTACCTAGTAGTTATGGGGAACTCAGCCACGGAATGAGTAGGCTTGAACCCACTGCCCGTAATAGATATCCAGTAGAACCGAAGAATGACTAGAAACCCCCGAGGGAATCCCCAATTCCTGTTGTACACAATCCCGGTGTCCAAGGTAGGAGCGGGGTGCCGGCCCTGACTTCCCTGAGATCATACATTTGAGAAAACACCCATGACGTTATCAAAAGGCCGCATTCTAGTACTAGTGAAAGATGCTAAACCGATTCAGGCAAGCACCCGCTGCCATTCGTCGTTCGAATCGCGCTCGGATGCCCCTCTTCCTTTCCCGTTGAGGCATAGCGGTATCACCCCATGGAAAGGCACCGAATCCTCTCTGCCCATTCTTCTCGCCTTCAATTTCCGGTTCCTTTTCTGTCGACGCCTCAAAAGCCCAATGATGAAGCGCAGAGCCAATCGATAGGATTCCATGGCATGTTTATCGACATCCCATGTGCTGGGGGCGCCATATTGCAGATGTGGAACCGTTTTGTTCCTCTACTTTCTTTGCTATTCACAACGATTCTTTCCCCTGTTAGGTAGGCAAATCGTATCGGCAGGAGTGAGAGAGTTTTGTGCTCCTTACCGTTTATTACCAAACTTCACTTACTACCCAGTACCGTATCATGCTAGGTAACCTTTCATACCAGTCAGTCACCGGGTGTGCTCATGCGAGGGGGGTATACTCGGTTACAGTCTTCCTTAGAATAATGCCTGGAACCTCGTCCGTTGACTATGTACGTCTCCCGGAGCACAGTATTCCATTCAGTTACTGCTAGGTCAATTTGTTTCCTGCCTGGACTGAGCAATAATACGTCGCCAAGGATCGGACCATGCATAACTCTCTGTACGCCAGGGCATTACCCGGGTACCCTCAATAATACTAAGCTGTAGTAAGATAGAGACACCCTGCGGTCGGATGAAACCGTGCCATGAGGGAATTATCGTATACTAATGCAACTGTTCAAGCCAGTTGTTGCGAAGACGGGACGATGAAATTCGAATACAATACTTGAGAGTGCTCGGGCTTCATCCGTCATGAGTAAGATATCTACTATCAAAGACTGCAGCTAGTTATAAAAACTCCGAAACTATAGCCGACAATACATAGTATTGTTTACTACCACATGTTCCTGGAATCATCCTCCAAGCATGTATGTAGTCCCCCCTGTAGGTACCATCGATGGCTCTGCTCCACCCCGCGTGAGGATGGCGTTCGACTTGTCGGCACCGGCCTTAAATGTGGGCCGATCGTTGGCCGGCGAGGAAATTCTAATGGCGCTTGCATTAGAGCCCCTCATTATTATCGATCGCATTTGATCCCATTATTCTCATTACCACTAGGGACGTCAAAGCCAAGTGTGATATTGTTTCCTGCTTCCCGAGGCATACTGTAACCAGATTCGTGAATCTTACGTACCAGTGTCTGATTCCACTGCGAATACGACCCGACAGCTGGCCCTCAAGCCAATACAAAGCACTCCGGGCAACATGGGATCTGCTTCTGGTTCCGATCCCTACCCCGTGTCTATTTCGTCCCTTCACTTCCCCTCCGCAGAGCAACAATCGATTTCTCAGACGCTATCTGCATTGCGACGATCAGCTCTCTCCGTCACCAACCGACTGCGTTCCATCGAAGCCGACGCGGCCTTTGTCCGTGAGGTCGCAGCCCATTACGACCTTCCTCTCATCGCCAACGAAAGATGCGGGAGCTGGTACATCCCTCCTGAAGTCAAGTCTGGCAGTGCGTACTTCAAGAGTACAGATGGTCACACGGGCCAGTGGGATTTCAGCTTTCGCAGACTAAACTTGCAGCTTCTACCAATTGCCAGGGAACATGGAGGGTCAGTGATCCTGTCATCCATCTTTTCCTGCCATCCCTGCTGATCGTTCTGCTTCGGGCTAACTGAATGGCTGACCCTTATTCGTTGATACAGTTGCATTATCGTGGATTCCACGCGCCGGGGAAAATGTAAGTACCCAGCTAACCCCTCAATGTCATTTGTGCACTGATTAACGAGGTATGCGCCAGTGATGCCTGATGCCCTGTCTAAAACTGTTCCGATCTGGTGTGCCGTCATTAACAGGGCGCTATTTCCATCTGACACTGCATATCACGCGGTGAACTTTCCGCCAAATTATCTGGGCGCCTCTGAAGAGTCCCAGATTGAGCGGAGGATTGACGGCTTCGTCAAATCCCTCGTGGTAACTCATTCTCTGCTGTGAAATGACCCATAACTCCCATGTGTGCTGATAGGCTACTAGGACCTGAAACTCGATATGGATGAACTCAAGCAGCAACTTGGAAAGCCTATTCGGGTAGCATGGGCCAACCGAGCCTATTTTCATCCGACAGATCTGCATAAAGGGGATGACTATCGCCTTTTTGTTCTCTGTTCCGCATCGAAAAGGGTCCATGGCGCAGAAATGTCTGAAGGCGGCTATATCCAAGGAGCAGGAGATGACAGCGAGAGTTGGGCCTATGGGCTAACCCCTCCTGTCTTTTGGGCTACTAAAGCGACCCTGTTCCAGCACTCAGAAGAAGATCTCCCGACCGTAATCGAGCAGCTGGTAGAGGATCACAGTAAAAAGAATGTTGATCAGAGAGCGATACGCATTGCCCCAACACGAAACTTATATCTCAGCCAAACACACCCTCAACTGAACAACGGCAGCATGTTTGATCTGGTCATAGATTGTAATGCGAGCGCAGAAGGGGCAGAAGAGAATGCGAATCGCCTGAATCTCGGTTGCGGATCTTCTAAGCTTGGAAGCCGTGGCCTGCGCAAACACCTGGACAAGGTCCAGGACTTCGTCAAGTCCCGTATGAGCGCAGATCCATCACGGTCATTGCTGGTGACATGTGAGACTGGTAAGGATCTTTCTGTTGGTGCTCTACTTGCAATATTGTGTCTGTTCTATAACGAGGAAGGTAAGTCTCTCGTCGATCTGTCAAACCGTCTTGTCTATTCTATAAGGTGTCTCTACAGTACTAACAATACGCTAGGCGAGTTCACTGCTGTTCCAACCAACCAACTGATCGGCAAACAGTTCATTCGTCAGCGGCTCGCTTGGATCACATCCTCCAAACATGATGTGAATCCCTCGCGGTCTACGCTTCAATCGATCAATGCCTTCCTCATGCAACGCCCAGATTACTAATACCTTGAAGAAATGAATCTGAAAATCACAATTAATTATGTCTATAAATGGACGAACTACTCGTTCTCGACGGCCTCGACAATAGCGCCACTGCTTCCCTGGTCAAGAGCATTAAGCACCGCCATGTCCTCCTCGCTGATGTCGAAATCAAACACATCAGCGTTAGCCGCAATCCGGTCTGGGTTGTCGGTTTTAGGAAGTGGAACCCATTCCTTCTGCAGCGCGTAGCGTATCAGGACCTGCTGGGTCGTCTTGTTGTATTTCTTGGCCAAGTCCACGAGTGTAGGATCATTCGCTTTATAGTTTCGCACAATGGGGGCATAAGACTCGACAACGATTCCGTTCTTCTTGCAGTATGCATCGATCACGCGTTGTTGGCACCAAGGATGGAGCTGTGCGATTCAATGAGTCAGTCGGATTCTCTTTCTATTGCACCGCAGCGACCAAACAGAAAAAAATTATGGGGGTACTAACCTCGATCTGATTAACATGGGGTGGCCAGACTTTCGCATACTCCTTCATTTCTTCAATGTGCTTCACTCCAAAGTTACTGACACCGATACTCTTAGCCTTGCCCTCCTCCAGCAGCCTCTCCAGGGCCTGCCATAAGTGCTTGCGACCCGACGAGCCAGACTTGGAGCTATGAATCAGGAACAGATCAACGTATCCGTCCGGGCCACCGATCTTCTCGACGCTAGCCAGCAGTCTCTCATAGGTTGCCTCGGGCGAGCCCGCGGGGCTGAGGATTTTGGTAGTCACGAAAATTTCATTGCGGGGCAGGCCAGAGGAACGGATGGCGTCGCCAACCTCTTTCTCATTTGCATAGAACTGAGCGGTATCAATGTGCCGGTAGCCAACTTCGAGGGCCTTAAGGCAGGACTGCACGCATTGTGTGGAAGGTGACCGATAGACGCCGAAGCCGAGGCGGGGTATTTTGACGGCGGAATTTGGCAGTGGTACCTCGTCCGCAAAGGAGTAGTTGGCCGGCATAATGAAACAAAAGAATTCGGAAATGGCAAAGCGAAACAAGCTTGGGGAATCTGAGATGTTCGGTATGAACAGGCGCAAGGTAATCAGTAGTCACGGAGTGAACCCGGAGAATGACTGACAGGGAGAGGGGAAGCCGATTAAGTTGAGCTGGATGTTTCGCGCGCGCGGGCCCCATCACGCCTCGGCGAATCCGATGATATCATCAGCCCACCCCTTTGCCGCTTGTGTCTCCGGCCTCATCTGTTTTGATCTTCGTATACTAATCTGTATAGCAGGAACTATCTACATACTATGATGTATTCAACATACTTGGATGAAGTGAGACAATTACATCAATTCTCATTCTGGCGAGACATTCGGTCTTTGCGCCCCCGCACGGATAGGGAGCTTGTTGTTCAAGCTGGAAAGATGGCTAAAATTATGGGGCAACTGGTATCCTCGCCCTTGCATCGGGAAAGGTAAAATGTAGGTTTCTACCACGGTACTTTTCTCGCGTGTGCCCTCCATGTTTATCCCGGCATTTTAAGACTTGTTTTACTGGGGTTGTCTTTGTGCAACCATACAGCCAGCAAAACATCGTACCCCGAATCGTGGATATGCCCTCCGGCAGACGCAGACGAACTAGACATCCATCCATAGCCGGCAATGATCACGCCTTCAGGTTGGGCGACAACATGAGAAACTAGTAACCCCTCAATCGTCTTGCAGTTCCATCGACATTGGTGGATTGAAGTCAGGTTGGTGGGTCACTCAAGAATTTGATCAGCGTCGCTTCGGAAAATTGAACATGGATCATCCTCCAGAGCCGTGCTATTCATATCGCAAGAAAGTCTACGAGTCAGACACCACTGAAGCCCGTCTCACCTGCATATCCCCTGGTTGGGCAATCCTTTCTTCGAACCATTGAAGCAGGACTGAAAGAAGACAAACGCCTGCAGAGTAATAGTGGATGGATGCCCATGCGGGAAAACTTGAGTGCTACGGTGCTTCTCTCGACTCTGAATGGTCATTAAGCGCCATCCTTCCCCTGAACTACTACTAGTACTATTAGGACTGTACTATAAACAGAAACCGGGTCAACGATTGATATGAAAGAATTCTCTTTACGGGATTTGGACGGACATAAATCGACACTAGATGATAATTCTTGGGCAAGCAATGCGAGAGAGTGGGGCGAATTTACCTTTAGAAATTCTCCGATCATAGAAGACTGTGTGGCTGAAGAATGGAGAATGGACGATGAATGAATGAATGGATGAATGAATGAACGACTGGACGGGGGGATGGGATCTGAACCTACCGGCAGCAGCCGACCGGGCAGGACCAGCGGCGGTTGCTGTGGGGGTGGAAGTTTGTTGACAGGCCCTCTTCCACTGCACGGGAGGGACAGAGACAGAGAGGGAGGGAGTGAGAGCCCCTTAAAAGCAATGAATGGGGCCTACTTTTTAAGTGCTTAACTGTACTAAGGCAAGGCTACTAAACTAGTAGTCTCCCTCACGCTCCAGGCTCCAACTAGCAAATTAATCAACTAAATTTCCTAGTTTCCTACTCGATGATTATTCATTCTGCTTAGTTCTTTCTTTCAACTCTGCGCCCAACCGCCGACTATCTATCTAGGCGATTCGATCTCTTTGAAACCGGCGAATCGCAGCCCACCCCTTCCCACTCGTTCTAGTCACCTCCGTCCTGAAGATCCTGCCTTTTCTATTCAAGTCGGTCTCCGTCGGCTCCATCCATTAACTCACTGGATACCAGCCTCCAGATAGACAGCAAACGCTCCCTCAGTCCGTGCTTCAATCGCCCAATTTCTCCCCGCCCGCCCTGGATGTTCTCAACCACCCTCGCCATCCATCATGTTGACAGTTGAAAAGCAGTGGATCAATGTGCAACAGAAGACCTTCACCAAATGGTTGGTTCCCTTTCTCATTCTACCCTAATTGCATGCTGGGGAAGAGAGGCCTTCTCCAAATTACCCCTCTTGCCCTCACATGCCCCGAAATATTTTTTTTTTCTTTTCGCTGTTTCTTTGTTTTCCCTCTTTATGCACTCTCCCGAAATTGAGTAGGCTGACCCTAGTTTGTCTGCAGGCTCAATGACAAGCTGAAGGTGCGGAAGATCTTCATCGATGACCTCGTGGTCGACCTTTCCGATGGTGTAAGTACACCCCTGCTTTCGTCCTTGTTCGGGCGCCAACCCCTGCGGCGAACTGAGGGAAGCTCCGGTTGCTAATGATTCTTATCGGAACTTCAGGTTATCCTTATTCATCTACTCGAGATCCTGGGTGGAGAGTCACTTGGTCGATATGCCTCGAAGCCTAAGTTGCGGGTACAGAAATTCGAAAATGTCAACAAGAGTCTCGATTTCATCAAGGGAAGGCGGATCCCGATGACGAACATTGGAGCAGAAGATGTTGTGGATGGAAATCGGAAGATCATTCTGGGCTTGATATGGACACTCATTCTGCGATTCACGATCAGCGACATCAACGCGGAGGGAATGACCGCGAAGGCGGGTCTCCTTCTGTGGTGTCAACGAAAGACTGCTTGTTACGAAGGAGTGGAAGTCCGGGACTTCTCCACTAGCTGGAATGATGGTCTGGCCTTCTGTGCCCTTCTGGATATTCATCGCCCAGACCTGATTGACTTCGATGCTCTGGACAAGAAGGACCACCGGGGTAACATGAAACTTGCCTTCGACATCGCAGCTAACGAAATAGGCATCCCTGACTTGCTTGATGTCGACGATGTTTGCGATCAAGCAAGACCTGATGAGAAGTCGCTTATGACATACATCGCTTATTGGTTCCATGCATTCTCGCAGCTGGAGCGTGTCGAGAATGCCGGACGTCGGGTGGAGAAATTCATCAACAACATGCATGGTGCATGGGAGATGCAAAATTCCTACGAGCGGAGAATGAGGGAACTCTTGCGTGTTATCAGAGTGCAACGCGAGGCATGGAAGAACTCTTCCTTTGAAGGCACATACAAGGACGCGAAAGAGCAAGCCCACCAGTTCTCCTTGTATAAAAGAAACCAGAAGCGCCAGTGGGTTGCAGAAAAGTCGGATCTCGCAGCCCTGCTCGGTAACATCAAGACCAAACTCAGCACATACCGATTGCGCCCTTACCAACCGCCAAAGGAACTAAGTCTGGAGGTTTGCGATGAGGAGTGGGAGGGCTTGACTCGTGACGAGCACGAACGTAGCCAGCTTATTAACGAGACCATTCGGGATATCAAGAATGCCCTCCGCCGATCGTTTGCAGACAAAGCCAACGATTTTGCGCTAACGTTGAAGACCCTGTCTCTGGCAATATCTGGTCTCGATGGTGATGTAGAAGACCAATTAGCACATGTCAAGAGACTCAATGACAACCTCCCTCCCCTCGATGCGTTCTTAGATACCATTGCGGCTCTGGACGAGCAATGTGCGGAGGCGAATATTGAGGAGAACGACTACACCACATATACTTTAGATGAACTCTCTTACGAGCTAAGCTTGGTCAAGTCCAGCATCTCCAAAAAGCTGGCATTCCTTGACAATCAACTCGTCGCTCGGAACATGACCAACCTGACACCAATTCAACTGGAGGAGTTTGAGTCTGTCTTCAGACATTTCGATCGCGACGCTTCCAATACCCTTCATGAGCTTGAATTCTCGGCAGCCCTCGCCAGTCTTGGCCTTGTGTATGATGAAGAGGAGATGCATGATGTCTACGTGGAGACATGTGGACCAGCTCGACTTGCGCAGAATGCCGGTGTCAGCTTTGAGCAGTTCATCCGATTCATGGTCAGCGTCACTGAGGATCAAAACACGGCCGAGCAAGTCTACCAGAGTTTCCGCGAGGTTGCAGATGGCAAGGTATGTATCCCATAAAAATGGCAAAGTGTCGCGTTTCATTCAAAGTCTGACTAATGCATTAGCCTTATGTCACGGAGCTCGACCTTCGACACTCTCTCATTCCCGACGAGGTAATCGAACATCTAGTCCAGACTATGCCGCCGCACAACGGACCGGATCTTCAAGAAGACAGAGACCTTCCCAAGTATGACTACATCAGCTTCATGGAGAAGATGATAGAGCATAACAACAGCGACCCTGTGAATGGTGGGAATTGATGGGCTAGTACGTTTGCATTGCACTGCCGGAGTTTTGTTTCCTTTCTGATTCGGTCCTCTTACCTCTTTTCATTTGCTTGTCACCTTTCTGAAGAGTCTTGCTGGAGGTTGCTTTTGGTGTTTTCTGGAGCAAAAAGGGAGGGTTGTGTCTTCGGTGAGCTTTCGACCATGCATACAGGACTATGAGCCGAGGCGTCGTTTCTCTTCCTTTTTGCATTACAGCCATGAGTTTCTCCTTGTCTGCGCCTCTCTTCCTGCCATTGGGCTCTCGACGGTTCTGAGCGGGCACGCTTGGCTTCCGGGGAAGAAGTAGTTTACATATACACACGTTCCCAACAAAGCACTCATTCCAATATAATGACAACTGTCCCTGTAAATAGAGTACGATGCCACGTCAGTAGTCCATCGGATCTTAAAACATTCAAATTACATACCTCCAGTATTTAGAGGTAAGCAGATGGCCATCCGCTGTATACTACGGACCTTGGTCACGTGACTATTTTGCTTGGCCGGGCGGTCTAAGCAGGCACGGTCCGGCATGGATCTATTCCAAGCTCATCTCCGACCTTCATTCAGCTTTCTACTGTCCATCCATCAATTCCCACTGCACACCTGACCACAGTGTGAATTTCAATAGTACTCGATTGTTATTTTCAATTCTCTATTCCGACAAACACCCTCCCCAACTGTTCAAGATGGACCGCAGTTTGGACGAGATTATCGCGGAGCGTCCTGTAGGTCCCTGCTAACGCCTCCGGGATGACAAGTCTCAGATGGTCTGCTAGACATCACACCCTGCATGTGCGCTGACTTGACTTCGTGTAGCAGAAGCAGAATCAGAACCGCGGCCGTCGCCCTCCTCAAGGTCGTCGCCGTGATGGCGTAAGAAAGGTATTTCCTCATCCCTGTCATCATCCCATGAGCTGCTACTGTTTCTTGCGTCTGCTTTGCGCGTGTCGATGCTGACCGAGTGCTTGCTTCTCGCAGGTCCTCCCTCCTTGTCTCTTTTCGAACGTTTCTCGCGCATCGTGATAAGCAAATTTCGCTGGCCTCGTAGCATCGTCTCTCGCACAGGCAGACCGCCGCGAAGAGCCGCAGAAAGATGGAGCTGTTTACGTGAATACCTAGTGTGACTTCGAGCTGACCTTCTCTCTCTATTCGACTGCAACAGCCTCACAGAGAAGAACGTCCTGATTTGGATCTGTAAATACCTTCCCCTTACTGTTTTCCTTCAAGCATTACAGCCCGATTGATGGGATCGCTAATGCGTTGGCTCGACATACAGTGACTGGGTTCATGACAAGTACGAAGACGACAGAGATGGTGCGTTATACGACTCTCAATGATGGCATATAGCCGTGGGAATTCATCCATGTTGGGTCATTCTTAACACCTTACTCAGCACGCCCTTCTCGTGCCCCCCGACGTCCGCGTGGCGACCGCTACTCCCCCTCTCCCGAACAGTATGTTTATCCAATGCGCCTCGGTGGACGAAGTTGACCTGTACAGACACAGCACTGCGTCTAGCGGAGCTAAGCTTCGCGTTGAGAACATCCACTACGACATTACAGAAACCGATCTCGAGGTAGGCCTTGTTCCAGTCCCGACCCTTTTTTCCCTACTGGGCTCTAACATATGCGATCTGAAAAGGACTTGTTCACCCGCATCGGACCAATCAGCAATGTTTCTCTCGTTTACGACCGGGCAGGACGTTCCGAAGGAGTCGCCTTTGTGACCTACAGCCATATCAGCGATGCCCGAACCGCGATCAGGGAATTCGACGGCGCAAACGCCAAAGGCCAGCCTATCCGTCTGACACTCATCTCTACCGGCGCCGGAAGACGCGACCGCAACCCATTTGACAACGTGGAACGCTCGAAGGGAAGTCTGTTCGACCGCGTCGAGAGACCTCGTGACCGCGACGCACGGAGTCTCAGCCCCGGTAGTAGAAGCGGCAGTCCTGATGGAGGCGCACGCCGTCGTCGCGGTCGTCGCGGTGGTGGTGGCGGCGGCGGGTACAGGCGCAGCGACGTCTCCAAACCTGCTCCCGAGCATATTGACAGATACATTCCCGGTCAGCGGTCGCCGACTCGCAACCGCGGCGCTACGAACGGGCGCCGCCAGGGCGGTGGAGGTGAGAACAGGGGCGACAGCCGCCGCACGGTCAACGGACGGCCCAGAAAGACACAGGAAGAGCTCGACCAAGAAATGGATGATTACTGGGGTGGCTCGGGAAACGCTGGTGCTGGCGCAGCCGATAAAGAAGTTGTCCCTGACGAGCCTCAGCAGATTGCGCCGGCTTCTGCGGCCGCTGCGGGTGATGATGATATCGACATGATTGAGTGAAAGACTCGCTTTCGATTTTGAGTACTATCGCCTGACAGTTTCCATCCACTTGCGAGGGCTTGTGATGGCTTTGCTTTCTTTTCATTACATGTAACTAGTATCACTCCCGGTTGGAATACAAAAGACGTCTTGAATAAAAAGCCAAAGGAATCCGAAGGCATGCAGATAACCATACCATAACTATGGTATATCGCTAGTTAACCGCTGCGAGTATAACAACATAGCCATGGTGTCTATATTCCGAATATCTACATCAAGGTAATATGCGTGCCGCCGCAGTTGCGTAGTGTATAAGCAGATCCATGCCACCACAGCTCGGCAAATGGGAAGGATCGCGTTCGTATTATTTGTCTCTTTTTTTTTTGGTACATCTCAATATGTGAGTAGATGGCTTCCCGCTCTATCGGTTCATCACCGCCAGAGACCATACGGCTCCCTGCAAGCCTTCCACAACTTGATCGTTCCATCCTCGCTTCCTGTACCGTAGAGTTTGCCGTCAGGCGAGAAACTGACGGACCAGATCGGACCGTGGTGACCTTTTTGGACCTCTGCGAGTGGATTGTTAGCCACATCGGAAGTGAACGGTGATGGATGATGGGGGTATTAAAGGGTGGGGAAATGGAACGTACCCAGTTCTTCCTCCGTGCGGACGTCGTATACTCTCGCCCAGGTATCCTCGGCACTACCCGTGACCAGTCTGCTTGTTTCATTGTTAACAGCTGCGCTGGCGACCTCGTAGCGGAAATCGATCTTCTTCAGGAGACGACCGGGGCTTAGGCCGTCGAAGAGATAGACGGATCTGCCGGCCGCGACGGTAAGGATTCCGGCGTCGTTGGGTCTGACGGCGAGGGAGTTCAGTTCGCAACTTCCGATGGTGCCTTCCACGGCGTATTCGACGACGGGGTGGCGCGAGCGAAGATCCCACCATCTGATCTTGCGGTCTTCCGCGGCGGTCGTGAGGATGTTGTAGTCCTGGTTCCAGACGATCGATTTGATGGTTCCGCCGTGAACGCCGGGGCCAATCTCGTAGCTTGTTACTGCGGAAGGGCTGGCGTCGGTGTTGGGGGTGGCACTCGTCGGTGAGGAGCTGTTACTGCCCCCACTGCGAGTGAGGTCGAAGATGCGAAGCTTCTTCTCGAAGCCACCTGTTGCGACGACCTGCGGGGAAGGCTGGATTGGAAACGCTACTGCGCGACAGATGTGCGAGTGCTGGAGAGTGTGTTTGCATTCGCCGGTGTGAGTGTCCCAGATTTTGCTGTTGTATGTGGGAGAAAATCGGCGGGTTAGTGAGATGCGACGGCGACGTGCGTTGGAAGTGGGTAGGTAGGTACTCACGCGGAGAAGTCCGCAGCTGCGGTTGCTGCCAGATTCGCATCTGTCGAGAGCCGGGCTTGCCATACTGCGCCCTTGTGGCCGAGGAAGGTTCCAATCCTATATGACATTGATGATGAGTATGTGCGGTGTGCGGAGTATTGATGCGGGGAATACGCACCAGTCACCTGTTATGCCATCCCGCAACATGGGATTGTTGTCTGGTAGATTGTCAGCACGGGGATCTTAGCCATGGTTCTGAGAATATTCACCTTTGCAGGCAGAGATTAGGTAGTACTGATCATCCTCGACGGTGGATGAGAAGTTGATGTGCGGCACGGGACGTGAGTGTCCGTGGCAGGTCAACGGCACAACTTTGGGAATGTCTGGAATGTGTCAATAGCCAATTGCTATGAAGAATGGGCCACTGTATCCACCGCACCTGACGCCATTGTATATAAACTTCACTTGAGGTAATGTACAAAGTCAATTGCAATGTGATGAGTGTCGCATGCGATAGTAGTGGCCGTTAGATGAAGTGACGATAAGGTGTTCAGTTGAGATTGAAAGAAATCGTCTCTGAACTGTCGCAGATGAAGCGCAGAGTAGCAGTGAAGTAGAAGACACGAGAGATGAACACAGCGTAGAAGTACACAAGGAAATTCGTCAGTCTCGTCAAGTCATCAATCAGCCCGAGGTAGCGGGGTCGTTCTAGAATGATTGGAGGTGGAAGAAAGGAAAGGTAGGACTAGGAATTAGGTAGAGAAGTCGGGTCTCCCAGTTAAAACGGAACCCTCGAACAAATGTATGAGCCACCGGCGCTTCTAAAGACACGGTGAAGAGGGACTCAAGCCCGGAATAACGAGAACGATGGAGATGAAGCTGGTTGGGGGGAAGTTTGGGACTTTCTTTTTGATATTCACGCGAATCGTCGCCGGGCCGTTAGCCGCCCTAAGCCTATCGGGGACTAGTGTCAAACAGCACGTGAGGGGTAACTGTCCCTAATCTGTTCCCAAATAGGCAATCTGGATGCATTCATGGACTTCGATAGTTTGATACTACAACGACGCGCGGATGTGTGTTGAATCCAGAACAATGACATTTAGACTTCTGCACGTGCATCGAGCCTATTGGTATTGCACTACTAACATGCGATGTGGTCCCTGAGTGAGGAGGGCCATTTCAGCGCATCTTCGTAAGAAATCGTGGTATGGAATTCAGGATGGAAATCAGCATTTGTTCCTTATGAAAACCCAATGCAAACTAAGACTAGTAGTGAATGCAGAATGGCCACTAGTCGCGTACCCAATCAAGCCAGGGTATAGCTCCATTCCTAATGCGATAATACTAACTAGCTAATAGTTAGTTACTTAGTAACATGGCTTATCAAGACTTGGATTCTAGCAACTTCTTCCCGGCGAATACACTGGCGAGCCACCGCCCACGTGATTGCCCCAGATGGTCCCATGGCCCTCCCTTTAGTCTCTAAGCAGCAGCTCCTCAGGTACTCCAGGTCAACTAGTACTACTAAGCAGGAACTCCCCCCCCTCCCTCTCTTCCCAAAGGTGCCTTGAAACCCTCCCGGCCATCTTTGGTGCCTCCATTTCATCCTTTTGGCTCTTGCCAGTTCCCCCTCTTCATCCTCAACCCCTTCTACTGGGATCTATATTTCCCTAATTCTCTCCACTGGTCTATGTATGCCTGAGTTCAAGATCTCCGCTTCTCTGGAGGGCCACGGCGATGATGTAAGAACGTCCCGGCTGTTAACGCTGGCCACCTTTCACCTTCCAACCCTCCATTGTCGCCCACTGACGCCTCTTTCTCTCATTCTCAGGTTCGCGCCGTGGCCTTTCCGAATCCCAATGCTATATTCTCGGCGTCCCGAGATGCAACAGTCCGACTCTGGAAACTAGTCTCTACCCCACCTCCGGCATATGACTACACCATCACCTCTCACGGCCAGGCCTTCATCAACGCTTTGGCATACTACCCACCTACCCCCCAGTTTCCTGATGGACTTGTCCTCTCCGGTGGTCAAGACACTATCATTGAAGCCAGACAACCAGGCAAAGCTGCCGATGATAACGCGGATGCTATGCTCTTGGGCCATACACATAATGTCTGTGCGCTGGATGTGTCACATGATGGCGGATGGGTAGTCAGTGGAAGCTGGGACTCGACAGCTAGGCTATGGAAGGTGGGTAAATGGGAAACCGATGTCGTGCTGGAGGGTCATCAAGGAAGTGTTTGGACGGTGCTTGCTTATGACAAGGATACTGTCATCACAGGTAAGCGCGCGCCGTACCCCTGCATATATGACGGATGGACCATTCCATGCATATGCTAACAACTCTCCAGGCTGCGCGGATAAAATGATACGAATTTTCAACACCTCCGGCACTCTGCTGAGAACGATCAAAGATTCCCAGGACGTTGTGAGAGCTCTTTGCAAGGTTCCCGCCTCCAACCCCACTGGCGCACACTTTGCTTCGGCGAGCAACGATGGAGTGATTCGTCTCTTTACCATACAAGGCCAACTCGTCGGGGAAGTGCATGGCCACGAGAGCTTTATTTATTCGCTGGCCGCTTTGCCCTCGGGTGAGTTGGTCAGTTCTGGAGAAGATCGAACGGTGAGGATCTGGGATGGTACGCAGTGCGTACAGACGATCACGCACCCTGCGATCTCTGTCTGGAGCGTTGCGGTATGCAAGGAGACCGGCGACATTGCCACAGGAGCCAGTGACCGCATCACACGCGTGTTTAGCAGAAGCCAGGAACGCGTGGCAAGCGCAGAAGTAGTACAACAGTTCGAAAAGACTGTCAAGGAGTCGGCAATTCCGGAGCAGCAGGTTGGTAAGATCAACAAAGATCAGCTTCCGGGTACGGAATTTCTCAGGCAGAAATCGGGAACCAAGGACGGGCAGGTGCAGATGATCCGTGAGGACGATGGTAGCGTTACTGCTCACACTTGGTCAGCGGCATCACGGGAATGGGTTGCAGTTGGTACGGTAGTTGATTCCGCTGCCAGCAGTGGAAGGAAAACGGAGTATCTGGGTCAAGACTACGACTATGTCTTCGACGTTGACGTGGAAGACGGCAAGCCTCCCCTCAAATTGCCATACAACGTCTCTCAAAACCCGTACGAGGCTGCGACCAAGTTCATCCAGGACAACGAACTGTCGATGAACTACCTTGATCAAGTCGCTCAGTTCATCGTTCAAAATACGCAAGGTGCAACACTTGGGCAGACCTCACAGGGTCCGACGCCTGCGGGGGCCGATCCTTGGGGTCAAGAGAGGCGTTATCGTCCCGAAGATGCGCAGTCACCTCCTGCTCCGGAGGCTCGACCGAAGGTCCTTCCGCAAAAGACCTATCTTTCCATCAAATCTGCCAACCTCAAATTGATCGCCAAGAAGTTGCAAGAGCTGAACCAACACGTTATATCCTCCGGATCGAAAGAGTTGTCGCTCAGCCCTTCGGAGTTGGAGACGGTGGCAACCCTGTGTGGTCAGTTGGAATCTTCAAATGTCGAGCAGTCTCCGGCAGTGGAGGCTGGTGTTGTTTTATTATACAAGGTTGCAACCGTCTGGCCTGTCGCAAGCAGACTGCCGGGTCTTGATCTTCTCCGTTTGTCCGCCGCTGCCACTCCCGTGACTGCCACGGCCGATTACGATGGCAAGGATCTCATCTCAGGCATCCAGTCTAGTGGGGTGTTTGACTCACCATTCAATGTTAATAATGCGATGCTGTCAATACGCATGCTCGCCAACCTTTTCGAAACGGACGCGGGACGTGACCTTGCCACTAGCAGGTTTGAGCAAATCCTGAGCGGCGTCAAGTCTGCTTTAACCAATAGTTGGACGACGCCGAACCGAAATCTCACCATTGCCATTACAACCCTCTACATCAACTTTGCCGTTTACCTCACCTCTGCGGGCAGAGAATCGATGCCTGAGTCATCGGAACAGGCTCTGGTCCTTCTTAGCGAGCTAACGACAATGATTACCGGTGAAAAGGATTCTGAAGCAGTCTACCGCGGTCTTGTGGCTCTAGGAACTTTGGTCAAGGGACTAGGGGAAGAAGTCAGGACTGCGGCCAAGGAAGTGTACGATGTTGGAGATGTTTTGAAGACGATTTCAAGCTCGGGCCTTGGTAAAGAACCAAGAATCAAGGGTATCATAGGCGAGATTAGGGAGTCGTTATCATGAAGGTATAGCATGTTAAGGCCCGGGTCTTAAGACGTCTCATACCTCATGGAGCGTCTGTGTTCTGCTTCACTACTGCTGTCTATAGCACGTATACATCTCTAGTTCACGATAGCGATACACACTACACTGCATGAATTCCATTTGGACATATTCTCAAGATATTCATCGCTAATATTAGGTGTCCCATAGCACTATGCATATGATGTAACAACAATGTAAACTCATAATTATTCTGACCTTCATCTACTATGTACCTAAGCCTTGCACATAGGCCATTTGATTCATCATTTACCCACTCCAGCGCTCAAAGCTTTCCCTCAGCATCCACCCCCACCTCGACAATCTGCTCGATACCTGGATACTCCGGCAGATCCAATTTATACTTATCCGCAATACTCTTCGTCAGAAACCGTCCACCCAGGAAATGCCGTCCCTTATAATACTTCACGCACGGCTTCGGCGCAGTCAGACTGATGAGCGCCTCCGGCATGAACTTCGATCCCGGGCCTTCCTTGGGTGGCCCGCTCTCAATGTCCCAGGAACTGGGCGCATCGACGCTCAAAACGGGGATACTGGCTGTTTCGATTTGGGAGATGATGGTTGGGAAGGGTTCGCGGAGAGGTCCGCCGAATGAGAAGCCGAAGATGGCGTCGACGAGGAAGTCGGCGGATTTGATGGCAACGGGGAGGTCGGAGATGAATGGGACGGAGAGGTTCTCGAGTTGCGTTTTGAGGCGCTGTATTGTTTGAGGAGGTTAGTAGGCTGGGGTGTGTGGCTGCAGAGTAATGTGTGTAGCATATATATATATATATATATATATATGTTTGCAGGGTGGGCGTCCCAACTTCATGTTTCGGGTCATGTCAATGACATGTGGGGCGTGCTGGGAGCTTACCTGGTAAAGCTCGTTCTTGCCCTGCTTTGGATAGTAAACTGAGGGCTTGTACCCATAGTGAGCTAGATGGCGTGCGGCTACTAGGCCATCGCCGCCTGAGAGGAGGTTAGAATCGTTGTTTGTTCTATGTCTGATAGAAATGAAGGGTCGTTTAAGGCCTACCATTATTTCCCGGGCCACAGATAACCAAGACATCCTTACCCGAGCTTGGTGGATGAATGCGGTAGACTGGTATGTCAGAGTGCCTGGTTCTACACAGTGTTGCTGGAAGGTGTCGCATTCTCACCGGCTTGAGAGACAGAGAGGCCCGCTAGTTCCATTAACTGGTCCAATGACCAGCCACCTATCTCCATGAGGTCTTTATCGAGAGATGCGGCATCTTTTGAGGAGATGGCCTGTTTGGAATATTCCTCGTGAGCCTGAGGTACTCTTCCTCTTGAGCGGAAATAGTGAAGTTATTGCACACCTTCAACGACATCTTGGCGGATCTACTATAGTACCGAAATAATGCGGGGATAGGGTTCCGCCTGGGAAGTGCGGCACGGAACATACAATGGTGCCTTTTAAGTGCAAGGTTGAGCGTGAAGAGTATGCAGCAGCACTCCGATATACTCAATGCAATGGATAAGTGTAGAAAATATTGCTAGGAGGAGCGATTTCTTCAAAGTGGTGTGAATTGCCATTGCATCATTGTTATCGGGCCCTCCCCACTGACCGACGCTAATCCGAATTCCGCAGTCTCGGCCCGATAGATCTCCCGACCAGGCTGGAAACTGCCGCGGAGTCGGAGACTCTGGCCTGCTTGAGCTTGATCAAGTTGCTCTTTTGCTGTGCAGTCGCTCCTCTTAATTTCTCCTTCCAATTGCAGAAATTACCCGTCAAGATGGTCGTTCGCATTCGCCTCTCCCGCTTTGGAAACCGGCACCAGCCGTTCTACAACATCGTTGTTGCCCAGGCACGGTAGGTAAATTTTTTATGGATCCCGGGGATCAGTATATCGCGTTCCGCGAGCGATTCATTTGGGGGTTTCTAAGAGGAGTATGAGATCCAATGCTAATGGGGATATATTCTACAGGTCGGCTCGCGACTCAAAACCTCTTGAAGTTATCGGTACCTTCAACCCTATTCCGCAGCGCCCTACGAACCTGTCCGAGAAGGAGGCCCGCACCGCCAAAGCATACAAGGAGATTTCGCTTGATCGATCTCGAGCCAAGTACTGGATTGGTGTTGGCGCACAGCCCAGTGATGGCGTTTGGAAGTTACTAAACCTCGTACGTTGCCTGCCACTGTATAACAAGCATGTCCGCTAGTAGGAAGGGGATATGGACCTGGGTTACGACATTGATTGCCTAATATTCGGTATCTACTACAGGCCGGGATTGTGAAAGAAAGCAAGAATGTGAAAAACTGAGGCGTGGATATCTTGTTCACTTCGACATCTGTATACTTGCACGGTGCACTCACCTTCGAGCTTCCGTTGCTCGGATAGGGCGAGGCGAATACTGTCATTTTTCGGGGACGTTGGTGAGGGCTTTTCCGGAGTGGAAGAACTTTTTCTTTTCTTTTCTTTTTTCAATATCATGCTACTGGCATTTTTCATGGCGTTTACTGAGAGCTATTCTCCTGGAATTGATTTATGGGTCGAGAATTTATGTACATTATGTGAGTCGATTACGTGCTGCCTGAGGCCTCTGTGCTTGTGTGATATACAATATACGTTTTATCAGGCCTCTGTTCCCCCTTTGTTTCGGTATAAGCATTCCAACGTGCAGCCAGATACCTCAACCTAGGTATGGCGATTATGACTGGCAGGGATGAGGTTTCCGCGCTGCATGAGCAGGCATAGATTCCTTGAGCCTGCCAAAATAATGCTAAGGCCACCTCCGGGATCAGGCAGGGTTTCCATCTGCGAGGCGGACACAGAGGCAGAGGAAGAGTGCCGGCAACATCTCTATGCTACGTTTGTGTTGAAACTTCCAGATGCAGTCTGGTAAATCTATAGAGACCCGAATACACATCGTTGATGTGTTCCTTTATGCTGAGCAACAGCGGGCTCAATACGATTGAATCATTCATTATCTTGCTGAGTTAATAAGGACAGGGGGGAGCAGAAAGTCCCGAGCGACTCCGTACTTTGTGCATCACTGCATGGCTGCTCCCTTGCGCTCAAGGCTGGCAGGTGACCATGCAGGCATCACCACTTGGCTTTTCCGTTAGATCAGCACTGTCATGAAGCAACGCCCAGATCGCCCAATCCGAGCCAACCACACCTGCGACAATGAAAGGGCGTTTGATCCTTGATGCACGTCTTCAGTTTCGGTGAATAAGAATGTGATGAGAGATTCAGAATACCCAGACAGAAGGAAAGTAGATGAAACTTAAAGAGGTGTGTGTACTTTAGGTACTACTATCTATCGCGTCTTATCAGTCTAACTTACATCCACGTATCAGAACGAGGAGTCCAACTTGGACAAATGAAAATCCCACCCTTCTCGCAAATCTGGCGTATGAATTACCTAACCTGCATATAGGCATCTAGGTGAAATAGCGCGTTGCTGGCATCTAGTCCTATGCTCCTGCTATGATATCTGTAAATCCCGAGTCATCGGTGCCACTCCCTAGCCGTCATCCATCCCGGGATGAGCGGCAACCTGGTGCACGGAGACATGGTACTCCGCAAACACTAGGGAGAAGTAAACATGAGGGGGAGAAAAAAAATATGACCATGCCTTGGTCTTCCTAACTACTAGATACCCGTTCATTCCCGGCACCCACTGGACACCTGAAAGGATTCCCGTTCCCCTCTCTCTCATTGTCCCAAATCCCAATCATTGCCCGCGCAATGAGGGTCAGTCATGGACCAATCCCGTTCTGCGGGCAAGGCACAGAACGCACCAGTCCCGAGTCCAGACGTCCGACGGACCGTGATGATTGGCTGTCGTAGGGAATTTCAGGTGGGAAGATCAGCGTCAGAGTTTGTCCTTCCCATGGATCTCTAGCAGCCACACCACCAGGGCCCGCCTCTCCCACTCATCCCTCTTTGAGGTACATGATGGTACCTATCGACGCTCATGTGGGCTCATATTAGCTCTTGTATGGGGAGGTCTCGTCTCAGCTGGACGTAAGCGTTTTGCCTGGGCTGATCAATATTGTGATTGGTTGACTGGCTTGTTTTGAAGCCAGAAAACATCCAGGAAGGACATCCTGGTTTGGTTCTGACTATCCAATACCCAGGATAACTGACTAGCTTGCTATGCGCGCTAATCGCTATTTGTGCAGAGAATAAGAATGAGTCTTGATTTCAGCAGAAGAGAAGGTGGTAAGCATTTGCGCCTATGAATCTGCCACCGATTTTGTCATAGTGATGATGAGTCTTGTTATTTTATTTTTCCTTCATACGGTCAGCTGAGAGCATCGCCTATACATTCCGTCCATGGTCCATGGTGCCGAGGCAGTCACTCAATGAGCCTTTTGAGGGCAAAGCAATCCGGAGGTTCATCATCATGTACCCAGAGACAAACACATTGGGGCGAAGAAAAACATTGTGCTCTAGACGACTAAATCTGTAGCCTTACACCTAAGTACGAGTCTGGACTTTAATTCGAACGGTAATTGTGGGCTTTGGAGTGGATCGCTCGATTCTGTTTGATTATGTGCAGTAAGCTAGGAAGGCTTCGGGCTGTAAGGCAGGATGGCTCTTCGACATCCATGGGTATGCTCCGCGGGGTGGCTTTTGTGTCGTACAGAGCGATAACCCCCCCGTGATCAGGTGGATGGGGTAAATAGGGTTCCTATAAACACGGTTGGGATGATTTTGCCTTTATCACACGGGAAAGGTCTTCGTCATATATTTCGGGGGAGGGGCATGAGTCAAGAGGAAGACTACGACTCATGGTAGTATTCGAGGTAGGACTGGGAGGTGAAGAGGAAGGCTACAGTATAGCCCCATAAGTGCAGGCATGAGATGATGGCCAACTAACTGTATGAGGATTTATGCGAGAACCCCACCAGCGACTGGGGGGGAATAGTAATCGATTCTCAGCCGTTTGAGCTGACTGGTACAATCGGATAGATGCGTAGGTTGGTAGATGCTAGCTGGATCTGGATCTTCATGACTACTGTAGGTTCTTGACGTCGATGTTGTTGTTCATCTTTATTGCTGTCCGCACCCTTGTGGTTCGATCCATAATATATAAGTGATAGTTGTTACTATCTAGACTAAATGTCCCAACCATGAGTTTCCATAAGAAGCCCTAAATTTGAATGAAAGTATCATAACTATGGCCTCGGCAATTGAACTTATGCGGATTGGTGAATCTCTGCCTTTGAGAGAGGGCTCCTTCTGCCCTATTTGCCACGCGCCCTGGGGCGTTCAGGACACGCACCTGTGATGTCGCATCCGGATGCTTGTTCCCTCCTTTGTTTCGGTTGTTTGCGTGAAGGACTGCCGCAATCGGGTGGTCTTCCTGGATGGTCTGGATGCGAAGATAATCCCCAATGACACCTAGATAGAAACAGGTGAATTCATCGTTCGACAACAGCGAAACCATGTGAATTTGAATCTAACTAAACAGAAGTTGGTTGAATCGATCGATGCATGGATGAAGAACAACTTTCCAGGCACACACGGCCACCGGACAGATCCAAAGCACGCCAAAGCAAGCATCAGCACGGGATCGGCTGGCACTCCATTGATAGCGCGTCGTGTCATCTTAAACTGCCGGGTCGCGCTTCAGCTGCAAGCGCTCGTTGGACGGCGCATCTTAGTCACTTTTTTCCTTTTTGGACCCGTTCTAGTTCGGGGATTAGTCGACAGGCCTTCAAGGGACTCCCGACTGGCCATCGCTTCATGGAACGGAGCCAGTCTCGATCCGTGGACCAGACCAGACGAGACAGAAGACGGTCGGTCGGCCGTCCTCAGTCAACTTGCTTTCTCTCTCTGTCCCTCTCTCTCTGACGCTTTGGTTTCCTTCCCTCTTTCGCCCCCTTCAACTTTACTCGGTTTCCTAGTATTCTTCCCACCCCCCTAAAAGTCCAAAAGGACCGGCCAGTCCACTCCCTAAATGTAAAAAAGGACCGTTCCGGAACTTGACGTTCATTCATCTTTTTCTTCACCTTTTGATTAGTTAATAGTAGTATTTTATATTATTATTTTAATTATTCTTTATTATTTTTATTTTTATTCGCATTAATAGTATTATTCTGTCTACGCAGTACTACCAGATAACTACTCCTACGTACTTACTACTATCTACTCCATAGATACACTACTACCCATTTCGCCGGATCCTTTCTCACCATTTCCAGTTTCAGTTCCTACGGTTCCTTACGCCGATTGTACGGCAGCCTTTCCTCTTCCTCTTCCTCTTTCTTCTTCTCATTCCCTTTTCCATCTCCCTCTCTCCCCCCATCTTCATCGTCATCATCGTCATCATCTATCCATTCCATACATTCATCCACCTAAGAAATCGATAGATCGATTTCTTTCTTCATTGATTACTACAGTCAAAAACATCCCGATCCCATTTGATTAACGGATTCGCGGGTACTACTACAACAAAACCATTTGGACATTGATTTAATTGATTACATTGAGTCCTCTACCACTAAATAACTACTACTGCACTACACCACGAACTAAACCACTGCCACCACGCATTCTACCAACGACTGCCTACGGCACTTACTTAACGCGCCTCCCCCTCCCTCTTTCTTCCCACCACCCACTCATTCCCTTCCCACCACTCACTCACTCACTAAACCCACTAATACTACTTACTACTTGACTTGCTACCAATCTCTCTCCCCCCCTCCTCCCTCCCTCCCTCCTCCTCCTCCCCCCCAAAACTCAACCCAATCTAACTTTATCCTTCCCCCGAACGGTCTTCTTGGTCGCCGTCCTTCCCTTCCTCTCTTTCTTCCTTCCTCTTCCCTTCTTCCTCACCCACCCTCCCCCAACTTTCTCCTCCTACTCCCCCCCCAATCCTTCGCCATCTTCCCTTTCCGTTCCCGTTCGCGTCTTCCATCCTCCCCTATTCTACCTCCACCTCTACCTTCCCAACTTCTGCCTGTACCATTTACATTTTATTTCTGAGTCGCATAATCATTCCTTTTGCATTTGATTATCAATTCATTTTTCCTTCTTCCCTTCCCATCGTGTGTGGCCTACTTCTTGTCTCTCCCTCGGACACTCGGTCCGTCGCATCCTTACCTCCTTAAACACGCATACCGCGAGTTCAATTGCGCGTGTTGATCCATCGCACTTTTGCTTCCTCCCAACGAGATTGCGTCAGAATTCTGATCCTATAATCTGGTTGATTTACCATTTTACATTATCGACTTGTTCCTGACACTCTTCTGGCTGAGCCCCTCCAGCCTCTGTCCCATCTGTCATCCGGTTGCCTCCCGCACTCCCTTACCTTCTTGGAGGAGCCCGTGCTCCCGTCCGCTCGTGGGGTTAATCGATCGAGTCAGACGCTTTTAGAATTTCGGTCCGTGAGGCATGAGTGGCAGTTCGAATCAGTCAACCCGTACGAGTCCAGGCTCCTACAGCACTACTCAGCGCACGCCCTCGGTCTCTTCGGGCGCGTCGCCTACCCACCAGCCGCTTTCGGCCTCTCAAGCGCCCGCGACGGCCCAGAATGCGATGTCGACCGACGTGTACAATACGCCCGCATCGCAGGCACCAACTTCGTTAGGTCCTTCGTTTACATACCCTTTCTCCCCGATCGGCCCCTCTTCCACTTTTGACAACGTTTCCTCATCTGCTATGCGTCTGGGCGACTCGGATCGGTCGGCGCAGGGCCTGAATGGCTTTATCCGACCGACAAATGGAACAGGTGGCGGCGCGATCCTTATGCGCAAACTCCCGCGCAACACCAGTCGCGATGCTCTGCGCAGCATGCTACTCTTTGCCAAAGATTTTGTGGATGCCGACTTTGTGCCTTCCGACGCTCCGGAGGACAACGGATACTTGTGTGCGGTCGCGCGCTTCAGCACCCTGGCTGCTGCGGAAGAAGCACGAGCACTTCTCGACGGCAAACCGAATTCGAAGAACGACGCCACCATGATTGTGGAAATGTTTTACGGCTCAGTTGGTTCCTCCTTGGTGCCCAGACGAAACACGATTGACCACACCGCGACTCGGGGCTTACTAGGACATGTTAATGGAGGTTTACCGCGACAGTCGTCGCGCTTCAACGGGACTTTCCAGACCTTGGAGAAGTTGAACGCGACCACTGCTACCTCTGGTGATGCCCTGCCCCCATCTGAACCTGGCTCCCGTCTCCACAGTCTCTTCTCCCCCCAGTCCCCGATCGGCAACGGCGTTCCCGAGCTCCCGCGAGTCAGTGGCAAATCGATGATTGATCAGGATATCGATGAAGATACTGGAGAGTTGCTTAAGGATCCCGTGGGCTATGCCGAAAACGGGCATTCGTCTTCTGTCTCTGTCCCTCGACGTTCCACGAACCCTCAGATTCTGGGTAACCAGTTTGCCAACATGTCTTTGGCTGGCAATCTCAATTCTCCTCCACTACCGAATTACAACCAAGGAGGAAACGCGCACGTCGGCGTTCCAAACCCTCCATCGACCTTTCCCCAACCGATGAACAATAACATCGGGACGGGCCATGTGTTCCCTTATGGTAATCCGCATGTACCTCGCCATAGTCTCCCTGCAGCCAACCCGAACGACATGAACCCTCCATGCAATACATTATACGTGGGGAACTTACCCCCCGATACCTCAGAGGAAGAGCTGAAGGCTCTGTTCTCTAAGCAGCGTGGATACAAGCGTTTGTGCTTCCGAAACAAACAGAATGGGCCGATGTGCTTCGTGGAATTTGACGACGTGGGCACCGCTGGCAAAGCCCTGAACGAGTTGTATGGCGTGAAGTTATCCAACAGCATCAAGACCGGCATCCGTCTAAGCTTCTCGAAAAACCCCCTCGGGGTCCGATCAGGACAGCCCGGCTCCATGAGCGCGTCTAATACCATGGCCTCTCAAGGTGGTGTGCCTGGGGGTAGTAGTCTCGGTGGAATGCATAACCACATGTTTTCGACGGTCAGTGGACCGCCACCGGGCCTGTCTGCGCCTCCAGGCTTGGTCCCTCCCGTGGCAGTTAGGAGCAACGGCGCCATGCATCCCTCCGGGAGTCCAAATGCACCATTGCCCAACAACGGTACTTTCAATGCCAATTCGGGACTTGGAATTCGGACAAATCCGATGAACGCAATGGTGTCCCCGCCACCTCAGCTCACCGGCGGAGCTTCGGGACCCAATGTGGGTGGCTACAATTCCTACTACCCGGATTATATGATGGGTCGGTAGGAAGGTGCACGTTTCTGTGGAGATAATGTCCGACATGCTTGATGATCACTGGGCTACCTGGCGCATTGGGGATTGTTATTGTTTCTATTTCATGAGCTAGATCAGCATTTGGAGGCTCGCCTTCCTCCTGGGAGTAAGGACCACGGGGCTCTCGCTTTTTCAGCTTTGCTTTCTGTGATTGTATTCCATTCGTTTGCTGTGCACTCCGATAGCATGGGATCAGGGGCGCTGTTACTATACATGTTGTGTTTGTTGTTGTTGTTTTTTTTTTTTTTTTTTTTTTTCTTTTCTTGGGTGGGGAGACATTGCATTTGTGCGCGTATGGGTTTCTCTTTAATACGTCCAGGAGCCCGTGTGGATTTTCATTGCCAACTTCGCTTGTTTCACTTGCCCTGTCGTCATGTTTGCACTACCTTCATACCCTGTGCCGTGTTGTTGCGTTATCTATTCAGATGTTTTCCTAATAGTTGCTTTCTCTGCCTTTCCTTCCTATGAGAGGGGAGGCTTCGATTGCCTGTCCGTTCTTCTCCATTCTTCTGTGCGTGCTATTGTCTACATGTGGGAAATTGCCGATCGTTTTTGCTTGATTAAACCTTTCAGCCCTTCGTTTGACCCCCTCAATCACGCAGGATGGGAGAAGGATGCGTTGGCCGAGACCAGAACGCCAGAGATCACGGAAATCCCAGAGGGAAATCCTTTGTACTGGATCTGGTTTGAGCTACTGACCACCCTCCCGTGTTGTGATACATTGTTTGCAGCCTTCATCTGGACAACAGCTAATCATTGTGCGGGGCGTTTACCTGGGTACCTATACACTTGAGATACATTTCTGGGACGTCATCTATCTGTCTTACTCTGATCATTGGGCAAGGGGTGTATCCCAAGGCATGTGTTGGCTGCTGCTGGCCGCCTGGGATTGTAGCGCATTGTTCCGTCCCTTATTCGCATCGTGTTTTGCAGCGTTGTTGCTCTTCCGTCATTGCTTGGGTTACATGGGAGTCATGGAGGCTATTACTACCCTATTTATTTCTTCGTCACCTTTGCTAGTCTTGATTCTTCTATTTGTTCCCTTTGCCGGGGGGGATCTGTTGATGAGCGGGAATTTACCCTGGAAAAGAGGCGTGTTGAATTTGCTTCCCTTCTTTTAACTTCGCGGGAAATTGCTCTACATGTACCAGCTTCAACAATGGAATTGCACCGGTCATTCACTTCAGAACGTTTTGACAGTCATAAACCTGGAGGGAGAAAGTTCGTAGTTCCTGTTGGGAGCCCGTGGGGAATGAAGCCGAAGCCAATAGTGAGAATTGCCGGCGGGACCGTCCAGAGCTTCCTCCCCAATCGGGCCAAGCGCCGCACCACCGGTAGCTTCACGTGACCACCACCGCGCCGAAAAGTTTCTTCCTTTTCTTCCGTCGAGTTCGTGCCTTTCTTTCCATCTCGAACCTCCATATCATCCACCTTCCTCCTTCCCCTCCTACACTAAACTCCCTACCCCGTCAATTGGATTGCTTCTCCTCGGAATCTGGTCCATTGACGTCGGAGATCCTTGTACTCTTACCCACTCACCCCCTGTCCCCTTAAACAACATGGCACCCCGAATACAGAACTCGGTCGTCTCCAACTCTCTCCTCCCTTACCTCACCACATCATCTACCTCATCCTCCTCCACATGTCTTCCCAGGCTAGCTACTACATGCCCCTCATCACAAGAGTCATGGCGTTCGTGTCGGTCATTTTCGTCCACGCCGGTCCCTCAAACTACTAGGCGTCGCAGAGAGATGTTTGCGTGGCTCAACACCGACGCAGCTAAGTTGAGAACCCATACCCCAGGCTCAACAAACTACCTCATGCGGACCAATCCCAAACTCAAGGATTCACCGGCTGTTGAGACCAGAGTTTTTCCGGCAAATCCTGCCTACCGCTCAGAGAGCATCCTCAGTGAGGAGCTGCGGACGGAGATCTACAACCGGGTAGTAATAAAGAAAAAGAGTGTGCGTGCTGTCAGTGTCGAGCTGAAGGTCGACATGAGGAGAGTCGCTGCTGTAGTCCGGCTGGTCGAGTTAGAAAAGCGGATGGAGAAACAGGTATGTTTACAGATCCTTCCAAGTCATCAGCAATGCGTTCCCCCTCCTACCCTTCTGCCTTTCAAAGCGGACATACCCGCGGTGTGCAATGATGAGAAAAATTATAAATTCGATTAGTCTTTATGACCCAGTTGACTGGGAATGGTTACAACGCCTATTTTTCTGATATACACCGATTCTCTCTTGTTGTTTTTACTATCACAAGCTCTGATCATGCTGCCTGTACTTTGGTCGAACGCAACTAACAGACTTGTTGTTTCAGGGTAAACCCTTGGCTGTGCCCTACGCTCGTGCCATTCACGAAATGATTCCCGTAACACCTCCCGAGCAGGCCCATGAAGAAATCAACGAACTGCCCGTCCACCGCCTCACCAACCCTCAAATCTTCTATCCCGTCTCTGAATCCCGCCAATTCAACCGTGTTGACGCTGGCCGTGTTTTCTCCGCTGCCCCGGCTTTAGAACACGAGAAGCTTGCCAAGGATGTTGCTAATCCGTCTGAGGCCATCAGCCGGGTTACTCAGAATCCCTCGCGCATCGAGCTCGTCGGCAAAGGCGATGAAGAACATCAGGTCCTCCAGGCGGCGGACGTGCGTATTCCGCACCCGCACATGGTCACAAGTACCCGTGACATAAATGAGGTACCGAATGAGATTCGCCAACACCCCAAGCTCTACAAGGCTCGCCTCAGGGCGCAAGAGGCTGCCGATCAAGAGCGCAAGCGTCTCGCCCAGGAGCGTAAGGAGGAGCAGACGCAGCGTGTACAGCCCGAGGATTCTCGCTTCGAGTTCCGTATCAACGACGTTGTCGTCAGCCAGGAAACCACCGGCAAGGATGGTCGCAACGCTCGCGCTCCTGGTCGCAGATACGGTGTCCCCAGCTACGACCGGAAGAAGGGCCAGGTCAAGATCCCCACCCGTGTGGAGGTCTAAGCTTGCAAATCTTGACCTTGGATTACAGCCCCCCTTATTCCTTCGTCACTCATGTTTATTTCCTCCCCAAATGACATGAAATATCCCTGTATAGCCCGTCCATCTCGCAGTGCGGTATGGATGGTGGATGTATTTGTATGCCCCTCTTGGTTGCCTTGTATTTCAGCTGTACGATACAGTCCTTTTCGACTGGTTGATCGATTGATATTTCCTTTTCTCTTTTTTTTTTTTTCCGAGGAGCTTGTTCGGTTACTACCCCACCTATTTTACTTGGAAGCCATGAATATGTATCTATAGCCCTTTTACTACTATCTATCACCTACTTACCTCTCTTCGAACTGGATACATCAATACTACACTACATATAAGAGTTGAACAAGATACCTATGTCTTTATAATGTCTGTTTAATTCACACCAGTCCATGTAGAATAACAGAATAGAGAAAAATAAGTTACATGATGGTGATAGTATATAATTCAAGGAGGGCAAAACCACCCATCCAATCGACAAAACGGTCTATGTACATCAAGAGCAACTCTACGAGGCAGACACAAGACACAAGAGATATAAGGCCAAGTCCCTTCAAAGGCGGCATACACGTAGATGTATAAGGATGATAAGAATGACAACAGAAAAAACGACAAAAACGACATCTCGATTCGTATGCGTGAGTATGCCACCCTCTTCCTTCCCTTGCCCTTTTCCCAAAGCAACCAACCATGGGAAAACACATATCAGAGACGCCTGTCAAGTTGAAAGTTGATCACGAACGAACAAACAAAGGGAATGAAGTGTATGGCAACCGCGTACGGGGGCCGCGGACGCCAGGAAGGCAAAGAAGTATAATAAGAACATAAGATCGACGATGGGCTATGCTGGGTATCCATTGGAAGACGCAAAATAGCGGGAAATGCGGTTTTGGAGATGAGATGAAATGAGAGAGGGAGAGGGAGAGGGAGAGAGATAGACGATCAAACATGCACGTGATGTGCTCAAACATACAGGCGCGCAGCGGTCTGACAATCGGTCGAGGTGATATTATCCCAATTTGGAGGAAAATTGTATAGCATGAGGAACAATTAGAGTGCATCAAGATCTGCAGGACCGTCTGGAACAGGGACTGATGTTACCGGACTAGCAGGTGAGTCCAAGCCCTCGCCGCTACCACTGCCGGAAGAGTCTTCGGGTGTAACGTCGATGGGTTTAGGGAAACTGGGGGTTTTGCGGTCCTTCTTGGTGGCTCCGTGACTCAAAGTAGAGGATGGCGAGAGTGGTATAACAGGGGACTGTTTCCGCGAAACTCCGTCTCCGCCAGTTTGCATGGGACTCGTATGGCCATCAGACGTGGGCGAAGGCTGAGTGTCATCGGCGTAACCGCGCCATTTGCGCCAGCCTTCAAAGTCGATCAAGGCTTGCATGCAACCCCATTCTGTCACTTTCTGCTCCAGCCATTCAAAGCGAACCGGCTTCGCAATATGTTAGCATGCTGCGATAGAAACGCGAAATGAATGATAGTCCGAGAAGATATATGCATACCTTGGTCAAAAAGTCGTTGCAGCCAGCTGCAAGAGCCTCATGACGATCGCTCTGCAGACTGCTCGCGGTCAGGGCTACAATAATGACGGGACTTTTAAACAGAGACAGATCGTGTAATGTATCCTCGGCCTTCAGAGGTTCCCGACTGCCCGCAATTGCCGAGGGCGAGGCCGCATTGGCAGTGGCAGCGCTCGACCGCCCGTCAGCAGTCTTGGGAAACACACCGATACCGTTCAGGCGTTCGAGCCTGCGGATCTCCTTGGTCGCATCCAGGCCGTTCATGACGGGCAATTGAATATCCATCAAGACCAGATGAAAACCACCCTGACGCCACTTGTTCACCGCCTCTTCACCGTTCGCCGCGCACTTCCAGCGGACGCTGAGACGTTTCATAAACGCTTCCAAGAGACGTTGGTTGATGTTATTGTCCTCTACGATCAAGACGTTGATGGGCGGTACCGTGCCCTCGATGAGGCCTCCAAAGACCCCGCTCAATGCTTGTGCTGCGCTGGTCTTCTTCGGCTTCGCGGAGGATGTGGAGGGGCGTGGACGCGGGGATGCCCCGCGGGCTGGAGGGGTGAGAGATTTGGCCTGCGGGGATTCTGGCGGCGGGCCTGGCGGAGTAGGGATGGACGGAGCAGGCTGCGGAGGGATACTGTTGGGGACGATCCCGGGGTCTACTCACAAAATTAGCAGGTTTCTTAGCAGTTGCATGCGACGTCTTGTCGCTCTTTAAAATTTAGATTTGACCGACCTTTCGCTGTTGGCGCCTGATTGAGGATGGTGGGTGAGTTTGTGGCATGACGAGTTAGAGGCGGCCGGCGGGGATGTCGAGTCCCGCGACTCCCTGGCGAGGGCAGCGGAGGGGCCATTCCTGTTGTCAGTATTGATATTGATGGGGCGGGATGAGCATTAACACTGGCGGACGAAGTAGACGGATGCGTCGGCGGCGTGGGAACACTGGGATTCGCCGGCATGAGCGGAAAGTACTCGCCATGCTCGCCCGGCTCGGAATGATGGTGGTTGTAGTATACCGAATGGCGTGGAGAAGGCTTTGGAGTGCGACGCGAAGGGATATCGATAATCAAAGCTTCCTCGATAGCTTGACCACCCGGGTAATATGAGTCCACCACGCTTGCCAGCGGCTCCTCCGGGCTTAGCATCCGATCAGGAGTGGCCTGCCTATTCGATCCATCTCGCGGAGTAATGCGAATGACAATATCGGGGGCATCGAAGGTTCTGCCAAGCGAGTTCGAGTACTTCAGGATCACCTGGTCCCGTAGCTCGTCCACCAAGCTATCGAGCGAGATGGGGACCAAGGTGGCCGACCCGCCTGGCCGCTTGACCCAGATCTTGCGAGACATGCCTGTACTGTAGGTGGCGGAGCGACCGTTACCGTTAGTCTCAGGCTCTGCGGTCAAACCGGGATCCAACAGGCTGTTGATCAGGTGTTGATGAGACGGGGCCAGCAGCGACTGACGACGGGAGCCTAGACTGGGACGCTTTGGGAAGGGAGGAGCGGGAGTATGGTTGGAGGAGAGCTGAAATTCTGGTTCGACCGACGGATTCTCCGCAACGACATCCAACACGGGCAACTGCGGCTCCGCGACCGTAGGCCCCAGGCGATCGGAGCCTTGAGTTTGGCCAAACTGAAAGGAGGCTGAAAGAACACCACGATCAGAGACAGGGGGAGGAGGGGTAGGAGAAGGCGAAGGGAGCAGATCTGGCGATAGAGTTGTCGGGGGTGGGGAAAGGACGTGCTCGGAAAAGGGACCGTGACTGTGACGCCTGTAGGGCGCGGGGCGAATACGATCGCAAGAAGTCGTCGCGTCCAATTGCTGACGCTGGGGGGAAGCACTGGGACCAGCACCAGCACCGGCACCTGGAGGAACGAGGAGCGAGTGCCGTTGTCCCTCACGTTGTTCCGCGACTGGTTCGGGGGGAGAGGAGGATTTCGATTTGAAGTTGCAGTTCTCCAACTTCTCGACCTGCTTTTCTTCCTCCTCCAACGATCCCCTCGACCGCCCGCCTTTCGAGCCAATCACCGATGTCCGCCTCCCTTCAGCTGCACTCGCCCGATCGTCCTCCTCTTCTGGCCTTTCTTCCTTCTTCTTCTCCTCCTCCTTCTTTATTAGCTTCAAGGCTTGGGGCACAGCTTGTAATGATACCGCGCGCCGGTTGGAACTGATAGGTCGCGCTGGGGGACAATCCGCGATCGAATCGTTCAATTGTCCGGGGGCGCAACTCTGTTGGGCGTGGGCATCATGGGGATTGTTCTCGGCAATAATGTCGCTGGTGGCGGCGGGAACGGACGATGTTGACGACGATCGCCGCAATAACAGCTTTGCCTTGAGCTTGGCCCAGCGACGGTCTGGCATCGTGCAACTGCATAAAATTGTCCCTCAATTCCCCGTGTGACAGGTCGATGGTCCTTTTCAAGTCTACCTCCGTTGCTTACCGCAATGCAGAGGAGAGAAAAGAAATGGACAACCAGCAGCTGACGAGATAGAAACCCAAAAAGAAAAGATAACGAGAAGCAAGAAAAAGCAAAAGAGGATACACCCCCGAAAATAAATAAAAGATCGTGAAAAGAACGACACGCGGGAAAGGTCAGTGAACCCTCCGCCGGTCCAAATGGCATCCAAGCATGAAGGAGAGACGGGGGAAATGTGCAGCAAACAATGGGCCACTCGGCATGGCTCGATCCAAAGGAGCAGTACTAAAGTATGGAGTAGATGGGGAAGAAGATGGTAGTAGATACGATATTGAAGAGAGGGAGGGGGCGAGACTAAAAAAGTAAACTAAAAAATGAACGACGGCAGAGACGCGGCCGGATGGATCGGGGGAGAAAAAGGAAAGATGGATGAGGAAGACAAGGAGAGCGAGGGAGGGACAAGAGAGGACTGTGCTGTTGTGCAATACAGAAATAGTATAGCGACAGTAATCAAGATGGAGAGAAGTGGATAGCTTGAAAGATGACCACAAAAGAGGAGGAGGGGGGGGAGGGAAACAGCCGTTCTAGACTGGGATTGAGGAGAGGGGATGCGCTAACAGCCAAATAATCAAAGGCGAATAATCATGATAAAATAGATGATAATAATGACAATGACAATGACAATGGACTACTACACCCAAGACAGCATCAGAATGATTATCATCCATCCACAACCTTTAATATTACTTACTCCATCCAGTTCGAGAACTTACAACAAAGTCAGGGGAACCCGGAATAGAATCCCAAAAAAATAGCTCGATTTTTTCAACCCACGCTTGGACCCGTAAGAGCACCGGGCTTCCCTTGCCATTTAAATAAGTGTCAATTTGAATAATAATCTCAGCTCAAACCCTTCAAAAAAGACCTAAAAAGTCTAGGTAACTTTCAATGCAACCCGACGGCAGGCGCAAAGGCTTGTTGTCCGCGTTCAATTGCATGACTAGCGACATCCCAAAGGCAAACTAAGATCCCTTAGTACCGTCCAGCTGCCACGGCGCACATGCATCTCTGTCTCTGTCCAGCGGCCTGTCCGCAACATTCTCGCTGCGTTTCAGGCCCAGAAAATGGGTCTCGATGCATGACTATCTATCTATCCATCCATTTCCTTTTTCTTTCTTTTCTTATGTAGTAGTAGTTGCCTCGCATCTTTCGGACCGTTGGGCGGGTCTCGGGTCGAGATGCCATATCTCAGATCTGTACTCCGTAGTAGGGTAAGTTTGGAAGTAAGTACGTTATAGTAAAAAGTATCTGATTCGGCGAATGGCAGATGCACCCGCAGCGCCTATCACCTGCCACCCATTTTCCGCTGCCACGGATTTCAGGCATCGGCAACATTTCCCTCCGAAATGCTTTGCGTTACTTTTGGCTCTGAGTGCTGCTGCTGCTGCTGCACAGGGCTGTTGTTCCCTCGGTGATGAGAAACGATCCCATCTTTCTTATTATCCTGAGACGTTTCGACCTGATTTCGCTCCTCCAGCACTTCATCGATGCTTCTGCCAGATGCCTTGGCTTCCTTGCGTACTGCGCGGTATCGAATCCGCCAGATGATATGGCTTGCATATATTCCTGCCTCAAGGACGACCCTATAAGTCACCCACCCGGGTCAGCCAGTCCACAACTAGTACAAGCCCGTATATCCATCCAACTTACACGAGGATGTACATGATCCCTCCGAGAATATCGAACGAACCCTGGGCAGCTAAAAACCCTCGTTAGACCTCACATGATATTAAATACGGTTCCATGCCGGTGCAAGCGAACCTAAAGCGAACAGCGAGAATAGTCCTCCCAGCGTATCAATGGACAAGAACACCCAATCTACGGACAATCAGTAATGTTTCAATCGCGATAAGACACAACTAGATACTCACTGAACCCAATGACGCGACCATCTCTCTTCCACAGTTCAAAATACGGCGGCACAAGCCCAGATGCTAGTAGAATCGCCGCAACAACTCCAACCACCAGGTCCGGCCAGGTCACGCCCTTATTATATGGTATCTGAACAGCGAGAGAAATCAGCTATGATTTGAATTGCAGGAAGTAGCGGGGACAAACCCTCAAAGTGAGAATCAACAACGTCTCAATCCCACCAAACAACATTGCCGTACCCACAACTAACGACGTTGCCTTGAGACAAGTATAACTACTATAGTAATCACACACAAAAATCATCAACATCCTCCCAAAGCCAAACCCCCCATCCCAGCAGCAATAGCAAACGAAACAAGGATCACATACTGATTATAGTATAATATCTGCCCCCAGCTCACCAGCGAAAAGAAGCCGAAAATCTGCGGCTGAATCTGTAGCGGTAGATTGACCTCCTGCGAGCGCCCTCATTAGCTAGTAGATCAATCACCAAGAAACGTGCTATTCACCTGCAAAACCATATAAGCACCCATCGGTACGGCACCTATCCAATAAAAGCATCAACTCATCAGGTCAATTTTCCATCCCATGATATATGCAGGCTATAACAATCACAAAAGCGCGCAGAAATCAACATGGAGTTTGTTCCGAAAAAAACGTACAAGAAGCCCACAAAAGCATCATCAAAGGCGGAAACCCATCGGTTTTCTTCTGTCGCCAATTATACCAGATCTGAGGAATTAGCTGGATGCACCAGAGGACGGTGCCAATCGTGCCTAGGACATAGGAGGCAACCGTGATGTTGCCGTCATCACTATCGCTAGCAGTCATAACGCAGTAGGTGGTTGGTAGTAGTGCATAACAACTAAATAAGAGACCGATATCGGTGTGTAAGTGCACAACGACAGAAGTACTACTTAGTAGTATGGCGACTTTCCGAATACTACCAGCAATGAGAAGTATATATACAAAAGAAGGAGAAGAAGGAAAAAACAGTTAAGGAATCACTACTGCCATTATCACTGCTTCCCCTGCAGAACTTATCAAGCGGAAACGCTCGAGCGAAATAAAGCCTGAAGAATTAAATTGTCCGGGGGAAGTTCCGCCGTCAGTGGGTGGGTGGGCAAAGAACTACTACTTATCCGCTGGGTCTGATAGCGGAGGGGATAGGGAAAAGGGGCACATCATTGGACAGAGCGGGGAGATGGAGAAAGCAAGAAGCACCGAAACTAGCACAAGACGGGTAAACCAGAGGAGAATCCAGGGAGAAAAAGTTCTAGACGGGGACTGGGCTCGGGCGGAGTATTCGGGAACGGGTGGATGAATAGTTCCAAGGAACACACAACATGTCTGGATGGGCCGCTTCACGATGCGGGACTGCGAGAGAGAATGGGCTTGGATGCAGCGGTTTTTCTGATACCTCATGTCGGCCAGCAGGGAAGTCAATCGCTTGACGCACGTGGTCGCGGAATAAGATCAGTCAAATGGAAGTTTACTTGATTTCTATATATCTATCCTGCTTATCTACCACCATTTCAATGCAGGAGATCGAATGCGACCTGTCTAATTTGACTTGTGCGACGTATCGTTCATTTATAATGAACAGTCAAGAGGTGAGAAGATAGCATAGCATTTAAACACGGACTCATTTCCAATAGTAACACGAAAGAGATATAACCGTCAAGGATGAGGGTGCTTCTGGGCATGATCAAAACAGATCCGAAGGCCATACATAACATATCAACAGCACAAATTCCCGCTGAAGGAGTCGGGGAGCACACATAATTCAAATATGCCAACACGCACAACAAAACGAAGAGAAAGGTCTCTAGTGAACGACAAATAAACCAACAGAATACACAGGGCCATCAAAACGTAACATGACTTCGCGAACCAGAATCACGCCGAGTGATACTACTCGAAGGGTATCAAAAACTGATTTTTCTCTCGCGACAAAATAGCGAGAACCATGACAGACCAGAAAGACAGAAGAAGGAAAGGACGTGACACCGTGGATTGCTCTGCATCGATCACAGCAAGATCAGGTAGTTGGATGGAGCAATACCGGTCTCTCCGGTGGCCTTCCTGGCCTGCCACCATCTACCGCTCACATCAGACACCTCCAAAATCTCATGCTTGGTGAAACTGATCTCATTGGCGTCTTCGGGGTTGGCCTCATACGAATAGATGGCCTTCGCACGGTACGGATATTCCGTTGGCTGGGGAACCTCATCTGGTGTGCCATTGTTAGGCAGGTTCGTGGCGGACGGGTTGCCGAAGCGGGGCTGCGAGGAGCTGCGGTGTTCGGAGCCAGGGGCTCCACCGGGGTAGCCCGACACGGGGGAAGAAGTCTCGAAGCCATTGAGTTGGGCGGACGTGTACATCTGCGGGGGCTGGCTGGATGTCGTCTCGGGTCTATTGCCGAAGGCGGTTGACATAGGCCTGCCATTTCCATACGAGCCAGCACCTTCCTTCTGAAGGGCGAACGAATCGATGAAGCCGCGATGCGAAGCCTGAGGGCTAGATCCGAAGTAGAATATCCAAATGATCTGCATAAAAGGTAAGTCACGTACTGCCTAGTGGGTCTGTGTCGAAGCCGGTTATCACTTACAATAACCATAGCCAAAAGAATGAACCCAGCACCGGCAGCTTGCGATGCGGCGCTGTTCGCATAGACTAACGAGTTGATGGAGATTGTTGTAATAACAAGACCAGCGGAAAGATACCCCACGATCTGCCATAAGTCAGTACGAAGGGTTGTCGAAAGATTGGGTCAGAAGGCATGGCGACATACCGCTATGTTGTAGACGGTACCAGTATCGGTGCCGAAGACAAGCGCCATACCAGCAATGCAGCAAAAGGAGTAAGCAACAGCCCACCACGAATAGGTGGGGTATCCGCCATGTACGCCAGTGACGATGGACGAGATGAATGCGATCAACCAAGCCAACTAAACGAAGAAAAGGTGATTAGCCGTGAACCCGAGCCGTCGCACCAGAATGGATTGGAAATCATACAATTGAGATGGACGTGGTCGCGAGCGCAAAAGGGTCGCCCAGAATATTGCTGGCTCTGAAGCGCGCCATTCTTCGTGGAGGCTCAGGATAGGTATATGGCTTCTGGAAGGAGGGGGAACGCGAAGAGTAAGCCACCATGAATGTGGTTCGAACGAGGTCGCGGAAAGTTATATAGAAGCGTCCGGAATGGGAGGATGCTGTTCAAGACGCGATGCGACGATGACTGTGAAAGCCCCAATGGTGTATATGGATAGTAGCAGAGAAGGTCCTTCTATGCTTTTGATTTGTCGAGTCAATAAACGATTTAGGTCGGATGTGATCTGTGAATGGGAGACCCGTCGAGTGTGGCAATGAGCGTGAGATCCGACCAAGGTGGAAGAAAGTGTCCGACTACAGAGCAATTAGCCAGGTGCTCAGGTGGGCGAACGTGTATGATCAAGGAACATGCAAGTTGATCGACGGCGCACGGAGGACATCGTGAGGAACGACAACAACGCGATCCCCAAGGAGCCTCATGCAGGGAACAGGACAGAAAGGTAAAGCGGATGAGTGCGACCAAAACTCGAAATAAGATTTAGAGGAACAAGAACAAGGATCGACGCATCACATACTTCTGAGACAGACAGGTTAAATGAATGTGGAATGGCTGAGGGTCGGCGAAAGGGGAGGAAGAGAAGCAGTGGCACCGATCGTCTCAAACCGGCGGAGCAATCGAAGGAGTGATCGAGGAACAAGTGCTCGGAGAGGTTGGCTTGGGTTGGTGTGCAGACAAGCCCACGGAATGCCCCTTGCAGAAGCACGAAGAGAAACAGCAGCACCAGGCTGGAGAAGAACGGATAATGATGAAACGTTAGTGTCGAAAAGAGGCGGATGGAGAAGCAGAGGAATGAATCAAGAGAAGCGGGAGACGGAGGAGGGTAAAAAAAAAGAGGGGAAAAGAGGGAAAGAAACAAAAGGTGATAGATGAAATAGAGATAATAGAGAAGATGATGGGGGGGAGGGGTGAACGAGTGAAACGAGTGGGAAAGGGAAAGAAAAGTCGATGGGGTAGACAAGCCGACCGGATAGAGGAGAAGGGAAGGATGAGAGAAAGAGAGGAATGGGAACGGCTGGAGATGGAGAAAGGCGAAGCCCAAATCTGGAGGGAGCCGTGAGCGAGGCCTACTTAGTTCCAGGTTCGAGGTCCGGGAAAAGGAGATGATGGATGGGGTGGGTGGATGGATGGATGGATAGTGGATGGGAATGGGGACAATTGGGTGGAAGGGGAAAGGGAAAACAAATGGGATCGAGTTTCAGAGCGACGGTGCCTGGCCCGAGTGGCCCACGCGAACCGCAGAAAGACAGTAAGTACTTACCCTCAGGCACTGTCTTTTTGGGGGCCCCTGGGTTTAGTGCGTGGCCTGCGACGTATGGCAGTTTGGCATACATCTATCTGTCTATCTATTAAACTAATAGTTCTATTTCTATTATTCTGTCTACCTAGTTCATCAGTCCATAGATAACTACTACTCAAGTCTACCAATTAACAATTGGGTACTACTAGGCCGTTTTTCTGCCGTTACTATTCTTATAGTAACTCGGAGGATGTTCTAGGGAAGGGGGGGAAAGAACCGGGCTGTGAAGGATGACGACTGTCTTGGTAGGTAACTAAGTATTTACTCCGAACTTACAGCAAAGATAGTATCTGCTGTCATTTCGTTAATCGCAAGTTTGTAATTATTTTTATTTTCTCAATTACGGTCGCATTAATCTCAATGGGTGAATACATTAAATGAAAGGATACTTAAGCTCAGCTTTAGTACGTCGTCCCTTTCATTGAGATTTTCAAGAAAAAAAGCCTAGACTAGACTTCACAATAACAATGATTATATTTTAATTGGCATGTGCACGTCAAACAATTTCAATTTTAATAATTCATCCCGTTAGACAAAAAAGTAAAATTAATTTCCACGGGCCATCTCAATCCCCTCTCACTACTACCACTTCGGTTACTAGTAGTACTACTAGGTAGTGTCAATGTGTCTTTTTTTTTTACACCCTTCGGGAGAGAGAATACTAATGAGATCGATGCATTTTCCTTATGAAAACTGGGTCCCGGCCTAATCCGCTTTGAGGCGGCACGACACGCAAACTCCGGCCATGATTGTTGTTTGATTAGTCGATTTCCCGGAGGGCCTCGTCGCCCCTCTTTTAGTGCCGGTGGTGGATTCTCTTCGTCCATTCTGGCCCCTGGAAAGGCTGAGGCTGAGTTGTGGCTCTCGTGGCGGCGTCGATGGCCTGTGTCCACCGTTTTGAACAGTTAGTTTGGTCGCTGAGACCTGCGAAATTCAGTAACTAGTTACTACTGCAGTAGTCCGAATACATAACGAGATCATTGGTAGCGATGTGCTCCGTACAACATGGGCTCAGCGAGGATTCACCCAACATTCTTATACCAGACAACCAACGGTTTCTTTCTAGAAAATAAAATCCTCTCTAGATTAAGCCTTACACTGACTGCCACGATTCCAACCCTGCTGATCATGTTGCTGCTGCTTACGCCCCAGGTGATCCTGGGAATAAATGATGATAGTGTTCTTCCCCTTCGGTAGTTGGTTACTTTGGGGATAACATGACTCGTATGGAACACTGGTCCAATTTTGGTTTAATTCTAGCATAGCACTCATTATTACTCACTACATAACGACTAATTAAGCAGGAATGAATTCATAAACATAGTTGCAAAGGTACCAAATTATCATCATCATCATCCATATCTCAGACTGCAAGGCTTAGACCTGCAGATACCCCCTATCGGACTGTTGCTGACCAGCCAGCCCCATCACAAGCAACCTTGTGTAAACACAGAGTATTCATATCGTACACAGTAAGCAGGTGAGACACACTGGCTGTGCCCGACACAGTAAGAATCACGAGTTACCTAGGTACGATTATAGCAATCCTTATACCTCGTATCACACTCACACACACAGACACACATCTGATCACGAGCTCATCTTCTTGTTGCTCTCTCCCCTCCGTCAAATTATTACCTCGTACACACACATATAAGGTAGGCCAAACAAAGAATTTCCCACGACGATATATTCTCCTTCTCATCACAATCACAATCACAACGCACTTTCATGCTCCGCATGCAAGGATCGAGCTCATGAGACAGACATAAATGTACCCGGTCGGGATTCTTCCCCGTGGGTCTTCGTCTCAACATAATATGTACCGTGTATGTACTCCGTAAGGTAAGGTGACTTGTTGTGTCCTTGAAATGAGCCAGGTACCTTTGAGTTCTACTTTCAGCAGGTATTGTAGATACCCACTAACTAATACAGTTAAGTATGGAGTACACACGGATCGCAGTGACTAGTGCTTGATAATAGGGACATGCGCCGTTCTTCCTTCCGGGTTTCGGCGTGGTCGATCAGTCAGTTCTGTCGGGAGTCCAGATCCTCTCCGTGCGTCGTCGGTATACTGCAATCCCGGCTGCCGGTCTTTGTTTGATGGAACCCCCCGAAGGGAGCAAGATCAGAGTGCCGGTCGGTCTGTTTCATGTCCAGATGAAAGAACAGAAGAAATGGAAAGAAAGGACTGACTGATGATTTCCAACGGCTTTACTATCCATTCAGTAATCGTTGCCACACAAGATGATGTCTCTCAATGGATGAATGGATCGTTCGTCTACATACAGTAGAAAGAAAAGATTTACTTACTACACACTATTCTCCTCTATAACCACTATCCTTAACCATGACCAGGACAAACAAAGAGGTATCATATCATATCACAAGCCAAGCACGCTAAAAGAAACATGGGAACCAGAACCAGGAGAAGAAAAAAAAAAGCAACTGCCTCATTCTCACAACTCCTTCGCTCGCCGCTCCCTCACCACTTCCTCCCGTTTGACCTCCCTTTCCACATCCTCCAGTCTTCCTTCCCATTCGGCCCAGCATTCACCGCCACTAACCAGCGCCACTTCGTACCATCGCTGCAAGACTCGAGCAGACCGCACACGTAGCTCGGAGATTTGTTTGGCCTGGTCCTCCTGAGTTTGCGCCAACTGGTCCAGTCGTGGCTGGAGCTGGATAAGCGACGCTGAAGTCTCGGCGTCCGGGATGGGGAGGTCATTCAACGAAGTAAGTCGGGAGGCGGTTTCAGGGAACGCAGAAGCGTAGGATAGGACGATCGAGGCGAGGTTCTGCGTCGATAGATTCTCAGGGAGTGATTTGGAAGGTGTTTGGCGGAAGAGGTCGGGGAAGCGGTCGTCTGGACGAAAGTATTAGTTTAGCTATTGATCCACCCCCCCTACGTACACAGTTCATCAAGTGTAAAAAAGGTCAATCATACGGAGACTCAAAACATCTCTAACGGCGGGGATATTTCTGCTCAGCTTTTCCAGATCCCTTTCTAGGCGAAGAAGACGGCGCGAGACGCTGTCATCGAGAGATGCGGGCTTTGCGGGCGGCGTGGGATTGCCAGTCCAGTTTGCATCGCCGGTCAAGAGGTATGTGAGACGCCGCAGACGGGTCTCGAGGAGCTCAATTGTGGCACCGGCGACCGCGTCGTTTTCGAGGGTCATTGTGTAGGTTGCTTAGTAGAGGGGGTTGGTTACCCTGTTCGGACAATATTGCTAGAACCACGGTTCTCGAATCTCGAATGCTAAGGGGAGACGGCGTCGTTGGGGGTGTGGACAATGCAAACGTGACATACAACATCAACAAACGGCACGTGGGGGAGCCATTCTTTAGTCCCAAACAATGGTCAAACAAAACCCTGTTGATCCTAATCCATCGCTCAGCCTTAAGTTGCTTCTCATTTGACATTCCAAGCGCTATATCTAACTGTGCCAGGTTCTAGATCTCGATTGCGGGACGCCTAGGTATCTAGTCTCTATGACAATAATTACGGATCAACTTATGACTTCAGCCCTGGGTGTCATGTCGCCTTGTCGTCGACTTGGTCCCACATCGCGTCGGCATTCTGCGAAGGTTGCACAGGTCCAGCTGTGCTACTCCGGCTGAGCAAAGGGCGTCCACCTCTTTCCTCCATTTCCTGCCCCCGACCCACTCCCTCGTCAAATGATGGAACCTGGTAGTCAAACACGTTCACATTTGGCGTCGTACGACCTTCCTGTTGGTTGAGCGGTTCCTGTTAGATGCGTCAGCACATAATGTCCTAAGGTTTCAGCTATGGCTCCTGGGAACTGACAGAAGCACTCAATGCACGGTTCTGGCGGCCAGATTGGGTCCTAGTACTATCTGCTTCCTGACATTCGGCCTCAAATGCTTGATTGTCCAAGTGCACAAATTTCTGTAATGACTGCTGTTAGTTCCAGCCACTCTTGCCTCCAATTAGTAGACGTTGTCTTACCTGAAGTTGACTGGGAGCTGGCTCTTCCGGCACGTTCATTGCATTATTATTGGCGTAAACAAGCAAGACATTCTTAGATTCTTCGCGGGCCGCTCGAAGGACCTCAATTTCCCTGACCTTGCGAGCGGTATACCCAATAACGTCGGACTTGTGCAGAGCTGCATCGCCTTCTGAGCTTGTTCCAGCCTGGCGATTCTTCGCATCGTCGGTCGAAAAGCTGATCCGCCACCATTGATACTCGTCATCGGCTGAGGTAGCGCATCCATTCGAGGAGCCTTCCGACACACGGCGCTTCAGGACATAAGTCACATGTGGCTCAGTACACACGCCCCGCAGTGTGTACTTGTGATGTGGTAATTCGCCCGAAGAAGAAGCTTCAGTGAGGATTTTAGAATAGCTCCGGAGGCTTTCCATAGCATCCTGCTTCTTAGTCTCCAGCTCTGTTTCAGGGACCAGTTAGCGCTGAGTGGCAATCATACGGGTCTTCGGGATGTTACCTTTGAGCTTGGCTTCTATTTTACAGGATATCGCTTGCAGCTCATCAGCCACCCTCTGTGCCTCTGCATTCGCCGACTCTGGAGTAAAGGCAGTCGTTTCATTTGACAAGCTCTTGGGCAGTGTCGAGGAAACCGCAGCAGCAGCTTTTTCCAGCGTCTCTCTAGAGGTCAATCCTTGATGAATGACCGACTTAGATGTTGAGAAGCGATTCATCAAGCCCTCTAGTCTGAAGATTTTTTCGTAGATCTGGAGCCTTTGCGCACGGAACTCCCGCGCGAGATCTCGGTTGGCCGCAAGATACCGATCAGGATAGAAAACTGCAGGGATCTTCACATCAACGGGTTTATTAGAGCCTTCCAGCTTGATTGTGAAGACCTCTGCGACGTGTTCTAGCCATACGTCGTCAAGATCTTCGCCCGGCCTGTCGGACCACATGGTGTGATCGATAACATCATAGAGAGTCTGACCATGCTCTTGCTCCACGTAGGAATCTAGTAAGAAGAACTCTTTATCCAATGGTGTGTCATAAATCGAAAGAGGTCGCTTATATGCAGTTGACGAGAATATGGTCGCCAATTGATTGTCTGGGTCTGCCCGGACTGCAGCTTCTTGCCACGATTCCAAAAATCTAGCCGCGCTGCCCTCCGAGTCGTAACTGGACATGCTTTTCAGGTTGGCTAATGCATCAGCACTTCCAAAGGCGCGATCGGTAGTGTCCAAAAATGCTGCCACACGCTGGGCTTCGTATATAATATCATCCCATTCAGTATCACCGTCCTGCGCGTCATCAATAGTGACAATCTTAGGAAGTGTAATAGGCTGGCCGTTCCACCATTGTGGATCTTTTCCATAGTCCGTGAGAAGTCGGTTCCTGAGCAGAAGAGCTTCTCTCGCCAGAGGGATTGAATGAAGGATCGTCAATAGTCCACCCAGGTACATGTTGTCATGGGATGGTCGTATGAAGGCCGGTTCACCGTCTTTCCTCCTCCGCTCTGCTGGATCGGGGCTTATGACAATTTCACGAGAGGTAGAATTGAACAACGTCATTGCCCAGGCGCCTTCATCATAGTGGTCACGAGTAGCTCGACCAAATTTCGCTTCATTCGTTGTGACACCCGTCTCTTGCTGTCCGAGATTTTGATTCAAAGACATGGCCATGGCTTGTTGCAGTTCCCGCTCCTCTTGCTCGGCCAAGGATAAGCCCTTGTTGGCGTCTGCGTGAAGCGGGGTTAGCCTAGCAGGAAATCAGGCAGTCCCTCAGTGTGCCCTCACCGTTAGCAGTCTGTGTTGATGCAGGTGCGCTATGCTGATATTCAGAACCAGATGCCTGTTCACTCGAGTTTAGGGCTGATGGCGGGCGTGAAGGAGCGGTGATCGAGGAACCGGGGGCCGGGTCGGCGTGTTCGATCTGGAACGCTTCATCAAGGCACATCTGTCAGTACTAACTCAAATACACATCACTCTGACGAAAGAGATACAATCATACCAGGAACGGCAGAATCATTTTGGTATCCGATATTCTATATCGACATATGTCTGACAATCAGTCGCTGCTCCCAACACATCGTGCGCAGTTTCAGGACGTCACCTGCGTCTGAGGGCCCGTGGGGTCTTCAAAATAGGCATTTATGGCTTGGTTCGAGTTTAAGTTATTCGCCTACAATCCGATCTAGTCAGTTAAGCTGCAATGGTCCCAACTTAAATCAATGTTCACCTTGAGAAAGCTTATTGCCTGTTCGCGGGTTGAGCTGGTGAAGCTCACGAAGTTCGCAATAGCTTCCTCCGTTGGTTCGGAGGCCATGTCGGAGCCTCCCCGTCTCAATCCCACCGGCTGGAGCAAGTCGCCCTTGCAATAACCCAATAAGTAGAAGCGCCCGATAATAAATTCAACAGACCAAGTGAGGGGCGACTTCCAAAACCGGTCACAGTGCGAAAGCCAGATGTAGCTGATGGTGGAGGATTGTTTGAATCGATCGGGAGAGCTTCCCCACCACATGACATGCGGCTGCCAAGCCCCGGATAGCCAGGCACATTGCCTGCAGCAAACATGCGTCACGAATTCACTAGATAAATCCTAAGCGAATACTACACAATCCATCTACGTGAATATGATATAATTTTCTATCACAATCATGAACTACTACTAGAAACAGTGCTTGAGTGCAGATTGCAATATTTTTGACGGCGATTAAGCTAGGGTTTCGCCTAAGCCGACAGCAGTTCTCCTTTAAGATCCTCGGGAGCACTGCAAATAGCGGACTGATTTGTGCACTTGTTCACTAGTCAGTCAGTGACGATGCTCATTGATAGGCATATGACATGCCTAAATATTCTGCGCATGTTCTAGTCAAGTAATACCTCATGTCAAAGATGTCATCCACTTTGTCGCGTTAGGTATATAGGTATATATATATATATAGTACTTATATATTTTTAGGACAGCGACCTTTTTAACGAGTACTAGTAATATCTGCACGGTGAAAATCTGGCTGCATCTGCTACTAGTAGTAAGTAGTAATTGTACTTATGGTATAATCAAGATCTGGTATTAGTGGCATTAGTAGTACTGGACAAAATGAAAGACTGATGCCATGAATTCAATCGATAACTAAGTATAAGCAGCTCGTGATCTGGCTGGTCAATAGTTACTAGTATATTCTATGATTACTAGCATAATAATCACGATTTTCTTTTCTTGGGCCGAGTACCAGAACATAAGTAGTAAGTAGTAGTCTCAAAGTAATAGAAGTACCAACCAGTATTCAGTACAATACCTTTGTTAGTATGACCATGCCTGCTAGTAACTCAGAGAGACTACTTTACTTACCGCCTGCATGAGACTTGACGTACGGAGTAGATTGAAATTGATTATTTTATCTATATAATGGTAGAGATGATCTCGCAGTTCTAGTAATAATCGGTTCCATTTGAGTGATGGGCCTCAAAGGATGTTTATCTTGTTTATCTTGGTACATCAGTTAGTTGCTTCATTTTAGACCAATCCAATGCCCCGGTCAAACCCAGACACGAGCCAACCATCAGCAGGACAGAGTGTCTGTGCTAAATCTGCTAAATGGATTAGTCGCAGTTACTTTCCATCTAGCCTAAACCCGCCCCATTTTTCCTCTCCATTCATCTGTCCCTTCCCCATTGTCAGCATTATTCCTACCACCGTTGAAGCTACTAGACTAGAGTCCATTTCGTTCGGGATCTTCTCCCACTCTCCAATAATAACAGAAGTTGCACTAGAGAGGTATGTTCAATAGTCCGCTCTGCTATCTATCTACTCTAACGAGACCAGCCAGCACATCAGGGATCATCGTAACCACGGTTACCCAAACCCCCTCCCGCTCTCCTCAATAACCTCTCCGCCCCTCCGTCCGCCCCGCTAGCTGGTGCGTTGTTGATGGTTTTCGGTGTCGACCAGACCGATTCTTCTCCAAGCGCTCCACTTCCACCAAACCTGACCGGTTGTGGGGGAGACCCGATCCTCTATCCACAGCCCGCCCTTTTGATCATATTTTTATTGGGTTTTTCGAACCCAAGCTAGTGAGGCGTCGACCCGAATTCCACGAATCATTCTAGAGCTGCCATCAGGGCGAAAAAAGGGGAGGGAGAGAAAACTAAGAAGAGGGAAGTGAAAAAAAAAGGCAATCTGCCCAAGCGCGGGACCACCCCTCCGGCCAAAATCCATCACGTCACGTTGTCCTCCCCGTCCTTGCCGAACCGACGTCGGCCGTCAACCTCCAGTTCTCCCCGTCAGGATGGCCGCTGCTTTCGACGACGAGGATCTCTCTGTCTCGCTCCCACCCATCAACAATTCCGATCGCTCTCGTGACCGTACCGCCGGGACTGAGCCTCCTTCCAATTCCAACATCCCCGCCATGGC